GCTATTCAGGATTTCAGGCAAAGTCTTTCGCTGCCCTTTCTAAGAATGTCGGGAACTGAACCTCAGATCTTCTCAGGCAAAGCAGACACTCTACCACCAACCATTCGACAAATCCTACCCTGTACAATGTTTTGCGCACGTGGAACTGAAGCGAAACTCTTATGGGGTTGGAGATAAAGTTTTATGTTGTTTCTGAAACCATTTTGATTAAAAAATCAAGGACGCCATCTTCCCGGGTTGTCTAATCTCCACCCACTCAAATCTGGACTGGCTTTAAATTGAGCTCCTTCTTTTACGCTAATCACAGTAAGTTCATGGGTGCAAGAGTGGGGGAGGAAAGACGCCACTCCCTTCTGAGGTTGTTTTGATGTTTAACTATATTCACAGCTGAAACAAAGGGCGGCGTACCAACAGATTACCGGTAACATGCTGATCAAGGCAGATGAACACACCCACCTACACGAATTAATTACGCCGTGATGGTTTTGAGCCAGCCACTGTGGATCCTTCCCTGTGTTAAAATGGGCAACTGCTGCCACCGACAACAGCAAGAAATTGTTACGGCATGGAGTGTTCGCGATTCTGGTTGTCCCATCCTGTTCTGCAACACTGTTCATTTGCCTAAGTCTCTGCTATAGAGCTTTGGGCGTATCCATCAGAAAGCCCAGCTTAATTGCTTCTGCAATTACTTTTAAGCCTGGTGCCTTGGCTGATTTAAAAGTTTTTATCCAGTGGACACATAACAAGAGACGCTATCCCAGAGAGATAAGTGGGACTTGAATTCATAAGGACTGTGACACGCGATGATCAAAAAGACATAGCTGAATTGTTTTAGAGTTGTAGGATATACAGTGGTACCTCGGTTCCTGATCGTCTCCATTGACTAACATTTCGGAACCCGAACGCCGAAAACCCAGAAATAAATGGTTCCGTTTTCAAACGCGCCTAGGAAGAGGAGCACGGTTTCCGATGCGTGTTTTTCAATTTTCCCTATTGCATTTGCAGCCAGCCCTTTGTGCCTTGGTTTCTGAACTTTCGGAACTCAAATGGTCTTCTGGAATGGATTACATTCAAGAACCGAGGTACCACTGTACTATGAACAGGGCTGGCTCCACTGCTAGGTGATGAGGGGTGGGGAAAGAGACTGATATGCGCTACATGACCTGTACTGTATGGTACCCCCATCAGACTAGGTCTGCTATTTTGTCACCTCTTGGTACTGGTGCAAGGGGAAGAATCTGTAACATGGGGATAATCCTTAGTGGCCAGATGGAAAAGGGAACAGGTGACTATACATTTAAGAAACCTTTAGTTTCATTGGCCCAGTCCTGTGGAACTCTCTGCCACTGGAGATTCAGCAGGCCCCTTCTCTGCCAACTTTTAAACAGCTGCTGAAAACAATTCTGTTCTGCCAAGCTTACACAGGCATGTAAGAACAGCACATCCTGCCACAATGGTTGAGGTCTGATTGTAATTTTTTAATATTTATTTTTCAATGCATGGTTTTATGTATTATTCTAAAGCATGTGGATATTTTTCATGTGAAACAGTGGCATATATATATTTATATATAACAAATATATATAAATGTAAACAAATAAATGAATGAATGTGAATTGAATTTCTCCCCTTTCCCGGATCAAAGCAGTTTATCCATGAAATGTGTGGTGTGGCAGGAGGAAAGTGACTTTTATCTGGGAGGCCAAAGCCCAGAGAGTCCAAGGTTAAAGCAGGGGGCGGGTGTTGTTTGGCTCAGGAGGACTGTCTAGCTGGGTAAGAGTCCCTCTCTTGTTCCATCTGTGAGAGCTGCCAGTCACTGCAGGCTGGTGGGGGAGCCAAAGGACAGCAGGCCGCACCTTTGCAACACCCCTCCTGGGATGCCAACTTTGCCTCTGCTCTCCCACCTTGAGCCGCAGTTTCGTTTACAGGCACTGATCCCATGATAATGCTTATCACATCTGCCACTGATTACTGCACATTGACCTGCTTTTCAAGCAGGAGGAGATAGCAAAGCTGATCTCTGGGTTTTCGCTTCACACACATGCTTCCTTGGCAGTCCAAAATGTAGGCTGCAGCAACCGGCAAGCAATATTTTGAAAAATGATGCAAGAGAGGCTGTGTGGTATAGTGGTTAGAGCTGGGGTCGGCAAATTTTTTGGGGGGGCCACGGGCCAGTCCACTGTCCCTTAGACCTTGTGGCAAGCCAGAGAAGTGGCACCCAGAGGGGGAAGCTGGAAGAAGAGGTGAGGGGGGCAAGAAGTCCTCCTCCCCACCCCTACCCCAGCTGCTGCGCTTAACTCCCAGGGGCTGCTGCCGCCACCACCGCCTGGCCCACAGGAGCACCAGGGTAGCGGTGGGGGTGGAGGGAAGATGAGCAGTGCAAAAGTGCTGGCTCTGGGGAGGGGCTGCTTAAAATGGCGCTCAGCCAGCTCAGCCCTGCCCCCTTCCTCCTCTAGGCAGGGCAGGGAGAAGCCAGGAGGTGGGAGGGAGGAGGCACCGCCACAGTGTGTGTGTATGTGGGGAAATGGAATGGCGCGGGGGGGGGATTTGTGAAGTTGTGGGTGAACATATCAGATGACACAGCGATTCACAGACCAGAACAGAACTGAACTGAAGGGTTCAGCCAGCCTGCTTATATAGAGCTCCACTACAACACAACAGTAACAACTTTCTGTAACTATCCAATCACTGAACGTCACTTTCAATTCCTTATTTGCATATGTGGACCTGAGTGGAAACTATCTACAGTATCCCCCTGCTGGCCCAGGGCGAGAACTTCAGTACATAACAGAAATGGCGCAGCCCAAAGAACAGAATCCCCACGCCGATCTATGGACAGTCCGCGGGCCGGATCCTGAAGGCAATTGGGCCTGATCCGGCCCGCAGACCTTAGTTTTTCGACCCCTGGCTTAGAGTGTCAGACTAGGATCTGGATGGCCAGAGTTCAAATCCCCACTCAGCTCACTGGGTAGTAACCTTGGAAAGATTTCTGCAACCTATGCCTACCTCACAGTGTTGTTTTGAGGATGGAATGATGAGGGAGAGAACCATGTACGCCACATGGAGCTCCTGGGAGGGGATAAAAGGCAGAATATGAGTGCAATAAAAATAAATATAATAAGTTATCCAGATGTATTTCAAGCAGGAATTAGATTTCTTATCTCGAGTCCCAGGGTGGGTTATCACAATATGAAAATACAGCATTAAAATCAGTTAAAACACATTTATTTACCTCTATACCTCTGACTCTTTTGATCTCTGCACATTTGGGGCTTTTCAGTTTGGAACAAAAGGCAAGGAAGGGGTGACAGACAGAAGTTCACAAAATGTGGCATGGAGAGCATGGATAAAGGAATGTTTATCTCCCTCTCTGTAACCCTAGAACTCGTGGACATCACATGAAGCTGAAAGTTGGCAGATTCCATGCAGATCCAAGAAAGGACTTATTCATGCAGCACTGTTAACCTACGGAACTCGCTGCCACAGGACGCAGCGAAGGCTGCCAACTTGCATAACTTCAAAAGAGCAACGGACAAATTCACGGACGATCAATGGCTACTAGCCATGATGACTATGCTCTGCCCCCACAGTCAGAGGCAGCATCACTTCTGAATACCAGTTGCTGGAAACCCTCCTTGAGGGTTTTCGCATTGGGAAATCTGGTTGTCCACTGTGATGCTGGACTGGATGAGCTGTTGTTGGCCTGATCCAACAGCCTCTCCTGATGCTCTTGTCCTCCTCCCAAGAACAAGGCCAGGCTCCTTCTCTGCCCGGTCAGTTGGCAACCCTGCCAGCTCTTCTCCCTTCCTGAGTGTGCCTGCGCTTAGAGCACCCCATAGCTTCACAGAGCGCAAAAGGTCAGGCCTCAGCTGCAGCCCCTTACCCAGGGCCGGATTTAGGTTTGATGAGGCCCTAAGCTACTGAAGGTAGCTGTCCTTTGTCAACAACAAATTGGCGCTGTTTTTTGTGTTGAATATATGCTATATGGTAATTTATGGACCTAATAGGTATCGAAAGCCATTTGCACATACAGAATGTTGGCACCCTATATATACAGTGGTACCTCAGGTTAAGTACTTAATTTGTTCCAGAGGAGGTCCATTCTTAACCTGAAATTGTTCTTAACCTGAAGCACCACTTTAGCTAATGGGGCCTCCCGCTTCCGCTGCGCCGCCGGAGCACAATGTCTGTTCTCATCCTGAAGCAAAGTTCTTAACCCAAGGTACTATTTCTGGGTTAGGGGAGTCTGTAACCTGAAGAGAATGTAACCTGAAGCGTATGTAACCTGAGGTACCACTGTATAGAAATGAGCAAACCAGTGATATTTTAGGGAGCAGGCTAGCAGGCGGAGCCCATTACTTACATCATAGGAGCCTACACAAAACAAAACACTGTTGCTGTATGTAGTTGCTGTATGTATGTTGCTGTAAAAGGGGATACGGGTGGCGCTGTGGGTTAAACCACAGAGCTTAGGACTTGCCAATCAGAAGGTCGGCGGATCGAATCCCCGCGACGAGGTGAGCTCCCGTTGCTCGGTCCCTGCTCCTGCCAACCTAGCAGTTTGAAATCACGTCAAAGTGCAAATAGATAAATAGGTACCACTCCAGCGGGAAGGGAAACAGCGTTTCCGTACGCTGCTCTGGTTCGCCAGAAGCGGCTTAGTCATGCTGGCCACATGACCCAGAAGCTGTATGCTGTCTCCCTCGGCCAATAAAGTGAGATGAGCGCCGCAACCCCAGAGTCGGCCACGACTGGACCTAATGGTCAGGGGTCCCTTTACCTTTACCTTTACGTAGGTTTATTTATTTTTTTATCTTATATTTTGGAAATGTACATCCAGGTTTTTTTTCCCCCTTTAAATTTTTTGGGGCCCCCAAGAGAGTGGGGCCCTAAGCTATAGCTTGTTTAGTTTATGCAATACGTCAATCCGGCACTGGCCGAGTGCGCAGAAAGAGACCCGCGCCCGCGCAGCTCGCCGGGAGGCACGTCCCCTTTAAGGGCCGGGCCGGGGCGGGGCTTGGGAGCCTGGCAGAGCCCGGCTGGCCATGAAAGCCTTCGGACCAGAGCACCGGCTCGGCATTCGCCGGTTGGATCAGCTGCAGGAGCGCGGGCCACCATGAGCGGGTACGTTGGCGACCTCAGCGCCAAGCAGGAGGAGGCGCTGGCCAAGGTAAGGAGAAGAGATGATCAAGAGGACTAGGAACGTGAACCTCATCCATCCATCCATCCATTCTTTCTCTGCGTTGCGTTTACTTCGCTCAGTTCTTAGGGGGCTGGCTCAGATCCCCCAATTCTGAGCCCAGCGTAGCCCCCCTTCTTAAGCACACGTAAGCAGTAGCTATGGGGACCGATTCTCCCCCCCGCGCGCGCCGTGATTGACTTATCCGGTTTCAAGCATCCCGCCCCCGTCCTTGGTGCTGCAAAAGACGCCCTGCGATCTCCAGGGATAAAACTGCCCACTTCCCACAGCCTGACTCTGTGGATATGTTTACTCAGAAGTCGCCGCCGCCGCCGCCGCCCTCCTTTGATTTCTAAGGGAGGGGTTTCATGGGCGTAGCCAGGGGGGCAGGGAGGGTAGCTGCCCCCCCCTAAATCAAGAAAAAAAAAATACTTAACTAAAAGTAGAAACTGTAGGAAGATTTTGACAGGTTTTTTCTGAGCACTTGGGGTCAAAAGAAAGTTATTTTCAACAACTGTTGTTGAAACGTTTCAGTCCGAATCTGCTAGATAGAGCCAGACAGAGGATGACAGGTGCCCCACATTAGTCCTGGCCTCCTGCTCCCCTAACATAAATCCTGGCAATGCCCATTTGGGGGGGGGCTATGCACATGCAGGGTTGGAGTGCTTTTTTTGGAAGGGGGGGGCCCTCTGCAATCATCCTGACCGGTCTACCTTGCAAGGTTGTCGTGCGGTTGTTCTTTATCTCCCTTTTCTCTCTCACCTCTTCTGACCCATATTTACCTAAGAGGTAAATGGTGGGTCATGATAGCAAGCGAGATCTCTCTTTGGCACATACCTCAAAGCTCTTCAGTAGCGCTTGTGCAGGTGAGAGAGAGACTTTCCCCTCAGGGTTAAGTAAAGGGCAGGCCGTTTCTTAACCAGTGTCCAAGTGGGTAACTTACATAAGGTTGGTCCGGCGAGGCCAAAGGTCCCTCTAACTAATCCCATGTTTTGCGTCCCAGCAGGTGCCAGGCAGTGAATTTCTGGGGAAGTTTTTCAAGCAGGGGAGGAAATCACAGCATCTTCTGTCCCCCTCGCTTCCCACTAGTGGTTCGCACCCCCAGCATCTGAGACTTAGAGGTGCAAGCAAGCCCTGCCACAAATGGTGCTCCTCTTCAGGCCTCCATCAACTGTTAAAAGGAGACTTGTGGAACAGTTTTGGGTCCCCTCACCTGCTATGTTCAACTGCAGGCTAGCTCATTTTGCCCAGCTTCTGGCTCCTCTACACCAGTAGTTTTCAAAGCGGGTGAAATGGCCCCCATTTCATTTCTACTATGAAAGCTTCAGGGCCCTGGAAGGGCCCCAGAAGTGACTTTTAGCCACCTGAGGGTTTTTTTAAAAAAATTGCTTTGAAAAGTGCATCCTCCAGGTAAATAACATTTCCCTAGTTTTCACACCTCCCCCCGCCACCATAACTCAAAAACTATAAGGCATAGGGGTTTTTTTTTATTCACACCAGTGTCTCTGACATGTGAGATAATCCAGTATAGCGATTTTAATCAAAATCTGACATGTAGTAGTTAATTAAAAAAACAACTAAATTGTGGTGATCTGTCATGGAACAACCCTGCCGGAGAAGATAATGGTAGTCACTCAGAGCTCACTGTTGGTGGGAAAGGGGCCTCTGTAACAGTTCAGGGTGCCCAAAATGTAGGTCCACCACTGCTGCCACCTGGGGGGCGGTGGGGTCAACTTGTGCAAGAAGCTGGCAGGGAGCACAAGAGGCGTGAGTTTTTATCAGACTTGCTGGATTCCCTGGCCCAAGTTCATCAAGTTCCTTGAATTAATTAAACTAAATAATTTTCATTGGATTTTGATTATTGTAATACTGTTTTTCTTAGTGGGTGAGCTAGGGGACACTGGGGATGAGTTTATAGAACCTGGGGGTGGCAGCCTGAAAAAAGTAGCCTGCTCTAGAACCCCCTTACCTCACTACGCATTTTTCTGCTTGTTTAAGCTTAGAGGACCTCTGCTGGACCATTTAGGGATTCTTAAAACATAGGGTATCCTTCATGTTAATTTGCAGACTTGTATACATTTGTGTCCTGGTTTGGATGAGAGAAGAGTCCCCTTCGTATGTACTGTAGAAGTTTCCACCTTATTTTGGAACGGTCCTGTTTTTTTTGCTTCCGATGTGATTGGCACTCAGCCGCCTGAGTTTGTTCTTAGAGCAACAAAATGGACAGCACAACGAAATGTTGCAATCTATTCTTACCTTTTCTTAGAACTGCTCCTACTCAGGATGCAAACCAGCCAGTTCTCCTCCAGCAGGCTTAAAGCTTTGCGCAAGAGCTCGCTAGGTCCTCCTCACTTGAGTGTCTCTTAATTGCTTCTCCACTTTTGCAAAATCTCAGGAACTGCCCGTGCATTCAGGTTGTTCCCTCTTTTGTTTCTCAATGGCCTCGTTTTTCTCAACATCTCCAGCTGGCATTCACCACCAGAATTTGCTGTTGGAGTGAATTAAGGGGATTTTGCCTGTGTGAACACAGAGTTTTGGCTCTGCTGTTGCGCTCCTGGCTCATTGACCTCTTGGCCCTGCAAATTTGCATCCTTCAGTTGTTTTAAAGTTGATTTAAACCTAGTGCCTGTTGCCATATCTTCTGGCTGCAAATTTTGTAAACCGTATCTACTACTTTGTTTTTATTTATTGTCTCCCCCCCAGCAAATCCCCTTCCTAGGAACATAAGAAGATGCCAAGCCAGACCATTCATCCACCCACCCAGCTCAGTATTGTCTGCACTGACTGGCAGCAGCTCTCCAAGGTTTTGGGCAAGGGATACTCCCTGTTCTTCCTGGTAATGCCAGGGATTGAACTTTGGGACCTTCTGCATGGAAAGCAGATGTCCTGCCTCTTTGTTGTGATCCTTCCCTTAATTCACAGGAAGCCAGGAAGCTGTGTTCTGTTGAGTCAGATTCTTGGTTCATCTAGCTCAGTATTGCTACACTGACTGGCAGTGACTCTCTAGGGTGTCAGGCAGAGGACCTAACTGGAAGATGCTGAGCATTGAACCTGGGACCTTCTGCATGCACAGCAGATGCTCTCCCACTGAGCTATGGCCTTTGCCCAAATAATTATGGTCTTGAAGTTTGGTCTTTTCCACTGATGCTGCACCTTTGATCAGTTGTAAAAAGTTGTAAAAATAAAAATGCGAGTGCATAAGGAGAGCAGGCTGAATGATGACCTCTAGTCTGGCACCTGTTTCCCACAAAAAGCATGGTGATGCCATGGTGATGCCAGATGCCCTCTTGAGAAATTCACTTGGAAGAACATGAAGGCAATAGCTTTCATTGGCACCTGGCGTTCATTGGACCTGCAGAAATATTATCTACAGCAAAGATCTATGGTTTACTGGTAGAGCAAGTGCTTTGCATTCAGAAAGTCGGACATTCAGTCCTTGGCAGAGCCACTGCCAGACAGAGTAGACAGTGCTGATTCAGATGGACCAATGGTCTGACACAGTCCAAGGATGCTAAACCAGATGGGCCATTGGCCTGATCCAGCAGGCTCTTCTTATTTTCTGAAGAGGATGGCTTTTAAACACTGCTCAAGTAGGCTGTGTTTAAAGTCGCGTCCACACTGCACACTTGTTCCCCCGTAGAATGCTAGGAGCTGTAGTTCACTGCTTGCAGAGCTAGCATTCCTAGCGCCCTTAAACTACAGTTCCCAGGATTCTATGGGGGACATCATTTGCTTTAACTGTATGCTGTATATATGTGGCCTTGGTTTGGGCGTGGGGCTTTTTATTTATCGTATTTAGTTATAAAGAAATATTTCTCTACCACTGCAGCATAAAAAGTACTGTATTTTTCGCCCTATAGGGCGCACCTAGGTTTTTTGGGGGGGAAAGAAAGAAACACAATTTTATTTTCCCCCCAGCCGCGGGGACCTTCAGGGACAGCCTCTCTAGCCTCCGTGGGACAGCGGAGTGAAGGCACTCCACTGCTCTACAGCAGCTTTGTGCAGCCATCCTGAAGCTAGAAGAGGGAGACGGAGCGCTCCGTCTCCCTCTTCTGCCTTCAGGGACAGCCTCTCTAGCCTCCGTGGGGCAGCGGCTTGCGGATATCTGCCCGAAGCCTGGGGCGCGCTGCTTCAGCGTGCCCGGGGCTTCGGGCAGCAGGCTGCTATCCGCAAGCCTAGGGAGCCCTGCGGGAACTCCCGCGGGCTCCCCAGGCTTGCAGATAGCTTCCTGAAGCCTGGAGAGTGAGAGGGGTCGGTGCACACCGACCCCTCTCGCTCTCCAGGCTTCAGCGAAAGCCTGCATTCACCCCATAGGACGCACACACATTTCCCCTTCATTTTTGGAGGGGAAAAAGTGTGTCCTATAGGGCGAAAAATACGGTATATCACAGCGGTTTACAACAATATAAAAACATGAAACCAAGCAATAATGTCATAAAAAGTTACAAAGAAGTTAAAAGCAAGAAATAAATTAAAAGAAAATATCAACAGGCCAACATAGGGAGAAGTCCTGCATAGGCCTGATGGCAGAGGATTGCACAGGACTGAGCCAATGGTACTCAGTTGACCCATCCTGCAGCATTTTATTTTTTTTAATAAATAGGGATTTGGGGCTTAGAATTTCTTTTTACGCTAGGTGGTCTTTCATACCTAGATTGCTCAGCTACTAGGTGGGAAAGCATCTCAAAAATACTGTATAAAAGAATAATCATGTATGTTCAATGAACACGGGCAAATAGATACAGCCAGCTCATGGGAAGCTTGAAGGCAACAGGAATTTTAAGGCTGAAAACTTTCCCTTGTCTAGGGCAACTTTCACTACCCAGGTGATCTCCAGATCTTTTTGATTACTACACTCCCCAGCCCGTGGTGGTCCAAAACATTTGGAGGGCACCAGGTTGGGGGAAGCTGCTCTAAGGAAAAAGCCCTACTGAAAACAATGGAATTTACTTCCAAGTAAAGAATAGGCTTGCACCGTTGTTCTCTCCAATTCTCTCCATTTTTCTTGTTGTAAGAGTTTCTGTAAAGGGAAACAACAGAGGACCTGGAAAAGGCAACTTTTCTCCCTTAAAGACCTGAAGAGGAAGAAAGTCACTGGGGAAAGGCCAAGACTCTGGGGCATCTACTGCCATCATCTGCGGAGAGGCATAAAGCTTTGCAGCCTTTGCCCTGGAAAACACAGGCAGCTGCCCTGGACCAAATCAGGTCATTGGTCCATCTAGCCATCATGGCTAGTAGCCATGAATAGCCGCCGCCTCCATGATTTTGTCCAACTTTCTTTTAAAGCCATTGCTGCTTCCTGCAGGAGTTACATAGTTTATTATGTGATGCATGAAGAAGCCTGTCCTGAATCTGTGGCACAATGGGTCCGCGTGTCTGGCTGTTAACCAGAAGGTTGGTGGTTCAAGCCCACCTAGAGATGGCTGTGGGCAGGATTCCTGCATTGCAGGGAGGTGGCCTGGATGCGCCTCAAGGTCCGTTCAAACACGATGATTCTATGATTCCAGCATCAGTGGGCGCCTGCTTCTTACAATAGGCTTACAGCCAGCCAGTATCCACACAGGAACATAGGAAGCTGCCTTATACTGACTGAGTCAGACGATTGGTCTGTCTAGCTCAGTAGCGTGTGCTCTGACTGGCAGAGGCTCCCCAGGGTTTTGGGTAAGGAGTCTCTCTCCTTGCCCTGCCTGGAGATACCCTTGGGGATTGAACCTGGCGCAGATGCTCTAACCACTGAGCCAAAGCTCTTCCCCAATGCTTTGGAAGATGGAAAATGTTTATGACTGACATTGGGGAAAATAGTATGTGGTGGTCCCAAGCGGGTAACTTGTGAGACACTACAAAGTGGGTCTTGCTCTGCCCTGAAAGGTTGCATGTAATAATAATAATAATACAGTGGTACCTCAGGTTTCAGACACCTCAGGTTACAGACGTTTCAGGTTACAGACTCCATTAACCCAGGAATAGTACCTCGGGTTAAGAACTTTGCTTCAGGATGAGAACAGAAATCGTGCAGCGGCAGCGGGAGACCCCATTAGCTAAAGTGGTACCTCAGGTTAAGAACAGTTTCAGGTTAAGAACGGACCTCCAGAATGAATTAAGTTCTTAACCTGTGGTACCACTGTAATAATTTTATTTATATGCCCAGCCACTTTGGGCAGTTCCCAACAAAAGATTAAGGTAAAGGTAAAGGTAAAGGTACCCCTGACTGTTAGGTCCAGTCACGGATGACGCGCTCATCTCGCTTTATTGGCTGAGGGAGCCGGCGTACAGCTTCCGGGTCACGTGGCCAGCATGACTAAGCCGCTTCTGGCGAACCAGAGCAGCACACGGAAACGCTGTTTACCTTCCCGATGGAGCGGTACCTATTTATTTACTTGCACTTTGACATGCTTTCGAACTGCTAGGTTGGCAGGAGCAGGGACTAAGCAACAGGAGCTCACCCCGTCGCAAAGATTCGAACCGCCCACCTTCTGATCAGCAAGCCCTAGGCTCGGTGGTTTCGACCACAGCGCCACCCATGTCCTCAACAAAAGATGAAAATGGTTGATGATATATTGTGTTTTTAATCTTTTGTTTAAAAACACAATAAATCATCAACCATTAAAACCTTCCCTGAACAGGGCTGCCTCCAGATGTCTTCTAAACTTCCAGGCACAAAGCTTACTGGATGGCTTCAAAGAGCAGAGGAAGAACAATTGCAGTAGTAATTAAAACCGGATTACCGTAATTGCTTTTTTTTTAAGCCTTGTACAAGGTCAGGAAGACTCGCGTAGCATTCTCATTCTTCCTTTTGCATAATTGGCAATGCTCAGCCTGCATTCTGAAATAACAGAGTCTTGTGGAAGCAGGTTTGATTTATTAATGCAACTCCCCACTTTTTTTAAAAAAATGGTATCATGTAACGCTTAAACAGACGAGGGCAGGTTCCCTTTGTCACCAGGCTGCAAGCAATGCGTCGCTCTGTGGGGTGTCCCACAGGGTGGAGGAGCTGGCCCTTTTGCCTGGGGAATGTGGTTGCTTAGAGACTGGTGGAAGGGGAGGCATACAGAGTGTTGCATTCATGGGGTTTGGGCGCTGGGGAAACTGCACAGGCTCGGTATTTTGTGACCAGAACTTAGAACGGGCACTCCTTGCTTCGCTTACACTCACCTTTGCCAAGCCCCTTTTCTACCTGGGAGGTTCGGACTGGTAGTGGCCAGAAAGTAAGCCAGGAAGTGCCCAATTGAAACCTTGTTCAGGCTAGCCATTATCTTCCCAACCTCAGTTTTCCTATCTGCAGTATGGGGATAAGGATACGGCAATTTACTTTGTTTGCCAAAACTGTTTGCACATTCCAGCTCCAAGGGCCTTCTGGTGGTTCCCTCTGTGCGAGAAGTGAGGTTGCAGGGAACCAGGCAGAGGGCCTTCTCGGTGGTGGCACCCGCCCTGTGGAATGCCCTCCCACCAGATGTCAAAGAGATAAACAACTACCTGACATTCAGAAGACATCTGAAGGCTGTTTTTAATGTGTGACATCTTAGTGTATTTTTGGTCTTTGTGGAAGCCGGCCAGAGTGGCTGGGAAATCCGAGCCAGACGGGCAGGGTACAAATATTATTATTATTATTATTATTATTATTATTATGATGCCATGTATCTGGAATCCTAAATGTGATAATGTGGGGGGGGGCTGTGTTTTTTTTTGGACTGTTTCTTTATGGGGGTAGGTGAATTGCCTGTTTAGAGGATGTTTTAACATTGTCAGTTTTTCTTCTGTGAAATGGGTATTCTCTGGTATCCACGACAATTTCCTTGGGTTTCCAAATGTGCCACAAGCCCCAGTCCCCAAACTGGGGACCTTCAGCCCAATATAAATCCGCCCCCTGTAATAGTTGAGGCTACTGTTATATGAAATATATCCCTGTAGCTATAGTTCCCCCTCTGCGTTTTGAATACTGTAATCTGTCTTTTTATGAGAAACTCTATCGTTGCATTTGTGTTGCCATTGGGGTTTCCAGCAGCTTCTGGAATCAGCTGCTGTAAATTGTCCATAGGTAGTTCTAAGCTGCCATATCACTAAATCAGTTCCAGATGTCGTGCAATAATGTCACACATGTCACAAGGGCTACTGAACTGGTTGTATAGGGGCCCATCAAATGATTTGAACTACAACTCCCATTAGCCTCAGCCAGTGGGGCTGTATGATGCTGAGGGTGATAGATGTTGTAGTCCAAAATATTCGGAGGGCCTCAGGTCAGTGGCCCCCACTGTAGGGGCACTGAGCAACTCTGCACCTAAGTGTAACCTCTCCCAAATATTCATGGCAGGATCCAATTCTCACAGCCAGTCACCTGTGTTGCAGTTGCCTAGCAACCAGAATAAGGTAAAGGTAAAGGGACCCCTGACCATTAGGTCCAGTTGTGGCCGACTCTGGGGTTGCGGCGCTCATCTCGCTTTATTGGCCGAGGGAGCCGGCGTACAGCTTCCGGGTCATGTGGCCAGCATGACTAAGCCACTTCTGGCGAACCAGAGCAGCGCACGGAAACGCCATTTACCTTCATGCCAGAGCAGTACCTATTTATCTACTTGCACTTTGATGTGCTTTCAAATTGCTAGGTTGGCAGGAGCAGGGACCAAGCAACGGGAGCTCACCCCGTCATGGGGATTCGAACCACCGACCTTCTGATCGGCAAGTCCTAGGCTCTGTGGTTTAACCCACAGCGCCACCAGAATACATCCCTAGCAACCAGAATACATCTTCCTTATTCAAGAAATATTTCTTTTTTAAAAAATATATGTGGAGTACCGGTTACATGCCTAGAGCTTTCAAATCCTCACACAACCATGAAACTCACCATCTTTTAGCTTGACCTCCCGCACAAGGTCATTGTGAAGATCCTTCAGTGTGGCAGCAACTACAGTGGTACCTTAGTTCTCAAACTTAATCCGTTCCGAAAGTCTGTTCCTAAACCAAAGCGTTCCAAAACCAAGGCACGCTTTCCCATAGAAAGTAATGCAAAACGGATTAATCCGTTCCAGACTTTTAAAAACAATCCCTAAAACAGCAATTTAACATGAATTTTACTAACCAGCGAGACCTTTGATCCATAAAATGAAAGCAATAACCAATGTGCTGCACTAAAAAATAAATAAGTATTGTAGATGATAAAAATTAAAATTAATTTTTTATTCTTACCAGCACTGATGATCAGTTTGGATGGGGGGCTTTTATCCATTTCCGCAGTCACACAATCAATCAATCAGTAGCTGAACTGGGTTCCACACAGTCACAAAAACAAATTAACCAAAAAAAGCCTCAAAAACAAAAGCGCAAAAAAATACAAATTCTGTTACATAAAAATACATAAAATAATATTTCCAAGCTGCTTTTCAACAACTTTCCCAAGCTGGAAACAAATATGTAAATCCCATTTGAAAGCAAACATTAAAATATAGCAATTCAAATCACAAGCCAATTAAAAAATGCCCTGTACCATAAAAATTAAGAGCACCAGGAAACCCCCAGCTGCATGTACAATAAAATCTTTGATTGAACGCCATAGAAAAAAATATTCATCCCTAGCAACCAATGTGCCCTGGCACTTTTATTTTTTCCTCTGCAAAGATGGGAGCTAGAAACTTTAAAGGCAGGGAGAAAAGGGTATCTAGGAGTCCCCATAAGCTGCACTGGATACCATTTGTAATTTCTTTGAGATCCTGTTAGGTGGAATAGAAATTTTGGCAAACTAAACTTCTGCAGGGAAACATGCTGTGCCTGATATGAACAATGCGCTTCTACTCTCTCCTTCCACCCATGGCATAAAACATTTAAAGAACTATATAGGCGTTGCCCGTGAGAACATGCTGGGAAGCCGCAGACCAAGGTGGCTGCCAAGCTTCTTTAATTTCTGACACCTGTAACCCAGTTTCTTTTCTAACTTTTTTATTTTTTTCTTTTTTTTCCCTTTTTACTACCACTAAATATAATTAAGAAATAAAAATTACATACATCAATATTTAGTTTGTTATTTGTTATTTACCGTCTTATTTCCTCCCAAACATTGCATACAACAACACACATATGTGCAGACACCCACACCCCCACACAAAATGATAATAATGAAAGTAAATTTTTTCCCCTTTTATCTTCCAAAATCTTTTCTTCAACTTTGACTTCCTGTCAAGTCCCTTTGCGTATATTTTATCTTACATTTGAATGTACACAAAACAATAAACCTTTCTATATAATTTTTCTAATACATTCTGAAAACATAGTAAAGGTAAAGGTACCCCTGCCCGTACGGGCCAGTCGTGACCGACTCTGGGGTTGCGCGCCCATCTCACTTAAGAGGCCGGGGGCCAGCGCTGTCCGGAGACACTTCCGGGTCACGTGGCCAGCGTGACTAGCTGCATCTGGCGAGCCAGCACCAGCACAGCACACGGAAACGCCGTTCACCTTCCCGCTATAAAGCGGTACCTATTTATCTACTTGCACTTAGGGGTGCTTTCGAACTGCTAGGTGGGCAGGAGCTGGGACCGAACGACGGGAGCTCACCCCGCCGCGGGGATTCGAACCGCCGACCATACGATCGGCAAGTCCTAGGCACTGAGGTTTTACCCACAGCGCCACCCGCGTCCCTTCTGAAAACATAATAAATCCTTAATTGTTATCCACCTCCTTTTAGTTCCTTTATCACTCTAATGCTAGCACGGAGTCAAAACTATTAGTGTATTTTTGAACATATCTTCTATAACCATCCCATTTTTCCACAAATTTTTGCTTTGAGTTTCCTCTGAGTTTCCTAGTCAATTGAGCCGTCTCCACCAATTCCTGTAATCTGATTTGCCAATCTGTTATTTTTGGAGCCCCGTGATCTTTCCATCCCTTGGCCACAAGTATACGAGCCGCTGCGGTTGCATACAAGAATAACTCCCTTAGATTTTTTGGGATCTCTTTATCTATAATACTTAATAGAAATGCCTCCGGTTTTTTAGTAAAAGTTATCCCCATCGTCTTTTTTAATTCATCGTATATTTTCCCCAAAAAAGTCTTAATCTTTTCACACGTCCACCACATGTGGATCATGTCTTTTCTAACTTTTTTCTTATGAGCACTTCCAAGTTTTATTTCCAGGTTTGGGGGTTCCGAATCATTGCTTTCGGAAGCGGCGCTGATGCATTAGCACGGCTTTTCCCAAAGTGCGGTACATGTGCCCCTGACCCCAGGGTTCTTAAATTGCATCAGCCTCTTATCATGCGTTTTTAAACTTCCTCTGGGTTATTCTATACTTCCAGTAGTTCATCGCCTTGAATTTTGCCTCTAGGTTTTGTTGACTGCAAAGAATATGTGTCGGGTCGCTGACCTTTCCACACGGCTGGGTGGATTAGCTTCTAAGTCGTGTACGTCCTGTAGATCTTGAGCCTCGTCTCAACTCCGAAAAGGCCTGTAGCTGGAGGGATGACTTTTGTAGCTGGAGGGATGTGCTGGTAGCATAAAGGTAAAGATAAAGGGACCACTGACCATTAGGTCCAGTTGTGGCCGACTCTGGGGTTGCAGCGCTCATCTCGCTTTCTTGGCCAAGGGAGCCGGCATACAGCTTCCGGGTCATGTGGCCAGCATGACTAAGTCGCTTCTGGTGAACCAGAGCAGCGCATGGAAACGCCGTTTACCTTCCCGTCAGAGCGGTACCTATTTATCTACTTGCACTTTGACGTGCTTTCGAACTGCTACGTAGGCAGGAGCTGGGACCGAGCAATGGGAGCTCACCCCGTCACGGGGATTCGAACCGCCGACCTTCTGATCGGCAAGTCCTGCTGGTGGCATAAATCTCTGCAAAATTCTCCCAACTTCATATCATAGCTGTCAACTTTCAGGTTTGAAAATAAGGTATCAGCAGCCTCGAAAATAAGGGATCAGCAGCCTCACCTGTCCCGGGGACAGTCTACGGGATATCTAACAATCTGGGATAGCAGCGGGAAGTAGCGGGAAACGGCGTTGGAATAAGGGAATTTCCCACAAAAAAGGTTGACAGCTATGCTTCATATCCCTTTTTCCTCTTTGCACAACCCTTCCATGCTGGGCTGTTCCCAATGATACAGCTGGCAGTAGCTGGGCTACTTATGACCCAGTTCTAGCTGCAATAATCTAATTAGCTTCATTAAGAAGAGAAGATCCTTCAGAATAATTTGGTGTTTCTCGAAGTCTCTTTTTGCACCTTGGAGTTGTGCAGACCTCTGGAAGCTGGCTAGCGTCTCTTCAAGTACTGGGTCGATTGTGTATGTTGCAACAGGTTCCTTTCCTGCTGGAGTGTGCAGGTTCATTCTTTTCTTTGTTTACAATCTCTTTATTCTGCCCAATATAAATGAACGGCATTCATGCTAGAGCTAGAAGGGGACCAGGTGTGTGTGTGTGTGACGTGGTAGTATCAAAGCATAATGCTGTGCTCAAAACGATGTACCCCAGAGGTTGCGATCATGTGCGATTCTTGCAAATGTTGAATTGTGTGGCAATAAGGCTGAATCAGAGAGATCTACCTTGCAGAAGAGGCATCTGACGCAGAAAAGCATTGTTTGCCTTGGAGAGAGGTGGGACTTTGCACAATGGGCACGACCAGATCTCGTAATTAAGAACATTTGGCAAGTCAGTTTTGCTGGATCCATCACGGCTTTCTCGGTGCCAGCTCCCAGACTTTGGAACTCCCTCCCTGGAGAAGCTAGACTGGCTCCCTCCTTGCTGTGAAGACCTCCTTGTTCCACCAGGCTTTGGGGAACAGACTGCTCTTAATTAATGGACTGATGTGCTGTTGTTAGTGTTGCACGCCATTCTGATCTCTGAGCAGTGAGAGATTCCAGGCGCAATTTCCTAGGGTCCATGGTTTATTTACACATACCGTACTTTTCCATCTATAAGACTCAAATTTAAGAAAATGGGGGGGGGGGGGGAGAGATGACACAGAGTTGTTGAGCTTTTTTGGGAGGGATTACCCAAGGGTTCTTGAGCTTTTTTTAGGGGGGATTGCTGAAAATCGCTCACCCGCACGTGTCACAAGATCCGCCTCCCCTATGTCCCACCGCCGGCAGAAGCTGCCAATCACCCGCCCAACTGCCGGAGCATCAGCCAGTCAACACCACCCACTGACGCAGCAACCAATAACACGCACAATAGCCGCTGACAGCTATGGCAACAACCAATCAAATGTCCATCCTATGCACTGCCCATGTGTAAGATGACCCCCCACTTTTATGAATGGGGGAAAAAATCTTATACACGGAAAAGTACGGTATATACAACCTGAGCCTACAATGCAGGGGTTCCCAGCGTTACACTCAAAGAAGGTCTTCCCAGTTCCATAGGCACACTCCTGGATCCAAACAGACATCAGACATCAGCCAATTCATTGTGTTGTCCTAATACAGGGATAGTCAACCTTTTTATACCTACCGCCCACTAATGCATCTTGATGTAAAATTTCCTTACCGCCCACCAGTGCTCAATGGAAGGAGGATTCAGCTTGTGCCATAGAACCCCCTACCGCCCACCTAGAATCCTGAAACACCCGCTAGTGGGCAGTAGGAACCAGGTTGACAACCCCTGCCCTAATAGCACATCTCTAGCCTATTGCTTAACACAGAAGGTCAGCCTGCCTTAATTCGCACTTGACACTTGGCTTAATTAAAGCATCATCAGTGTCTAGCACACACTGGGTCTATTTAGCCAGTTTTAACAGTTCAAACATTGATTAAATTCTAACACTACTGGTTTCGGGAACTTAGGGTGTCTGGCACCCACAAACTTACAACTTATTGTAATTATTTGTGTGTCTTAAACTGATTTTATATATGCATAGAGTTTTAATTCTAATAATGTTTACTTGTTGTTTTCTATGTTTTTAGTGATTCTTGTTTTTATCTGTTAGCCGCCTTGAGTCATGTTAGGGGGAAAGGCGGGGTATAAACAAACAAACAAACAAAAATACCCCCCTTGTGGAACTACAATTCCCAGAGTTTGCTAGGAAGGGGGATTGATTGTTAAGCCACCCTGGGAACTGCAGCTCTCAGCACCCTTAACAAACTATAATTCCTAGGATTCAGGGAAAGCCAATGGTTGTTTAAAGTGGTACGATACTGCTTAAAATGTATAGTGGAGATAGCTATTTTATTTGGAAATAAGTCCCACAGTATTCAACAGGATTTAACTTCTGGGGATGTCTTGGTCGAATTATAGAAAAGTGTGAGAGCAAAACTCTGTAACGGGATCCTAAATCTTTACACACCCACCCTCTGTGTTTTTCATTTTTCTCCTCAGTTCCGTGAGAACATCCAGGATATCTTTCCTCTGATGCCTATCACAGAGGACTACTATCTCTTGAAATGGCTCCGAGGTAAGAAGGCCTGGGGGCTGTTTGCTTTGTGCCAGGAAACACTTGATGTACTGGTTAGCTCAATAACATCTGCACCAACTGGCTGTGACTCTCTAGGATTCCAGGTGGCCCTTTGGTCTAAACCACTCTTGGACTTGCCAATCAGAAGGTCAGTGGTTGTAATCCCTGTGACGGGGTGAGCTCTTGCTCTGTCCCAGCTCCTGCCAACCCAGCAGTTCGAAAGCACACCAGTGCAAGTAGATAAATAGGCACCACTGTGGCAGGAAGGTAAACGGCGTTTCCGTGCGCTCTGGTTTCCGTCACGGTGTCCTGTTGTGCCAGAAGCAGTTTAGTCATGCTGGCCATTGGACCTGGAAAGCTGCCTGTGAACAAACGCTGGCTCTCTTGGCCTGAAAGCAAGATGGGCGCCGCAACCCCATAGTCACCCTTGACTGGACTTAACCATCCAGGGGTTCTTTCTCTCCCAGCACTACCTGGAGATGCTGGGGATTGAACCTGGAATCTTTTGCATGAGCTATAGTCCCTTTTCTCTGGTTCTTTGGTGGTTTTTGTAGACTTGCCTCTGCAAGTGCTCCCAAGTGTAAATATACACAGGCCATTGCAGGAACAAGAGGGGGAGAGAGAGAGAGAGAGAGAGAGAGAGAGAGAGCGCTTATCTTCCCTAACTGGGATGAACGGAGAGAGTTGTGTTCTTTTATCACCCAAGATTCCTTTGCTTGCACTTTCTCTGTTTGGTAAAGTCCAAAAACCAGAACGTACCAGGCACGGGCTTTGCATTAAACACAGCGGGTCCACAAAGAGGCAGATCTTGTTCAGAACTCCAAGGCCGGGCCCAGGTGACTGAGTGCTCAATCCAGATAACATTTTTATTAATGTGTGCAGCTAGCCATGGTCATGCAAACTCGGTACAGAGTCCCCTGTTCTTTTTTAAACGGAGACACCAACCTAATATGTTTCAGGTCTGATATGAGTGTTTCTCAACCTCTTCCAGCCCATACCCCCTTTTAGCTAACGTAAAAATCCCACATTTCTCTTTTAAGCCTGGCTCCTCTAATTATTTTATTTAACTTTTCCAATGGATTGAAGTTTTGTGACTTTTATTTATTACTTATATCTGCCTATATACATAAAAACGTAAGGCTGTTGCCATGATGCAGTTTGTGCGGCTGCCAAGTCCCACAGGAGGAATGGCAGGCCGGCAAGCGAGTGAACGGGGAGGAGCAGGGGTGCTTCACACAGCGTTTAGCTTTGTGAAGCGGTGAGGCACTTTGTGAAGTGGCTCCCCGGTCATTTAAAAGGGGGAAGGGCCTTGGATTGAGCTGGGGAGAGGAATAGGTGAGGGGGTGGGTGAGGTGTAAATGGCGTGGAGGGAGTCTAGCAAAGGAGCAGGTGGGTTGGTGAGCGGAGTGAGCAGGGGCAGCAGTCCCTAGTGGTACAATTTTTTAAAAAAATGCTTACCCCACCCACCCTGAGATCTTCCTACACCCTCCTGGATAAGAAGCACAATGCCAGATGCTTTAGACTACAGCTCCCATCATCCCAGGCCATTTCTTCTTCTCACTGGGGCTGATGGGAGCAGATAGTTTTGTGGTGTTTTTTGTTAATCTGATTGGGAATGTTTCCACTTGCTTCCGGAAATTTCCTGTTGCTTTAGATCAAGGCTAGTCAATGCGGTGAACACCAGACATTGTTGGACTACAACTCCCAGCAGCCCCAGCCAGCCTGGCAAAGTGGGCAGAGGCAATGGGAGTCGTAGTCCAAAACATCTGGAGGGCACCAGGTGGGGGAATGGGGGACTTGGAGCATATTTTTATTAGGCGACTCATAATCAAAATAAACTGGATAATTTTTAAAATCTCTCTTTCCTTCCCCATGATGGCTCACCACATTGCTGTCTCTGTTTTATTACGTTTATATGCCAGCTTTGCTCCAAGTAGCTCGAAGTGGCACACACGGTTTCCCTCCTCTCCACTTTATCCTCACAGCAAACCTGTGAGGTAGGTTAGGGCTGAGCTGCGTGGCAGGGAAGAGCTTTGCAGTAAGTGCAATTACACCCACAATCAGAGTTTCTCCTTCAAGTCCGCCAGACTCTTATTTCAACCAGTTCTGCCGCTTGAGACTCTGCCCTGGAGTTTCTGCCTGTTAGGAAGATAAGGCTCTCCAGTGAGAGATTAAAAATTATCAGGCTGTTATCGCAGCCTTATCTTCCCTTCCCTGACCCCTGATATTCTCTGAAGTCCTGTTAGCCCTGTGCTGCAATGGAGAGATGTTGCAACACAAGGGGCCGGTCCTACCATTAGGCGTCGGAAGCCATTCCCCATCTTTCTCAGCTGATGCCCTTGTGAACATACCACTGAGCTGTGTCCCTTCCTCAAATGGTGGTGCTAATAACATATGTATAAGAGTATTGAGAACCAGTGTGGTGTAGTGGTTAAGAGCGGTAGACTTGTAATCTGGGGGAACCGGGTTCGCGTCTTTGCTCCTCCACATGCAGCTGCTGGGTGACCTTGGGCCAGTCACACTTCTCTGAAGTCTCTCAGCCTCACTCACCTCACAAAGTGTTTGTTGTGGGTGAGGAAGGGAAAGGAGAAAGTTAGCTGCTTTGAGACTCCTTAGGGTAGTGATAAAGCGGGATATCAAATCCAAACTCTTCTGTTTTTAGGAGTGTACGGAGCTGCCTTATGCCAAGTCAAACCAAAGGTCCACCTAGCTCAGTATTGTCTACACAGACTGGCAGCAGCTCTCTGGGGTTTCAAGGCAGGGGTCTCTCCAGCCCTAAGTGGGATTGAACCTGGGACCAAGGCAGATGCACTACTGCTGAGCTATGATCTTTCCCACTAAATCACCAACAGGGGACCCAGTTCACTCCCCGAGAGTGAAAATGTGTGTTTAAGGCCCTCGGGTGAGCCCTGCTGGATCAGGCCAAAGACCCATCTGGTCCAGCATCCTGTTCCCACAATAGCCAACTCCTAGTCTCATTGTTGAGCAACAGCCTGCAGAGCTTAGTGGAGTGGGAGACCAGCCAACTAGAAGGTGTCTCTGAGATGTCCTCCAAAGTCAGGTCCAGTCCTAGGGTCAGCCAAACAGCAAACCATGTGGTCAGGGAATCCGATGATCACGTGGGGTAAAGGGTCAAGATGAGCAGAAAACAGCAAGGTAGGGTGGGACGCGGGTGGCGCTGTGGGTTAAACCACAGAGCCTAGGACTTGTCGATCAGAAGGTCGGCAGTTCGAATCCCCGCGACGGGGTGAGCTCCTGTTGCTCGGTCCCTGCTCCTGCCAACCTAGCAGTTTGAAAGCACATCAAAGTGCAAGTAGATAAATAGGTACCACTCTGGCGGGAAGGTAAATGGCGTTTCCGTGTGCTGCTCTGGTTCGCCAGAAGTGGCTTAGTCATGCTGGCCACATGACCCGGAAGCTGTACGCTGGCTCCCTTGGCCAATAAAGCGAGTTGAGCGCCGCAACCCCAGAGTCGGTCATGACTGAACCTAATGGTCAGGGGTCCCTTTACCTTTACCTAGGGCCAGGAACTACAAGCATTGTTTACAGCCTCCGACTGCTGCTGGAAACTCTGCTTAAGGTGGCTGAAGCCAGCTGGTTCCCATCAGCACCTTCTCCTCTGTGTCCTTGAAAGCTGATCAGCTGCGGGTGGGGTCTCCCCCTTCAGGCTGCTGTTCAGCAGGCGAAGCAGACTCCTGGCCCATGTCATTCTGAGGCATTTCCTTCTTCCAACAGTGGAGGCAGAACGTGGCCGCTGAGGTTGGTCCTCATCCATGAATTGGCCTGAATCCCCTTTAAAGCCATCCAAGTTGGCCACCACTACTTCTTGGGGGAACAAATTCCAGAGGTTAGCTCCTGGATCAGTCTCGGTCCAGTATACCTGAAGGAGCGCCTCCACCTCCATCGTTCTGCCTGGACACTGAGGTCCAGCTCTGAGGGCCTTCTGACAGTTCCCTCGCTGCGAGAAGCCAAGTTACAGGGAACCAGGCAGAGGGCCTTCTCGGTAGTGGCACCCGCCCTGTGGAACGCCTTCCCACCAGATGTCAAAGAGAAGAACAACTACCAAACTTTTAGAAGACATCTGAAGGCAGCCCTGTTTAGGGAAGCTTTTAATGTTTAATAGGTTATTGTATTTTAGTGTTTCGTTTAGTGGCAAACCCAGCCAGATGGGTGGGGTATAAATAATAAATTATTATTATTATTATTATTATTATTATTATTATTATTATTAGCTGCCTTTTTCTGAACCTGTTCCAGGCCTTGCCACCTGGCCTACTTGCCCTTTTGGCCTGGTTTTAATCAGGGAAAACCTTCCGAAGGATAAGAGTCCATTGATCAGATTCAGGTGCTCTGCCCGTCACCTGGAATCTGCCAGAAAGGGTTGCCTCTGGCTGGGAAGCCTCTGACTTGACCTGACCAGGACATCTCCCTCCCCTACCCCCCTTCTCTCTCTCCCTAAGATGGGTCCTGACCTTCGAAATAAACTTGGTTCTTGCAAGCTGCTTCCCTCTGGTTCATTAGCATGCCTTGGGTGTGATCCTACTTGTTGAAAGGGAGATGTTGTCGAGGTGTGATTAATCCTTGAAGGCGCTGGCTGTGAAGAGCCGCCCACTTAATCCCTGATTATGTTCCGCTGAGAATAAAAACTGGATCAGGCACTCCCCATCTGACTCCGATACCCTGGGGGCTAATTAACAGGTTGCACCAGCTCCTGCGGCAACGTATAGTGACCAGCTGCCTGCTTGTCCCACAAGCAATTGTACAGCTGATGTTTATAAGGTCAGAGGTGAAATGGTGACCTCTGTTGCAGGATTTTGTAATGGTTTTGCAAACATCAATGATATATAGAACAGTAGAGCTGAAATTCAGCCCTGAGTGCTCACTCAGGAAGAACAGATCCTGAAGCTGAGGCTCCAGTACTTTGGCCACCTCATGAGAAGAGAAGACTCCCTGGAACAGACCCTGATGTTGGGAAAGATGGAGGGCACAAGGAGAAGGGGATGACAGAGGACGAGATGGTTGGGCAGTGTTGTCGAAGCTACCAGCATGAGTTTGACCAAACTGCAGGAGGCAGTGGAAGACAGGAGTGCCTGGCGTGCTCTGGTCCAGGGGGTCACGAAGAGTCGGACACGACTAAATGACTAAACAACAACAAGAGCTGGAATGAACCTCAAGGTTCATCTAGTTCAGGGGTCAGCAAACTTTTTCAGCAGGGGGCCGGTCCACTGTCCCTCAGACCTTGTGGGGGGCCGGACTATAAGCCACCCTCCCACGACTCTCCCCTCCCTTCTCCACAGCACTGGATGAGCCCCGGTGGCTGCTTACCTGTGTCTTGCGAGCGGCAGGGGCTGGCGGCTGTGGCGGTGGGATGATGAGCGGTGCACGAAAGGGTTCTGGAGAGAGGCTGCTTAAAATGGCGGCCACTCGAGCGCTGCTGCTGTTGGCACCAGCAAAGCCCAGCCCCCTTCCTCCTCTAGGCAGGGCGGGGAGAAGCCAGGAGGGAGGGAGGGAGGAGGCGCCGCCACCGCTGTGGGAGGGAGAGGGAAAGAACGTGCGCGCTGCCGATCCACGCAGCGATTCCCGGACCATCCTCAGGCCGGATCCAGAAGGCAGTTGGGCCTGATTTGGCCCACGGGCCTTAGTTTGCCGACTTTCAACCCTCTGCAATTCAGGAATTGCAGCTGAAGAATTCCACTGCTAAACAGCTCTTGGCATCATTCCTAACGTTTAGCCAGAATCTCCTTTCTTGTCATTTGAATCTGTTAGTTCAGGTTCTGCAGAAAACAAACTTGCTCCATCTTCCATGTGACAGCCCTTCAGATATCTGAAGATGAAATGGTCACGTTTGCTGTGAGGAGGAGTGATAGGAAAGCAGAAATAAATAAAAGTGGAGACTCTGGGGCCAAATGACGCTTGTTCAGCATGTCGCTTTGAAGTTGGGCAAATCTTTGTTTACTGCAAATGGCAGCTGTGGGGAATCCGTTTTTGAAATGCAGCGACCTTGCTTGTTTATTGGAAGCATTTGCCCTTCAGATAGAAGCACATCTGGAAATGGGTGCAAATAGGGTGCAAACCAAAACAGCTGGGTGTTACCTTTTAGCACAGGTGTTTTGCAGGTTAGTCTCTAACCATTCATGATCTTCTTTGCAGCTCGGTGTTTTGACTTGCAGAAGTCTGAAGCTATGCTCCGGAAGGTAAGAGGCTTATTATTATAAATATCAAAACAGATGCATGCAAATTGAAACTTCACACTGATAATTTGTATAATGCAGTGGTTCAAAAACAGTGGTCTAAGTGCCTCTTCATTCAAGTAGTCTGCAGTGTGACTGCGGATTTGAAGGCAGGAGAGGGCACGGCTGTTGTGTTACATATTCATATTGATTTTTAATTGCATTTTTAATGCTTGTGTTTCTTTACCTTGTATTTTATGACATTGTATAAAATACCGTAATATTATTTTATTTCTTTGCATTCTCTGGAATTGTAATACAGCAAAATGCACTATATATGAGAAAGCAATAAAAATACAATTAAAAATCATGCAGCCCCTAGTAAAATGTTGCACCACATCCACAACAGGCAGAAAAATAATTAAGTAGTCCATCAAGACCCTCAGGAATTTTCAATTTTTTATTTTGGGTGTGTGGGGGGGGGGGAGGTCGAGGATTGTTGGTATAATGCATCCCAGCAGGCCCAACATATCATAGAGTACATTGGGTCCCAAAAGGCGTTGTAAAAGTGGCCTCGTTTGCATATAACAACTTAGGGGCTGCCACAGAGAAGGCCCTCTTCTGGGCTCCCACCCCCCTGAACTTTTGAGCGCTGATCTTCACTCCCAGGAGTGTCTGTAGGGAAGGAGATGGCCTTTCTGGAAATAGGGCCTTAAGGATTTAGGACTTTATAAACACCTTGAATAGGGCCTGAAAACAAACCAGCAGCCAGTGCTGCTGTCTGAGAACAGCGGATGTATGAGCTCTAAGGTTAACGCCAGCCCATAATCTGGCAGCTGCATTTTGGGCCAGTTGCCATTTCTGCGTTGTCTTCAAGGGCAGCCCAACGCAGTGTGCACTGCATCCCAGTCATCTGGAAGAGGCCTAAGATGACCTATGTCTGTCCACCATTTGTCTTCTTCACTAATAGCTTTCTCTTTTTGGTTTTCCCCCCCAAAACAGCATATTGAAACCCGGAAGCACATGGATGCAGATCATATCATAGAGTGGAAGGCCCCAGAGGTGCGTTCCTAATTTATTGGCTTCGTCCATATGTCTGATCCTGCCCCAGCTTCCCCAAATTTTCCTCTTACACATATCCAGCTGCCTCTTTACCCTCGGCCTGCTCACCTGCTTGTATATTGGCCCCCACAGGTCATTACAAAGTACATGGCCGGGGGAAGATGCGGTTTCGACCGGGAAGGCTGCCCCATCTGGTACGAGATCATTGGACCTCTCGACGCCAAAGGGATCCTCTTCTCGGCTTCAAAACAAGATTTGCTTAAAAAAAAGTTCCAGGACTGTGAGATTTTACGGCAGCTGTGTGTGGAGCAGAGTGAGAAGGTAAGACCTTGGTACCAGCCTAGAATGCCTGATTTCATGTCCGCCACATTCATGTCATACAGGCAACAACCAATTTTACATGTGTCCGATTGATGCGTGACCGCGCATGCGCATCCAATATTTCTCCAATGAAAATAGGGACATCCAACTTCAATAATAATAATAATAATAATAATAATAATAATTTATTAATATATTATTACCCTGCCCATCTGACTGGGTTGGCCCAGCCACTGTGGCCTGCTTCCAACATATATAAAAACATAATAAAATATTAAACATGCTTGCTATTACAGGGCTGCCTTCAGATGTCTTCTAAAGGTCGTATCCTTATCTCCTTGGCTCAGGGGGTTGCATAACTCCGTACCCTCCAACATTTCTCCAATGAAAATAGGGACGTCCTAAGGAAAAATGAGACATTCCGGGATCAAATCAGAAACTGGGACTCCGGCTTCTGTAAATCTGGGTCTGTCCCTGGGAAGTAGGGCGCTTGGAGGGTGTGCATGCGTGCACCACAGTGACCCGGAAGTGGCTGAAAAAGGGGTCGTAACAGGACAGGGCATAATGGGTTTATGCATGCACCACCGTTGCACATGATGTCCTGGAACACAACCCCCATGCAAATCGGAGATTGCCTGTACTTTTAAAGCACCACAATACAACTTTAAACAGTCATGTTTTTTTTCTTCCCCTTCCCCTCACAAAGCTACAATTCCCAGATATGTTTGGCAAGCTTTCCCTCTTCGCGGGGAACTCCAGGAATGGTAGCTCTGTGAGGAGGAATATCGGGGTCTCTCCTAACAACTTTCAGCACCCGTAACAAACCACAGCTCTCACAGCTCTTTAAGCGCACTTAACAAACCACAGTTCTGGCAGGCTTGCCTTAACATTCCTAAGAGCTCTCCTTTAAAATGTAGTCTTCTGCATGTGGTCGCCTGTTACATTTGCTGTGAATTTTTTGTGCGGAATTCTTCAGCGCAGTCACCTACCAACATTCTGGCCATGGGATGGCGGGGTATCCGATCTCAACTGCTATATTTAAAGAATAGTCACCGTCCTGCCAACCTGGTGCCACCCGGATGTTTTTGGACTGTAATTTCACCCTAGCCAGGACAGTTTAAAGACATTGTCCAAAACGACTGCAGGGGGTTCGGTCCCTTCTGACTCTACAATTCTATGATTCTGAAATATACTCGGAGTCGAGAGTGGATTTCATGCTCTTTATTCAGCTCCTAGTGGTGAGGAGGAATGGAAGTTCCCCCAGAATGTCTGCTTTATATACATTATTTACACAATGGGCCCCACGTGATTGGCTAATTCCGGGATTCACCTGTAGGCCAATCAGGTTGCGGATTCACTTCCACCTGGAGCTGGATTGGGTGGCTCCTGTGGACCAATCAGACTGCTGCGTTCTGAATCCTATTGTTCTAGGACCAATCAGACTGCTGCCTTTTGGATCCTATTCAACTCAGTACATAACAGATTCTATGATTACATCTGGAGGACACCAATGTGGCAAAAGAGAGGGGGAGGAATGGTTTTAGATGTTTTTGCCTAAAGCATGTTTCGTCTTCTCTCTCTCTCTCTCTCTCTCTCTCTCTCTCTCTTTAAAGCTGGGGAGGAGAGTTGAAACAGTCATGATGATTTACGATTTTGAAGGGCTGGGCCTGAAGCATCTCTGGAAGCCAGCTGTGGATGCCTATTCTGAGGTGAGAATGGCAGGGAATCCACCCCCATTGCATCTCTGAATGACTGTATCTGCTGTTTGGGGTGCAGTTTTAGTCCTGTATCTTTGTCCCAAGAATTCCCTCCCCACAGAATTGTTTGTGGCACCTTCAGTATGTCATATGCTAGAGACACATCTCTCCCCTCCCACCCTGAATACTGTATTTTTTGCTCTATAAGACTCACTTTTTCCCTCCTAAAAAGTAAGGGGAAATGTGTGTGTGTCTTATGGAGCGAATGCAGGCTGCGCAGCTATCCCAGAAGCCAGAACAGCAAGAGGGATTGCTGCTTTCACTGCGCAGCGATTCCTCTTGCTGTTCTGGCTTCTGAGATTCAGAATATTTTTTTTCTTGTTTTCCCCCTCCAAAAACTAGGTACGTCTTGTGGTCTGGTGCGTCTTATAGAGCAAAAAATACGGTATATTTATTTGATTTTTCCATTTTAAAATTTACATTCACACATCGTATTACAGTCATACCTCGGGATAAATACGCTTCAGGTTGAGCGCGTTCGGGTTGCGCTCCGCAGCGACCCAGAAGTAATGCAGATTACTCGGAAGTAAAGTGAGATGAGAGCCACAACTCCAGAGTCATCTGCGACTGGACTTAACTGTCAGGGGTCCTTTACCTTTAAATGTTAGTGAATCTAGATACATTAATTGCTTCCATAATTTGGCATGTAAAGCACCTCTGAAATGTTTTCCTGACTCATTTTCCCCCCTACCCTTTCAGCTCCTTGCCATGTTTGAAGAGAACTATCCTGAGTCCCTTAAACAAGTCTACGTTATAAAAGGTGAGCTTTGGAAGCAAAACTTGGGGTGGAAAACCCCTTTAAAGCCTGAGGACGTCATGGGAAATCTTTGGGGACCACATGCCACTCAGTCGATTTCTTTGCCCCTGTTACAGCTCCCAGGCTCTTCCCCGTGGCTTACAACCTGGTGAAGCACTTTCTGAGCGAAGATACTCGCAAGAAGATCGTGGTCCTAGGAGGTGAGTAAGATCTGCCTTTGCTGGTTTCAACATTTCTAGGAAACGGGAAACATAACAGAGGGAGAGCCGAGTACTCCCCCTCCCCCCAAAAGACCAAACCGTCCCCCCCATAAAATGTGGCAAGCGAAGCAAATACAAGTGTGTTAAGCCCCTGCTGTTTGGACTCTGCATTTAATACCTTGCTAGCTTTCTCCTTGGGTGCATATCACCCATTTCTTTCCTGGTTGTGTACACAGCACATGGAAATCATAGGAACATAGGAAACTGTCTTCTACAGGCTTGGATCATTGGTCCATCCAGCTCAGTATTGTCTGCACTGACTGGCAGCAGCTCTCCAGGGTTTCAGGCAGGAAGTCTCTCCCAGCCCAAGCTGGAGATGCTGCCTTTGGGGATTGAAGCTGGGACCTTCTGCATGCAAAACGGATGCTCTGCCACTGAGTCATGAGCCATTTCCCTACAACAGCTATAAAGGTAAAGGGACCCCTGACCGTTAGGTCCAGTCGTGACTGACTCTGGGGTTGCAGCGCTCATCTCACTTTATTGGCCGAGGGAGCCGGCGTACAGCTTCCGGGTCATGTGGCCAGCATGACTAAGCCGCTTCTGGCAAACCAGAGCAGCGCACGGAAACACCATTTACCTTCCCGCCGGAGCGGCACCTATTTATCTACTTGCACTTTGACGTGCTTTTGAACTGCTAGGTGGGCAGGAGCTGGGACCGAACAACGGGAGCTCACCCCGTGGCGGGATTTGAACCGCCGATCTTCTGATCGACAAGCCCTAGGCTCAGTGGTTTAGACCACAGCACCACCTGCGTCCCACAACAGCTATATGAAGAAGCTAAATTGGGATCTGCCAGTTGATCTTTAGATGGCTTGAAGGCCATTGACAAAGATTCTCAGACTGAAGGTGTTCCCAATTAAGGAGTCTACCCACTTCCTCCCTAGTCACTTGCGACCTGGTCTCTCAACCACCTTGCTTTTTGTGTTGCCACCTTATCTGCTCTACGTGACCTTGGACTGATAGGCTGGACACCTTCCAGCGAGAGACAGTCTGTTAGCTCTCTCTCTTCTGGTTCTTCTTCACTTTGCTGTTCACCCCCCAGTTCTTCCCAACTTTTGTCTTCAAAACTATGCCCCTCTGCAAACCGCTGCTCCAAATCTATACTGCTCCACTGCTCCTGGGCAGGAGCAGGGGAAGGCTCCCACCATTCCTCATCAGAGCAGTACTCCTTAGCTTGGTCTCTGAGAATTATATTGTTAAACAAATCAAGTGGGAGACTACAAATGGATTTGTGCGCACCCAGCTCTACTGCTCAAAAGTAAAACTCCTGTGCTTGGAGTCTTCTAAATCGGAGTGTTGTTTGCTCCTGGCTCCTATTCGCGGATCTGGGGAATTCTACTCTACTAAAGCAAAGCAAAGTTGATCCCGAAAGCCTGATGTTTGCCCAGTGCTTACCCATGTGAGCCAAGCTTATTCTGTATTGGTTTGGGAATTTGGTTCCTCTGAATTTCAGCCAAGGCTCTGTGTCTGTCTGGAGGCATACATGACGTCTCTTCTTAGAAACAGTTGCTTGCTCTGTAAATCACCACCCTGAAGTCCCAAGCTGGGAGGAAAAGGTTCCTCCTCCTTTCTCTGGGACCTATCCTTCCTCTGTATGGCTGAAGGGAAATTTAAAGCAGATTGCCTAAGGCTCCTCCTGCCGCTGCCTGGCTAGGTATGTCTTTTTCCAAGTCCCTCGTTTTTACCCTGCAGCAGACATCATAAGGCTTCCCTGTATTCTGGGCAGCAGAAATGAATGAATGAATGAATGAATCCATTCAGAAAATCTGCCCTTAGCTGTTTAAAACTCCACTCCACAGTCATATATGGGAGCAGAGCTGTTAGCCACAGGAAGACAGAGCAATTATTCCACTCGCCCACCACCTGCCTCATATTTTTTTTAGCTTCCCCTTTAAAAGTAAATTTGCCATATCCCTATCTTCTTTTAACTTCTGGCAATGTAAAACAGCAAATCCACACAAGCAGCATCCCTGCCCCAGTTGCACAGCAATCTTCCACCGTTCTGGCCCATCACTGCAAAGGTACAGGGATGGCTGGGAGCTGTGGTTCAAAAATATCTGGATGACACCAGCTTAGGGAAAGGCTTGGTGTACGCCTCTTTATTTATTTAGAGACATTTGCGGCCCGCTCTTCAGCCAAAGGGGGGGGGGGAGCTCTTGGAGTGGCTCACATCCAATCACTTAGAACAAGACAGTCTCCGCCCATGACACACAAGGGAAAAGGGATGGGGAGGGAAGAGGAAAAAAGCAAACTCAGGCCACCAATTCTTAAACAGTTGTTTGTATAGCAGCCAGCTGGTATTTTATATTGTGAACCACTCTGTGATCTTCGGATGAAGGGTGGAATATAAATTTAATAAATAAAAATAATAGAAATAGTTCTTGGGTGGAAGGTGCCTGATGGAGCTGGTCTTTTGGCAGAGCTGATGGAATGGCTGTTGACAGGTGCTAGTTAAGGGAGAGGAGGGCTGAGAGATTGTCAATACCAAATATAAAAACATGCACAGAACATTATTGTTGTTTTGGAGGTGGGGATGGTTAGAAAGTATTTGGGGGAGGGAACTCTAGTATGTTACTATCCGCCTCAACCAACCAAGGCTGAAATCACACAGCAGTTCTCATCTTATATTTGAACTTTCTCACCACGTAAAAGCCATTTCCAAAAAAACCAATGGAGTACAGTGCATCTTTAGTGCTCTTTTCTGCATTATCTGATTCCAGGGGGAAATCTTATTAGCAGACCCCTTAAGCCGGAATATCATGGGAGGAAATTGATGACATTTGGGGCAGTTCTTTCCTGCCATTTTTGAGGGGATCACAGGGGAACTGAAGCCCATTTGTGTGTGAAAAGGGTCGGGGTAGTGGCGTTGACATTCACCACTGTGTCACATGACGCCCGCAAGTGTGATTAAACAACGTACCAGTATATTATTTTAAAAGCCACAATTACCAACAGCTACTACAGTGCAAAAGGAACATTAGAAAGCCATACCAAAGCACCCATGTTATAATTAGGAACCCTAAAAGTATCTAATGAGCAGAGTTCAAATGGCTGTTTTTTAAATATATAAAACTGTTGAATATTTTTGTTTTTATAAAACTCTATAAAGGGAATCTTTGTATGCATTACTACTTAATCTGTGTACATTTGTCCTTTCAGACTATGATGCTTTGTTGTTTAATTTTTAATTTTTTTGTTTTCTTGTTATATTTGGTTTTTGTTTTTTGTTTTTGTTAACAAATCAATTATTAAAATAAAAACACTAACTAACACAGTACTCCCTAAATGCACCCCAAATCTTGCCAAGGCTTTGTGTTGAGACGCTGGCTAGGATACGACACAGACAGCTAGCGGCTTATACAAAATCTGGCAGATTGGAGGAGGGGAAAATATTGGTGGTTTTTGGACTGTGGACTCCAGGGACTTTTGCTTACCTGGTTAGTGAGACTAATGTTTGCCCTCAGAGGCCCACCTGGGCCAGCGACCGAGGAATGTTCCCTGAAAAGTGACCGCAAGGTTGCTGACCTGTTCAGCCGCTGCGTTCTCAACAGCAGGGTGCAGGAGGGATGAGAGAGAAATGAGCTGGCTCAATGAATCATAAAATTGGAGAGTTGAATGGTACACCAAGGTTCATCTAGTCCAACCCCTGCAATGCAGGAATGACAGCTGAAGAATCCCTGGCAGACGGCCTTCCAGCCTCTATTTAAAAACCTCCAGTGAGGGAAAGCCCACCACTTTCTGAGGTAGTCCATTCCACTGTTGAAAGGTTCTTACCACCAGAAAGTTCTTACTGATGCTGTTGGAATCTCCTTTCTTGTACAGTGGTACCTCTGGTTACGTACTTAATTCGTTCCGGAGGTCCGTTCTTAACCTGAAACTGTTCTTAACCTGAAGCACCACTTTAGCTAATGGGGCCTCCTGCTGCCGCCGCGCGATTTCTGTTCTCATCCTGAAGCAAAGTTCTTAACCCGAGGTACTATTTCTGGGTTAGCGGAGTCTGTAACCTGAAGCGTATGTAATCCGAGGTACCACTGTAATTTAAATCCATCGCTTCTGGCCCTAACCTCTGGAGCAGCAGAAAACAAGCTTGCTCCATTTCCCACATGACAGCCCTTTAGATATTTGAAGAGTAGGTGTCAGCTCTGGAGAATATTGACCTTTGCTGGTTAATCTCCAGCTTTTTCATAATCCCCTTAGACCAGGGGTCGGCAATCTAAGGCCCACGACACTGGCCTGCTTCCTATTGGCTGCAGGAAGCTCCTGCGGCCAATGGGAAGCTGCGCACGCCTCCTCTGCGCTGGAAGGAGCACCAGAAATAGCGTTTGTGCATGTGTCTGCGGAACCGTGAACTGCCCCAAGCCACAAATCTTTGCCGACCCCTGCCTTAGACAAATTGCTTGCTGGTTGTATTGAGTCAGTTGGAAATCAATTTCTGTGCAATAAACGAACCCTCTCACTTTTCTCCCAGCTAACTGGAAGGAGGTTTTGCAAAAGCACATCGACCCCTCACAGATCCCCAAGGAATATGGGGGAACCCTCACAGACCCAGATGGAGACCCCAAATGCAAGACTATGGTATGGACACTCATCAGGTAGCACTCGGGGTATCACCTTAGCCCTTGGGCGGGGTGGGGCGGGGGTCTATTCCCAGCAGCTAGGGAAGTGTGGTGGCCTAAATTTCCCCAGCCACTCTGGGCAGCTTCCAACAGAATATTAAAATACATTAACCTATTAAACATTAAAAGCTCCCCTAAACAGGGCTGCCTTCAGATGTCTTCTAAAAGTCTGGTAGTTGTTTTTCTCTTTGACATCTTGGTGGGAGGGCGTTCCACAGGGCGGGCGCCACTACCGAGAAGGCCCTCTGCCTGGTTCCCTGTAACCTTACTTCTTGCAATGAAGGAACCGCCAGAAGGCCCTCGGCGCTGGACCTTAGTGTCCGGGCAGAACGATGGGGGTGGAGATGCTCCTTCAGGTATACTGGGCCGAGGCCGTTTAGGGCTTTAAAGGTCAGCACCAACACTTTGAAAAGTCCAGCAAAGACTGGAGTCTGGATATAGAGAAACAAGACACAAGTTTGCAAGGCAGGAAGCAGATGGAAAGAGCTGGACCCAGACAGCCACGCAGAGGGGATGCTTACTTTGCCTCCTTCTGGTTTCCAAGGCTTGTGGCCCACCTTTAAATTCTCAAAAGCACGTTACTGCTTTGCACACACTTGCTAGAGAACTTGGTGTGAGCTGATTACAACCCAGTCAACATCTAAATAACAAGCAAATATATTTTGTTTATGGGAGTGCTTCTTTGACTGCTAGGTTAATTATCAATCCCTCGAGATTTTCTAGGCTGTACTAAGACAGACAACTAGAAAGCTAACAATTCAGAGCCAATTACTTAGGCTCCGAGTAGAATGGCTTTTATAGAATTAAGACTAGGGCCACGTTTACACCGTTTGTTGAAAGCATAATGACACCACTTCCATGGCTCCCCCCAAGAATCCTGGGAGCGGTAGTTTGTTCAGGATACCGAGAATATCCTGAGCATAGCTGTCAACTTTTCCCCTTTCTTGCAAGGAATCCTATTCGGAATAAGGGAATTTCCCTTAAAAAAGGGGAAACGTTGACAGCTATGACCCTATTCCCCATCCAGAGCTACAATTCCCAGAGTGGCTTAACAATCAATCCCTCTTCCGGGAGGGGGGTGCCGGCAGTGGTGGTGGGTGCCCATTTGGACTGATAGGGCGGAAGCCCAGGAGGTGAACAGTAGGTGGTGCCAGAGCAAACTGATAGTAGATTTGTCCGCATCTTTCTCTTCCTTGCTGAGTTCTACCAGCGCAGCACTAAAGAAGAAGAAGACGCCAATATCCAGGGCACCCACCTAAGGCATGCAGGTGGAGGCTGGCTGAGGTCAGGCTGAGGGGCAGTGCCCCATTTGCCCTAATGGAGCTGCCATCAAGAGATGTTGGGAGTTGTAGGGCACCTGCATGGGCTACTCCTGGAGCATAGGCCAGATCTAGAGCTATGGCTGTCCAGGCCCAAAAAGGCCTTAGACTTTGTTCCAGGCCGCTGAGGCGGAAGCTTCTAGATGCAAGACATCACCACCTGCCAAGCAACCAGGCGTATATCGATATAGGGGGAAGCAGCTCTTTCAGTCTCTGAGCTCGATGCATCGGAATAGGGAGTGTAGAGGACAAGCAGCAAGGAAGGAGCGTTGAGCAGGTGTTGTCTCAGCAGCCGCAGCCTCAGTCTCATCACCAATGTGGTCTTGTGCGCAGCTTAACCATGGTGGAGAAGTCCCCAAGAAATACTACGTACGGGACCAGCTGAAGCAGCAATATGAGCATTCGGTGATGGTGAATCGGGGCTCCTCGCAGCAGCTGGAATACGAGATCCTCTTCCCGGGCTGTGTGCTGAGGTAAGCCGAGGCAGGAGCAAACCGTGGGCTGAGCAAACCATGGAATTCTGGCAGCGCACCTATTTTAATATTTTTCTGGCCCACCTTCCAAGGAGCTCAGGGTGATGTGCGGTTCTCTCATCCCATTTTGCCCATAGGACAAGGCTGCCAGGTAGGTTAGGTCCAGAGCGAGTGACTGTGGCCTAAGGTCACCTGGTGGGTTTTGTTGCTGGGTGGGGATGTGATCTCTGGCCTTCCAGGGCCTAATTGAACGCTCTGGCCACTCCACCACACTGAACTACAACTCCCATCATCCCTGGCCATTGGCCATGCTGGCTGGGGCCGATGGGAGTTGGAGTTCAGCAGCTTTGGGCAAGGAGGTGAGTGGGCACACACTCCAGTCCAGCAATCTAACCCAGCCATCACCTCCCTAACAAGAACTGACATTAAACAGGCTATTTCATTGTTAATCCCATTATTGTTCAGCGGTAAGCTTTTAATAAAAGATGCAAGGGACCTTTGCTGGACAATACAGTGGTACCTCGGGTTAAGTACTTAATTCATTCCAGAGGTCCGTTCTTAACCTGAAACTGTTCTTAACCTGAAGCACCACTTTAGCTAATGGGGCCTCCTGTTACTGCCACGCCACGGGAGCACGATTTCTGTTCTCATCCTGAAGCAAAGTTCTTAACCTGAAGCACTATTTCTGGGTTAGCGGAGTCTGTAACCTGAAGCGTATGTAACCTGAAGCGTATGTAACCCGAGGTACCACTGTACGCACTCTGCACAAACATCATAGGAGGACTTTAGACATGGGGATGGGGGCATCGCCAGGCAAAATGGGGCACAGACTGTACAACTTCAGAATGAGGAGGAATGAATGCTTCTCATAATTCGTAACCGTCCTTCACTTCTCCCCTCTCCTCTCTGATATTCCTGCTTATAGGTGGCAGTTCATGTCGGACGGGGCCGATATAGGATTTGGCGTCTACCTGAAGACCAAAGTTGGGGCGCGCCAGCACGCCAGCGAAATGGAGGAAGTGCATCCCAACCAGCGCTACAACGCCCACATGGTGCCTGAAGACGGCTCGATCACCTGTGCGGATCCAGGGATCTGTAAGTGGTACCCAGATCTCTCACTTTCCAGTCCCGTCCCCCCCCGGTCTTCCCTGAATGGACTTGAGTTCATCTGGAGGGATGAACTTTATTTTGCATAGAATTTCATGGGGAATTCCGACCTGCCCCCCTGCACGTATCATGCGCTGTAATAACACTCTTATGCAATATAGCCCCCCAGTGTATCATTTCTGTACAGCATGTACTTACATAGAATTGTAGAGTTAGAAGGGACCTCGTGGGTCATCTAGTCCAACCCCCTGCAATGCAGGAATCAGATAATATTATACATAATATATTACAGTGGTACCTTGGTTCTCAAACTTAATCCGTTCTAGGAGTCCTTTCGACTCCTGAAACCGTTCAAAAACCAAGGGTCGGCTTCTGATTGGCTGCAGGAGCTTCCTGCAGCCAATCGGAAGCTGCGGAAGCCATGTCGGACGTTCGGCTTCCAAAAAACGTTTGCAAACTGGAACACTCACTTCCAGGTTTGTGGCGTTTGGGAGCCGATTTGTTCGGGAGCCAAGCCGTTTTTATTTATTTTTATATATATTGTTGTTGGGAACCATGGACTCCCCTCAGGCCCTCCAGCCCTCAGGCCCTGCTTGTGGGTTTCCCATAGGCACCTGCTTGGCCACTGTGATAACAGGATGCTGGCCTAGATGGGCCTTTGGCCTGATCTGGCTCTTCTGACGTCCTGAAGGCCTGGAAGCCTATAGTCCTCTCTTTACCAGCTGCCCAAGGCAGCAGCCTCACTCTGCCTAATAGTACAGCCGGCCGCGCTCCCTGCGAAGAGACAGAGTTTGGCTGTTCAAAAGGCTTCCTTCCTCCAGCTAGGGTGGAGCTCAGTACAGTCGTACCTTGGAAGTCGAACGGAATCCATTCTGGAAGCTTCTGATTGGCTGCAGGAAGTTCCTGCAGCCGTCGGACATTCCAAAGAACGTTTGCAAACTGGAACACTCACTTCCGGGTTTGTGGCGTTCGGAGCCAAAACATCCGGGTACCAAGGCACAACTGTACTTGCTCGGTGGGCTCCCGGGAGTTTTGGAAAGGGGCAGTGACAGCCCTGACATGACACTTTGCTGTCCTTTTTCCTCTGCCCACGCAGACGTCCTGCGGTTTGACAACACGTACAGCTATATCCACGCCAAGAAAATCAGTTACTCGGTCGAAGTGCTACTTCCGGACAAGAAAGTGGAAGAAGACTTCCAGAAGGTGGAGGAGCAGACAAAAGAGCTGAAGATTAACCACGCCTGATGGAGCTTTCTCTCCCCTCCCAACCCGCAAACCCCCCCCCCCACAAAGGCGGCAATCCTAAAAACGCTTCTTCCCCTTGGGAGGGGTGGGTTTATGGGGCAGAGGAGTGGAAGGAACATTCCCAAGGATGGTGGGGGAATTTAATTTGGGGCGGTTGGGGTGGATTATTTTTGCAGTTGGATACGGAGACCTACTGGTCTCTTCCAGTCCCTACTGTGGGACATTGCCCACCAGCAGTTTTTTTAGCATAGTGGGGATTAATTTGGCAACGCTAATGGGCAGAGGAGAGCCGCCTTCTGTCTCTCAATCTCTGTAGCCCTGCCTCTGTGTTTACATGGCGCCTGAGACCCGGCGGGCCTTCCTTCCCACGTGGGGCTGCATTCCCTCAAAGCTAATTGGTCACAGGCCACAGACCAGTGGTGGGCAGGGCTACCCCTGTTCTCCCCCCCCCCACTGCTTCTTTCTCTTCCTCTCCCCCCCCCACCCAACCCACCAGGCTGCTGGGATCACAATGGATTGCTCATGCCAGAGGTCTGAACTGGTTGCATGCAGGTGGCTTCTGAAATTACGCTGAGGGCCGCCTGTGGCCCTCGGAGCACAATTTCCCCACCCCTGCAGTAGGCATAGGGTTGAAAGAGCAGGGGGGGAATTTTGGGACACCTTGCCGGACTGGACTGAGTGCTCTCCAGATGCTTTGGACTACAACTCCCATCAGCCCTGACCCGACACGTCCACATTTCTCTACTACAGGATTTCCCAAACTTGGGTCTCCAGCTGGTTTTTTTGGACTACAACTCCCATCAGCCCTAGCCAGCTGGACCCAGCGGTTAGGGATGATGGGAATTGTAGTCCACAAAAAGACCCTGCTCTGGTGTGTCCTTTACCAAAATAACAAATCCCTTTCTGGCTGTTTTAGAGTGAACCTGGGGCCCTCCAGATGTCGCTGGACTACAACTCCCATCATTCCTAACCATCGGCCATGCTCCCAGACGGGACTGGTGGGTGTTGGGAATCCAACGGCATCTGCAGGGCCGCAGGTTAGCCACGCCTGCTCTGTGGATGTGTTTAAGCCTCCCTCTGCTTCCTCAAAAATCCACTTTCCCTTACTGCCCATCACTGCCCTCTGCAGTGAATTCCACAAGCGCACAGAGCACGGGGCAAAGTCCTTCCTTTCAAGACCAGGCCTGCGTAGCCCAGGACTCATCCGTCAGAAGCGGCTGCCATCAGCCGTGTACTGGAAGGCGCTGCTTTTCCGCTCTCATCGTTCTGACTGTTCCCAAGAACAGTAGGCACCTCTCAAACTCTGGGAAGGTTTCAGCAAAAAAATGTATTGGGGGGGCAAGATGGGGTGGCTCTCTCCACGCAAGGCTTGCTTCTATTAATGGATTGCCTTAAATCCACCTGCCTCGTTTACGCTCCATGCACCTGCAACAGGTGAGCTGGACCTGCCTGCATGGCACTGGTCCTGAATGTCTGGAAATCCTGCACATTTTTTTAAAAAAGCAGTTTACAGGGTAGGTTCTCACCTCAGTTAGTTTTTTGAGGTGGTTGTGGGATCTTTGCTCAGCAAGGGGGTTTCAAGTTGTACCTGCGACACATTTTCAGAGAGGGAGGGAAAAGCTTAGGAAGAGGCCACTTCTTCCCTGCCTATCTCTTTGCTTATGAACTTCTCTGTCGAAATTCTTGAGTGTGTGGAAAACCGGAGGCCCAAGGAAATAAAATTTCCCCGATGGACACGTTCACTGTGGGCTCGCAGCTAAGCCCAAGTCTCGGCCAGAGTGTCCAGAAACATAGCACTTTTGTTTTTCTCCCTCCCGCACCTCAATTTTAGTTTTTCAGTTACCTTGAAGATGAGAAATGATAATAAACATCTGAGTTGGTATGCATGGCTACGTCTGTTCATGGTAGGGTTTTTCGGGAAGGGGGGAGGGAATAAAAACAGGACCTTGCAGAAAAGATTAAGAATGAGACAATCTCTGTTCCGCAAGCTTACAATGCGCAAGTTGCATCACGAAAGGAAAGGGGGATGAGGAGGGATGAGAAAAAGAAGCAAACTCAAGCACATGTTCAGCACTTGAGTCATTTGTTACAGTTGGGGTTGTGGGGTATAATAATAATAATAATAATAATAATAATATACTGTCCTATACTCGGAGGTCTCAGGGCAGTTCACAGAACAAAATCAAAATATTAAACCACAAAATATATCATCAATAGTGTAGAACTTCCTGAGGAATCATTCCCTATGTTGACTTATTTCTCTCGCCTAAGGAAGTTAATAGTCGCAAACCCTAAAAACAATGCAATCAAAATGATAAAATGAAACATGAAGCTAAAATATAAACTGATAGAGAGGCATTGTGAATTTTCTGCTCTAGGCCTTCCCTTAACTGGTGCCAGTGTGCTGTAGTGGTTAAGAGCAGTGGACTCGTAATCTGGGGAACCGGGTTCGCATCTCCGCTCCTCCACATGCAGCTGCTGGGTGACCTTGGGCTAGTCACACTTCTTTGAAGTCTCTCAGCCCCACTCACCTCACAGAGTGTTTGTTGTGGGGGAGGAAGGGAAAGGAGAATGTTAGCCGCTTTGAGACTCCTTCGGGTAGTGATAAAGCGGGATATCAAATCCAAACTCTTCTTTAGTTGTTCCTGGACCACAACTCCCATGACCCCTAACTCTTAGCCCCATTGGCTGCTAGGGCTGATGGGAGATGGAGTCTAACATATGAAGGGCTACAAGGAAGGACTACAAAACTTCAGGCAATGGGGAAAGGTGTCTTTGTGGTTTTTAAGTGCTCTTACATGGGGGGGGGGGTGAGCATGACAGGGCTCCTCTGAATCAATTGCAATGTGCTCAGTTACTATTTGTGGCATGTATTTCTGAAAAAGAAAACAGAGAGTGGAATATTCAAAAGTGTACTGCCCTAAATGTAGCATAAAGTGGTACAGTCCAGAAAACCGCTACCCCGTTTATTTAAATAATTTTTATCCCACTCATCAGCTGGAAGGGGGAAAGTCTCCCATCATGGCTTACAAATCATTGAAAAAAGGCACTTCTTACTTTCTGTCTTGCAATCTTAAACAAACAAACATACATACATGGAACAAAAGAAAAAATAAGTGGGGAGGGAAGAAAAAAAATGCAAGCTCAGGTATGAGTTATTGGTTACAAGTTCTGATGACCAGCTGCATTCTGCAATCTCATTTCCATGTCCTTGTTTAGGAGGAGAGAGAGGTGTACAGTGGTACCTCAGGTTAAGTATTTAATTCGTTCCGTAGGTCTGTTCTTAACCTGAAACTGTTCTTAACCTGAAGCACCACTTTAGCTTATGGGGCCTCCTGCTGTTGCCGCGCCACTGGAGCCTGATTTCTGTTCTCATCCTGAAGCAAAGTTCTTAACCTGAAGCACTATTTCTGGGTTAGCAGAGTCTGTAACCTGAAGTGTATGTAACCTGAAGCGTGTGTAACCAGAGGTACCACTGTATACAATACATCCAGTTGAGTTGGGTGGCCGAAGTTGGGGTTAAGGATGGGGTTAAGGAGAGACTAAAGACCTCTGTTCTAAGCGAATGGAATGGCCTCAATGCGACTGCTTGGTCTCCCAGATGGGAAGCTGAGCAGACACTACTAAAAATCTGTTGTTTAAATTGGCTGACATTAACACTGGACTCAGAAATACTAGCCAGATAGAAACATAGCAGATCCACAGGGTGCAGAAACCGGTTGAGCAGGTTCACAGTTTGCCAACCAGACAATGCATTTTCCATCTGCGTTTTCGCTACCCAGCTACTTCCCTGTCACTACCAGTATAGTCAGATTTAGGGATCCCTGTATCCTTAGCACTTATATCTGCCCCCCCCAAATGCACTAAAACCATAACACATAAAACCAGGAAGCTCTAACTCGTACAGTATGGGGAACAGTGCCCACATGTGTAGGGGAGGAGGGAGAAATGCAATTCAGTTCATGTTTTAAAGGTGTATCTTCCAAATCTGCATTTTCCAGAATGGAAACACAGCCATTCTTTGAAATTTGCACTTCTCTGGATTTTGTAGTATAAGTCTTCAGTCAAGTAACTTATGCAAAATACATATATTCGGGTACAGAGTGTGCAAAATGTATCTCTTAGTGAAAATGCCATACAAATATGAAGGGGAGTGGATTTACAAAATTGTGTATATTAGTTAAAATTGCATATGAACAGGTGTCTATAAAGTGGTAAAAGGCTCTAAAAGGCTGAGGAATTCTCATGAGGGCTGAAAATAAAAATGCAAATGGATGTGGAAATATGGAGAACTCAGCTTAAGAAAATGAGGAAATAAGAGGAAGCAAAATAGATAATCGTCCCTAGTAATGAGCTTTCAGGAACTAGTGAGAGGCGTATTTGCAAATTACACAACAGGCAATTAAAAAATAAAAGCCCGTTGGGACTTATCATCCTCAGTATCTGCACACACACACACACACGTGTGTTTGTGGGTGTGTTGCACAAAGATCTGATAACATTTCTCTTAGCAGCTGCTAATGATTCCTAGAAGTTAGAAACAACCTCTAGGTTCTCATTACAAGGCTAGTACGTGAGATGTGGGAACAGTCTTGGCCAGCTTAAGAAAACATCAGCCACTCTCCCACCCAATGTTTTGTGTACTGATTGTAGCTGACGGAAGCTCAAAACACCTGATGGGCTGTCAAAGGCTGGTTCAGAGCATTGCTTTAGCTGAGAAGTCGATGCTCAGATGATGACACAGCATGGCAAATTTTATAGAAAATGTATTTTTCCCGAATACGTGCTCCTCTTTCTGAAAAGGCAAAAGTACTACTCTGTACTGAAGATGGATTGTTTTTCCACTTTCTCCCTTATATACATAAAAATGTAAGTGGTCATCACGCTCGACAGTCCACAGCATGAGGAATGGCAGGCTGCCCCAGTGTGGTTTAACAGAGGGAGGGAGGCTCTCTATGCAGCAAGTGCCTCGCCCTCCTTTCAAAGGTTGTGGGTTTGGGGCAAAGGGGTGTTTGTTGGCAGTCACAGCAAGCTGGAGAAGGAGACCCTAATTGTATTTGCTCTTTGACTTGGTCTACCCACCATTTAGAAAATGTGTGAAGTTTCTGACGTCCAAAGATCTGTTTTGCTTTGTGCTTACTGTTCCTGAACAAAATATTTACAAATAAAACTCATTTGTTAAAAATATAAATGCATGCATGTGCTCATTACTATTAATTTTGTGCATCTAACCGGCTTCAGGGCTTGGAGGTAGTGATTCCTGTATCAAATTAAGCCGGAGAGAGCAATCATTCATCTTCACTTTTACAGCCAAGAAGACAATGAATTGGATTTCAAGCAAACCAAGCTCTGACAAACCACATGACGAAAACAAAGAACTGTACCTTTCAATGGGAGAGATCATATTATCTCTACAGTTCAGTGAAAGGCTGCATGCAATCCTGTTCCTTGCAATTCCAGTTTTAAAGGGATCTTGCATAGGAAGTGGTGGAAATACCTCTTTAAAAATACTGTAAATGAAAATCCGTTTCTGTTTTACTTCTTGAACCGTGCATGCAAACAGATGTTTGTATCTTCATACCTGGTTGTCACTCAACATCATGTGCCCACCAGCCTGTGCTTTCATAGGCGGACCTAAATGGGACGGGAGGCATTTCCGGCTGGTGTGTTAGCCATCTTTGTTAAGGGCGGAAGAGCTGATTTAGGGATCATGCGCCAATTCCTGTCTTTGTCTACAATTAGCCTAAACCGGGAGTTCCGCTTTTTCATTAAGAAAAACGAGAGAGACGCCTGTGATACCTTGAAGGCCACGCCTCTATTGTGGCACATGCTTTTGTGGGAATCAGGGGCAACTGGTCAAGAAGGTTTTGCTCGTGGCATAACACACAAATTATGATCTCCTTAAGTACATTTAATACCCAAAAATTACAAACACGTCTGATATCTTTTTATGAGCTAGGATCTCTTGAGGATAGCATATTTCTGACTAGACAGAGACAGCCTTTTTCTAGAATGCTGTCCCAGCTATGGAAATCTGCTAAATGGCAGCTGAGTTTATAATCTGTTTTGGTGCTAGAAGAAAACATTTTTATTTTCTGACGTCTGTTAGATTTTGATTCCTGATTTGGGGGTTTATGTGGTCAGCCTGTTGCATGGGTTGTTTTTTATTTTTTTAAAAAACTCATTAAAATTAGTTTGCTCATTGTTTTAGAAACCATCCTGAGAGTTTTTAACTGAAATGAAAGGGAGGAGGGTGTCAAACATGAACATGAATAAGCAATTAGGAATCGGCCCTACCGTTAGGCAGCCACTTCTGGGGAGCAGAGAGAACAGATAGAGACACGTGTCTGAATGCCCGGGAGCCCCTCAACTCGTTTCCTGCCCTAAAGTGAACTGAACAACTTGGCAGCTCGGATTTCAAACACAGCTGCCTCGGCCTAAATCTAATCCCCATTTAATCCCCTGCTAGATACTGTAGTGTTAACAAGCGCGCCATCTCGTGGTCTGAACGGACTCGTCTCCATCACGAGATTCAGATTGGAGGCATCAGCGCCTTTTTCCGGTTTCATTTCTGTTCACGCTGCGAACACACTGTGTCCCGAAAGCACATTACTGTATTTCTCCCCCAAAAGAATCTTGAGGACTGTAGTTTTTTTAAAAGGTGTTGGGAATTATAGCTCTGCAGATAGTCAAAGCTGCAGCTGCCTGGTTTCATTTTTATTTATTGCATTTATATGTCCCAAAGATGCCTGCTTCTTGGGAGAAAAGCAATGACAAACCTAGACATCATCTTAAAAAGCAGAGACATCACCTTGCCAACAAAGGTCCATATAGTTAAAGCTATGGTTTTCCCAGTAGTAATGTATGGAAGTGAGAGCTGGACCATAAAGAAGGCTGATCGCCGAAGAATTGATGCTTTTGAATTATGGTGCTGGAGGAGACTCTTGAGAGTCCCATGGACCGCAAGAAGATCAAACCTATCCATTCGTAAGGAAATCAGCACTGAGTGCTCACTAGAAGGACAGATCCTGAAGCTGAGGCTCCAGTACTTTGGCCATCGCATGAGAAGAGACGACTCCCTGGAAAAGACCCTGATGTCGGGAAAGATGGAGGGCACAAGGAGAAGGGGACGACAGAGGACGAGATGGTTGGACAGTGTTCTCTAAGCTACCAGCATGAGTTTGACCAAACTGCAGGAGGCAGTGGAAGACAGGAGTGCCTGGCGTGCTCTGGTCCATGGGGTCATGAAAAGTCGGACAAGACGAAATGACTAAACAACAACAACAAATGTCCCAAGGAAACTCAAGGTGGTTCAGTGGCTGGACCCTGCTCCATATTATCCTCACAAGGTAAGCTAGACTAAGAGATGGTGACTGGGACCCAAGGTGAGTAAGCAGTGAGCAGCATAGAGCCAAGCGGGAATTTGAACCCTGGTCCCTCACAGCTCATATTTTGACCCTCTTAATTTATTCTTTGCCTGTAGCTTGCACCCCACCAAATGTTCACCTCCCAGTATACACCAGCTCTGACTAGTGTGACTGCAAAGAACCTGGAAGACCCACATCCAGACACTAACCCCTCTGGGTGACCTTGGGACAGTCAACTGTCTCTCAACCTAACCTACCTCATGGGGTTGTTGTGAGGATAAACTGGAGAGGAAGGGAAAGCATGAGCTCCTTGGTGGAAGGATGAGATATAAATGTACAGTGATACCTCTGGTTACATACGCTTCAGGTTACAGACTCCGCTAACCCAGAAATAGTGCTTCAGGTTAAGAACTTTGCTTCAGGATGAGAACAGAAATCGTGCAGCGGCAGCAGGAGGCTCCATTAGCTAAAGTGGTGCTTCAGGTTAAGAACAGTTTCAGGTTAAGAACGGACCTCTGGAATGAATTAAGTACTTAACTCGAGGTACCACTGTAATAGGTAAAGGTAAAGGGACCATTAGGTGTAGTTGTGGCTGACTCTGGGGTTGCGGCACTCATCTCACTTTATTGGCCGAGGAAGCCGGCGTACAGCTTCCAGGTCATGTGGCCAGCATGACTAAGCCGCTTCTGGCTTAGCTTACCTTCCCGCCGGAGCGGTACCTATTTATCTACTTGCACTTTGACATGCTTTCATACTGCTAGATTGGCAGGAGCTAGGACAGAGCAATGGGAGCTCACCCCGTCACAGGGATTTGAACCGCTGACCTTCTGATCGATAAGTCCTAGGGTCTGTGGTTTAACCCACAGCGCCACCCGCGTCCCTATAAATGTAATAATAATAATAATGGGACATAAGACCCCTGAATCTCCTCCAGCATGCTGCACTCATAAATGACCTGGAGGAGGCCCACTACCGTTTTGCCCGCCCGATCATACAACGCTTGGGGAGGGAGAATTTAGTGGAGGGAGCTTCGCCTGCTGGATTTCTGCCTGCTGAGCTGCTGCGGGAAGGAAGTGGTGCCAGTATATTTATTGCATTGATATCTCACCTTTCTCCCCACTCCCCTCCTCCAAGGAATGAATGAATGAATCTTTATTTGCGTCAGACATCGGCCATAGCAATAAAACAACAACACGATATACAAAGAAAAAAAGTCAGTTATATAAAATACATTTTAGGGTTGTTTTTTAAATCAATCAAATAGTGGATCTTATTCGGATTGCCCCAGCTAAAACCCTTGCAACCTTTGCTGTCCCCTGCTCATCTTGATCTGCCAAAAGAAAGCACACTGTGGCAGTGGTTGGGCAATCCAGAATGCACAAGAAAAGAGGGGTGATAATTTCATCACCTCCTGGCAAATAGAAGGGGAAGAAATGGAGGCAGTGAGAGATTTTACTTTCTTGGGCTCCATGATCACTGCAGATGGTGACAGCAGTCACGAAATTAAAAGACGCCTGCTTCTTGGGAGAAAAGCAATGACAAACCTAGACAGCATCTTAAAAAGCAGAGACATCACCTTGCCAACAAAGGTTCGTATAGTTAAAGCTATGATTTTCCCAGTAGTGATGTATGGAAGTGAGAGCTGGACCATAAAGAAGGCTGATCGCCGAAGAATTGATGCTTTTGAATTCTGGTGCTGGAGGAGACTCTTGAGAGTCCCATGGACTGCAAGAAGATCAAACCTATCCATTCTTAAGGAAATCAGCCCTGAGTGATCACTGGAAGAACAGATCCTGAAGCTGAGGCTCCAATACTTTGGCCACCTCATGAGAAGAGAAGACTCCCTGGAAAAGACCCTGATGTTGGGAAAGATGGAGGGCACAAGGAGAAGGGGACGACAGAGGACGAGATGGTTGGACAGTGTTGTCGAAGCTACGAACATGAGTTTGACCAAACTGCGGGAGGCAGTGGAAGACAGGAGTGCCTGGCGTGCTCTGGTCCATGGGGTCACGAATAGTCGGACACGACTAAACAACAACAACAACAATCTCATTCCTCAAGTCTTTATAAAGAGTGCAAGCCAGAAGGACATGCGCGTCCGATTCCAAGGAGCTGACAGTGCCCACAGACATGGTTCTCCCCCTCCCCACTCAATCCTCACAACAGCCCTGCGAGGTAAGTTGAGGCGGAGAAGCAGTGCCTGGAAGAGCCACCCAGCCACCCTCGAGGTCCCCACGCGCGATCGCGCGCTCTCGTGGGCAGGGAGGGAGCTTCCCGCGATGGTGGCGGCGGCGGCGGCGGCAGGCAGCCTTCCTTCTCCTCCTCCTCCTTTGGGGCCGCCCCTCTCCGCGGCCAGGCGGCCAGTGGGGAGGTGGCTCGGCCGGCTGGGCTCGGCACGGCCCGGTTCCATTGGCCGCTGGCTCCGCGGCGCCGTGCGCTCTGCTGCGCGCTTTGGAGAGGAGGCGCGGCCTGCGCTGGCCCGCCAGCCCGGGACTCTTCCTCGATCCCCGTCCTTCCTGCTCCTGCCCTTGGCGCCCCGGGGCAGCCGGCCATGGGATCGCCGGCCGAGGAGCCTCCGCTGCCGGCGCCGGACCTTTACCGCGACACGTGGGTGCGCTACCTGGGTGAGTGGCTGCAGGGCGATCGCCGCGCCGCGCGCCTCCTCGCCAGTCCCAGCCTCCGTTAAGGGCGGGAAATTTACTCTCGAGGAAGCCCGCAGGCGGCGGAAGAGCGCTTTCCCGGCTGGGACTGCGTTCAACAAAAAGTTGCCGGACGGGACGGGGGGAGGGGTGGAAATCGGGCGGCGGAGACTGATCAGAGTAAAAGGCAAGGAACGCTGTTCTCAGGATTGGGCAGCGGAGGTTGCCAACTGCTTTTCTGCCAGGGCTCCTGTGCCTTCAAGCTCTTGCGCCTTCTTAGGCACAGGAGTTCCATCGAGGAAAGAAGTTGGCAACTCTCGTCCCAATTTACCGCCATTAAGTGCCGTTAGTGCTATACCTTTCGGTGAAATAATGTTAATAAGAGATGTTTAGCTTTCAGGGCACAATCATGCCCTGAAAGGTAGCGTATACATGGGCAGTGATGGCGTATTTCTAGGTAAAGACCCCAGCACCTGGGAGATCTGGGTTCAAATTCCCCATTGAGCCATGAAGCACACTGGGTGACCTTGAGGATTTGTCACTTACCTTTTAATCCAATCTACCTCACAGAGCTGTTGTGCGGATTAAATGAGGAGGGAGAGAAGCAAGTCTGTCACTTTGAGCTTCTTGGAGGGGGAAAAAAGTGGGATAGAAATGCAATAAAATGGCATACTGTCACCTCCCTGAAGGTACTTCCAGCAGGGCAGTTGTGTACTGCTCAGAAGTACAGTGGTACCTCAGGTTACATACGCTTCAGGTTACAGACTCCGCTAACCCAGAAATAGTGCTTCAGGTTAAGAACTTTGCTTCAGGATGAGAACAGAAATCGTGCTCTGGCGGCGCGGCAGCAGCAGGTGGCCCCATTAGCTAAAGTGGTGCTTCAGGTTAAGAACAGTTTCAGGTTAAGAATGGACCTCCAGAACGAATTAAGTACTTAACCCGAGGTACCACTGTAAGTCCTTTTTAATTCAGTGGGTCTTACTCCCAAGGAAGTGGGGTTAGGACTGTGGTTTTAGTTTGGAGCAACAACAACAACAAAACCCAACAAGCAGTCTTGTGGCACCTTTTTTTTGAAGACGTTTATTATGACGTTAGCTTAGGGTCCACACTCAATTATACAAGAGCTTCTGCAAGCCTTAAGCCTCCCTGCTGATGGGAATACTGTTGATGAGAATACTGTACACCCTTCTCTTTCAACACAAAAGATACACAAGAGACAATTGTTCTCATAGATAGTGGGCATCTCCAAGACTATGATTGGCAGGTGAGGAGGCCTTGTCTGGCTGGCATATATGCATAGTAGGGTCTTTCGAGCGGCAGTTTTCTGTCTGATGAATGCCCTCCCTGCTGAGGCGCATCTGCCCCTCTCGTTACTGACTTCCGAGAGGAATTTGGAAACATCCTAGTTTAGATCCAGGCATTTGATGGCGACCCTGAAATCACTGCTTGAGAGAATATTTTCAACTCTTTTTATATGCTGGTTTTTATTGATGCATTTTCCACCATGGGCTCCTTCACCAGGAGGAAGGATGTGATATGAATTGAATGAATGAATGAATGAATGAATAAATAAATAAATAAATAAATGTGTTGTGGAGTTCAAGGATGCGATATATATATATATATATACACACACACACACACACACACACACACACACACACACAAGCATTTGGGTACAAACGTCATGATCTGAAGTCCAAATGATGCATTACATGCAGCTGAGTATAACTTTCCAGATACACTCCTTATAGCTGTATATATCTATTGTACATCTGCTATATATTTTGTTGTTGTTTTTCACGGAAATGCAAACAAAATTCAGTTTCTCCTTCCTTCCTACTTGCTGTCTCCAGTGGGCAACTGAGCACTGCAAAGGGGAAGAGGCTTCTTAACTTTCTTGACAGCTTCTCTATTAAAATCTGTCACTGTCCTTTCAAGTTGTTTTTCCTCTTGTTGAGGACAGCCATTTTAAATAGAAAACAACAACATGGGGAAAGAATTAAGGATCCCCTTGATTTTCTGTGTTGTTCTGTATCATTGCTACATAAATGACGTTATCCTCAAAGGAAAAGTATTTTTATTTATTTCATGCGTTTATATCCCCCTCTTTTTTCCCCTCCAAGGAGCTCAAGGTGAGATATATGGTTCACTCTCTCCCCATTTTCATCCTCATAGCAGTCTTGCGAGGTAGGTTAGCTTGAGAGATTGTGACTGGTCCAAAATCAACCTTAAAGGCCAAGTGGAGATTTGAACCCTGGTCTGGCACTCTAACCACTACACATACTGACTCTTTTTTAAAAAAAGAAAGAAAGAAGATGATTTGCAGCAGCTCCTACTGGTTTGCTGTTGGGGGACCACGGCTTCTGTGACTATATTTTGGTGTCCTTGTCTTTAAAGATGACTGTGGGACAAAACTTTGCACAACCAAATGTGTGTAACTCTTGACCTTGTGGCCAGAGCAACTAGTTTGCATGCCAAAAGCCCTTGCTTAAATCTCCCCAAATCCGGCTGGGAAAACTGCTGCCAGTCAGTGTAGACAGTACAGTGGTACCTTGATTCTCAAACTTAATCCGTTCCGGAACTCTGTTCCAAAATCAATAGAAAGTAATGCAAAATGGATTAATCCGTTCCAGACTTTTTAAAAAAACAACCCCTAAAACAGCAATTTCACATGAATTTTACTATCTAACGAGACCATCGATCCATAAAAGGAAAGCAATAAACAATGTACTGCAGTCACACAACCAATCAATCAGTAGCTGAACTGGGTTCCACAGAGCCACAAAAACAAAACAAAAAAGAGCCGCAAAAGCAAAAACGCTAAATAGCAAAAACAGACAGACCTCAGCGTAACACTCAAAACGGAAGTATGGCACTCAAATCGGAAGCGCAACACTCAAAACGGAGCACGTTCGGCTTCCGAAAAAAGTTTGCAAACCATAACACTTACTTCCGGGTTTGCAGTGTTTGGGTTCCAAGTTGTTTGAGTATCAAGGCGTTTGAGAACCAAGGTACCACTGTACTGAGCTCGATGGACCTGTGTTCTGACTTTATACAAGGCAGTTTCCTGTGTTGACAGTCTTGGACAGCTATTGAAGACACAGCTCAAAAATGCCAGGACCAGGGGGGGAAAACTGGGCAGGGTGGTGGTGATGTGGCAACTTCAAGGATGAAATGTCAGCTTCCGTTCAGCGATATTTGAGAAGCAGGATCCCTTGTGCAAAGTGTCGTTTGCCGGGACGTTTCTGCCGCGTTGGGTGGCAGGCAGCTCCTAAGGTGACTTTCTCTGGACCTTGGAAAAGGACTTTGCTAGGGCATCAGGAAGAGGAGACTGTGGGGACTGTATCCTCTGAAGGGTGTCAAACAGCACAAAATGGCTGCATTGCTGCCCCTCTTTGCAGCGCAGCGAAATTTAATCCCGTAGGAACAGCTGCGGCAGTCAGGCACGCGGGAGCGAAACGGACGGCGGAGTTTATCGCCAGCAAAGAAAGTTAATGCAGTTGTTATGCTGTTGTCTTTCTGGTGGTGCTTGCAAGGTCAAATGCCCGCCCTTATCTTACTTTCACAACAACCATGCATGGCGGGTTAGACTGAAGGAAATATTGGATAATAATAATAATAATAATAATAATAATAATTTATTTATACCCCGCCCATCCAGCTAAGTTTCCCCAGCCACTCTGGGCGTCTCCCAATCGAGTGTTAAAAACAATACAGCATTAAATATTAAAAACTTCCCTAAACAGGGCTGCCTTCAGATGTCTTTTAAAGATAAGATAGCTGCTTATTTCCTTCACTTCTGCAGGGAGGGCGTTCCACAGGGCGGGCGCCACTACCGAGAAGGCCCTCTGCCTGAATAAAATTTGGAGGATAAAATTTTGACGTGACCTTGTTGAGTTCCTTGGAAGGAAGAAGTGTGGTGTAGTGGTTAGAGCACTGGACTAGGACTTGCAATACAAGGGTTCAAATCCCCACCATGAGGCCTCTTGGGGTGACCTTGGGTCAGTCACCAACTCTCAGCCAAGCCTACCTCACAGGGGTGTTCTGTGGGTAAAATAGGGAGAAGGAGAAGTGTGTTGAGTTCCTTTGGAGAAAAGATGGGATATAAATCAATAGTTAATGTAATATATGAACTGGGTGGGTTGGGTTCATCCCATCCAACTGTTTTTAGGATACGTTCATCGTATACCAGTCTTGGTGTTGGTTGGTCCCCCAAACCGTAACCCAGTTCACTGCAATCCACTGAAGCTTAAACTAAAAAGAAGTGCGTAAATTCTGCTCCTATACACTTTCCGTAAACAGTACGCAGTTAAGATGTTTGTGCGCATTCTGTAACCTCACATACCTCAGGCAATGATGGGGATGTTTTCCACATTGAGGTACAAGCCACTCCCCTCCCTTTCCATATTAATAAAAGATGCTGTGGCTTAGACTTAGTGGCGCTAAATGGATCTCATTCTTCATATTTCAGTTTTATTGACAGGTGAATTAAAAATAGGGCTTTGGCAGGATGTTAGTGACTCACTGCTTGAAACTGAAAGTATGGACTTTTACAGCTGCAATCAGATGAGTTGAGAACAAAAGAGAGAGATTTCTCCAGAGTAACACCGAGTCAGCAGAGCCATAAGGCACAAAGGAGATCAGGAAGATTCAATATGGACATAATATTCGATAAAGAAATACAGTGTTATCTCAGGTTACATAGGCTTCAGGGTACAGACTCCGCTAACCCAGAAATAGTACCTTGGGTTAAGAACTTTGCTTCAGGATGAGAACAAAAATCGTGCTCCGGCGGTGCGGCAGCAGGAGGAGGCCCCATTAGCTAAAGTGGTGCTTCAGGTTAAGTACAGTTTCAGGTTAAGAACGGACCTCGGGAACGAATTAAGTACGTAACCAGAGGTACCACTGTAAAGGAACAATTGATGGAAATTAAAACCTCACACAGGAAGGAGAAAGGAGAACTTTACTTGCGAATTTACAAATTACTAAATGTGTCATAATAATTATACAGTGGTACCTCGGGTTAAGTACTTAATTCGTTCTGGAGGTCCGTTCTTAACCTGAAACTGTTCTTAACCTGAAGCACCACTTTAGCTAATGGGGCTTCCTGCTGCTGCTGCGCCGCCGGAGCACGATTTCTGTTCTCATCCTGAAGCAAAGTTCTTAACCCGAGGTACTATTTCTGGGTTAGCGGAGTCTGTAACCTGAAGCGTCTGTAACCTGAAGCATATGTAACCTGAGGTACCACTGTATTGGACTTTTGTCCAATATTGGTATCGATATAATATGGCGTATATTGGACTTTTGTAACTGAAAATTAATAAAAATTATTCAACAACAAGAAATAGGTTTTTTGAGGCTGCCATCCATCTGGGTTTTCCCAGACATTTTAGCTGCTTTTCCAAAATTCTGCCCGGAGGCAATTTTCAGCGGTTGAATCCCGGCTATATCCAGGAAATCCCTAATTAAAATGAAAAAGCAGAGATAAAGCGAGAGAAGCAGGGAGTTTCTCCCCCCCCCCCCGTGGCTGCGGACACATTAACTCTTGAAAGTAATGACAGCTGTTGGACTCTTCCTGCCTGTTGGGTGGAGCTTGAAGCTGTGGGAGGGGCTTTGGCACCCATGCTGACCTTTGACCTTCGTTACAGGTTACGCCAACGAGGTTGGGGAGTCTTTCCGGGCCATCGTGCCTGTCTCGTTGGTCTGGGCCAGCTACGGAGTAGCAACTGCCTACGTGGCGGCCGACGCAATCGACAAGGGCAAGAAGGCGGCTGCTGTGAGTACAGAGTAGGCGACGAAACCATTTCTCAAGTCAAGGGCCACGTTCCCTTCTGGGGGCCGCATGCTGGTAGTGGTGGGCAAGGCCAGAGGTAAAAGCGAGTGGAGCAAAGATTTTACCTTTGTATAGGAAGCAAGAGACATTATCAGAATTCAAGGATTCATTCCTGCTGGGGAAGGAATGCATAAGTTGCAAAGGAAGGCCAATGTCGTCCAGCGAGGGTTTTGAGGGCCAGATAGGGTTGAATGTTGGAATATCCACATCTTGCAGATCTAACATATAGAATAAGAGAACAAGAAGAACATACGTTTGAAGATTGCAAAGTGTTTATTGAATATATGGAGGAAAATTGTGTTTATTTGAAACCGTGGGCAGCATTAAGATAAATTCAGCAGTGTAAATAAGTTTTGGTGGCTGGGGAAACCCAGCCAGATGGGTGGGGTATAAATAATAAATTATTATTATTAAATTATTATTCATTTCGGGATACTGAATGGTTTAGTTTATATAAAATATGCAGGGATTTATGTTATGTAAAATGAACCATGGAAGGAGAAGAAGGGAAGTCATTGATATTTTATGGTTGTTTAAATGAATATTCCAAAATTAAAGTTACAGATTTCAGATAGGGTTGAATGTTGACCCTGGGCCCGAGGTAAACACAGTTATACTTTTAATGTTTCAAATGTTTCGCTGATAATTTAGTTCTTTTACTCTTTTTGCAAACTGCTTTGAGGTTTTCTTTTTAAACAGTCGAGAGGTGTATGGATTTTATGAAACAGTAAATAAACAAAAACAATGATTCATATAATTTATATACCTCCTTTCGTTTCAAGAAGAAGCAGTTAACAAGCACATGGATAAATTAGGTTTTAGGTGTTTTGTTTTGTTTTTAAACGACTTGTTTGGAAAAAGGGTAGGATGGGAAACCTGAAAGGGATGAAGGTCAGTTTGTTTTTCGGTTTTAAACGTTTTAAGTCCGCACCCCCTTCATCCTTCCTCCGACTGACAGGCGAAGGCCGTGGACGAAGGGAGGAGCAAGCATGCCGCAGTGGCGGTCGTGGACACATTTATATGGCAGGCTCTGGCTTCCGTGGCCATTCCTGGCTTCACCATTAACCGCATCTGCGCAGGGTCACTCTACCTCATGGCCAGCATGACGCACTGGCCTCTCTCGGTCAGGAGGTGGGCCACCACCGCCGTGGGACTCTCGGCCATTCCTTTCATCATCAAACCCATTGACAGGTACGGGCAACTTCCACCCCTTGAGCACAGCCAAGGATGAGCTGTATCAACCTTGAAGAAGCCCTGCTAGGTGTTGTGTACTTCAACCCTCATCAGCCCCAGCCACCAAGGTCATTTTGGTCTACAAATCCCATCAGTCGCAGCCACTGGGGGCCATTTTGGTCTGCAAATCCCATCAGCCCCAGCCCCTGGGGGCCATTTTGGTCTGCAAATCCCATCAGCCGCAGCCACTGGGGGCCATTTTGGACTACAAAGCCCATCAGCCCCAGCCACCCGGGCCATTTTGGACTACAAATCCCATCAGCTCCAACCAGCAGATGCTAGGGTTGATGGGAGTACAGGCCTGTCAGCTGGGGTTGAACGGAGTTGTAGCCCGAAACACCGGATTGGGAAAGGTTATTATTTGAGGTGGTGACCTTGAAAGGGCAAATTGCCTTGCAACAGTAGTGATTAAGACGGCCTCACATTTTAAACCTCACATCCATACCATATATCTAAAGCACTACGATGCCTCGTTAAACAGTCATGGTTTCCCCCATAGAATCCTGGGAAATGTAGTTTGTGCTGAGAATTGTGAGGAGGCCCCATTTTCCCTCATGTTCAATTCGTAAGTTTACTGTTCTAGCCAAAGGCCATGACAAACTTGTATTAACAAAATAATATAGAACACATGTCCATAATATAAAAAAGACTCACAGAGCTCCAGTTCCCAGTGTCTCCTGAGAAGATGGATTGCCTGTTGAACCTCTCTGGGAATTGTAGCTCTGCGAGGGGAATATAGGGGTCTCCTGACAACTCTCAGCACCCCTAACAAACTACAGGTCCCAGAATTCTTTTGAGGAAGCCGTGGCTGTTTAAAGTGGCGTCCTAGTGCCATAAATGTGTTGTGTGAACATGGCCAAAGTACTCTGACATAAGCATGGCTGAACAGCTGCATTTTCAAACTAACGTTCCTTAGGGGAACAGAGCAATTGTGTCAGAAATGGGTCTTTATTTATAATCTCACACTGGGATACTTATTTTCAGAATAGGGTATCTTACCCCGACCTCACTTTTCTCATTTAAATCGTGCCTTGGCGTTCTCTTGGGTAAAACGATGTGAATAAATTCAATCCCTGGGCAAGAATTCAGTCTGTCTATAAATAAACATTATGCCCAGAGAGAGTCAGCGACATTGTGTTCTCTTTGATTGATCGATGCAGAATGTCATGCCCTAAGGTCCTATTCTCACTGGTTTTTAAAAGTAAGTGGCACCCCCTACTGCCAGACACAAGGAAACACATCTTCACTGAGAGACTGATTCTGCTGTTACTTCCTAAAGTAGCCACCCGTCGCTTCTTTGCAAAATCTGTTTGCCTCCCTTAGATTTCTGTTTCATTCCTGCTCAGCTTCTAATCCTTATTCAGACGTGCATTCTCCTCACATGATAACAGTCACATTGGGAGAGGCAGGGAGGGTGATCTCAATTTGGGGTTTTCTACAAGAGCATCAAAAAACAACACATATGCCCCCCAAACCCCTGGAGGAATTTCTTGCCTCCATGGAAATGCCAGGCAAATACAAATACAGTGGTATCTTGGGTTACATATGCTTCAGGTTACATACGCTTCAGGTTACAGATTCCGCTAACCCAGAAATAGTGCTTCAGGTTAAGAACTTTGCTTCAGGATGAGAACAGAAATTGTGCTCCGGCGGAGCGGCATCAGCAAGAGGCCCCATTAGCTAAAGTGGTGCTTCAGGTTAAGAACAGTTTCAGGTTAATAACAGACCTCTGGAACGAATTAAGTACTTAACCAGAGGTACCACTGTACAGTGGTGCCCCGCAAGACGAATGCCTCGCAAGACGGAAAAACCGCTAGACGAAAGGGTTTTCCGTTTTGAAGTTGCTTCGCAGGACGAATTCCCCTATGGGCTTGCTTCGCAAGACGAAAATACCTTACGAGTCTTGAGATTTTTTTCCGCTTTCCCCTTTATCTAATCTGCTAAGCCTTTAATAGCCTTTAATAGCCTTTTAGCAGCTAATCCCTAAGCCTTTAAGCCTTTAATAGCCGCTAAACCGCTAATAGCGCTAATAGCGCTAATCCGTCAATGGGCTTGCTTCGCAAGACGAAAAAACCGCTAGACGAAGACTCTCGCGGAACGGATTAATTTCGTCTTGCGAGGCACCACTGTATAGTGGTACCTTGGTTTTCTAACGTACCGTATTTTTTCATGTATAAGACTAGGTTTTTTCCCTTTAAAAATGTCAAAAAATAGGGGGCGTCTTATACTCTGGGCCATCTCTCCCCCCATTTTCTTAATTCTGAGTCCCCCAAAATAAGGGGCGTCTTATAGATGGAAAAATATGGTAATCCGTTCCGGAAGACGAAACATTCAAAAACTCAAAACAGAAGCCTCAGTACGGAAAACTTAAAACAGAAAACTCAGTACGGAAACTGCATTTCATGTTTGACTTCTGAGGCACGTTTGAAAACCAAGACACTTACTTCCCGATTTACGACGTTCGAAAACCGAAACGCTCAACAACGGAGATGTTAGAAAACCGAGGTACCGCTGTAGGTTTTTTGTGGATCGCACTATTGTTTTACCTCTCTCTCTCCCCCGATTCCTCTGGTGCAGGTCAGTGGATTTCTTGATGGACTCCAGTCTCCGCAAACTCTACAAGACAGAAGAGTAAGACGAAGTCCTCCTGCCCCTGGTCTACCAGAGCCTCTGACAGCAAAACCAGGCTATCCTCCATCCTCAAAGCCACTACCTCCTTCTCTCTGGTCTCCATGTTATCTAGACTTCTAAAATATTGAAATCCAGCTTAGTGGGACCTGTCCTGAACCAGTGCAACTTGGTACTGTGGATCTAACGAGGATGGATCTTCTGGGCAGCTCAGGATGTGTCCTAAAAGCCTGTGTAGAGACTGGTCCATTTCCCATGCCAACAGAACTTGCATGTGGCCTTCTATAAATCCTTTCACATCCTTGTTCAGGTCAATGCCACCCCAGATAAGGGGGGGCGGCGCCGGGATGTACTTAAGGCACAACCTCTTTTTTTTTTTAGGGTTCCTGGCAGCTGTTTCCCAGTAGCAATGTGGACTAGCCTGGTGACAGTTTATTTTGCACTCCCAGCTATGGGAGCGGTTAATTGCACTAACCATTAACAGCTTAAGTAGAGCCAGTTCTAAATGGCTCCCGTTACTGCTGCTCAGCTGAAAAAAGTTATTTGTAGTTCCTTCAATCTGGCTTAATGATAGTGACACTGTACACACTATGCATTTAAAGAATGACACCCCTCAAAAAATTCTGGGTTTATAGTTCTGGGGTAAACTTCAGGAGATGGAATGGATTCCAAGGTTCATCCTAGTCCAGCCACTTGCAATACAGGACTCTCAAAGTATGCTTCTAATGCATGGTGTGTACCCAAGCCAGTGAGAATTTTGGCATATAAATAAAGGAAACAACTTTCCGTATCTGATTTCCTTTCTGGGTAGCTCACACAGTTGCACCATTTATGAGCCCCTTCGGCATTTACATGGCAGTGCTAGAGCTCTAATGCACTTCAGACTATCAGATGCCCTGTACAGCAAGGTGGTCCTCACTAGTTGCATAAGAAAGAACTCAGCTGTACTCCATTAACCTGCCTTACACAAAAATTAAAGTTTGGACTGATTCCTCTACTCACTTTTGCTTCTGGCCCCCATCGCCACTAGCATGTGGCCCCCGCGATGTTGCCAAGAAGCGAATGTGGCCCTCCGGCTGGGGTGGGGTGGAAAAGTTCCTTCAACCAAGGGGAGAAAGTTTGACTATGGCAGTAAAGCTACACAGCGAGAAACGGAAAGCTTTCAACACACATTTTATTTTTGCTTTAAGGATTAGAGAGTTAGGCCTTCTCTGGCGTGTCACTCTTGATCTTGCAGTAGTCAATGTTGGATTCCTTCTCCACCTCTTCGTCGACAGTCAGGTCCCCAAGAACCAGCTGGAGCTCCGTCTGGAATTGCTGCTCCTTGCGGTTCTTCAGGGGTTTGTGGCCTTTGCTGGTGCGGGAGTAGCGGAGGACGGCTAGGCCTAGCGCTATCGTAGCCCCGCTGAAGAGGGCCGCCAGCACACAGCTGCCCCCAAAGGAGATGCTCACCAAGAGGAACGTCTTCATGGTGTGGCATCGTCCTGGAAGGAAAGAGACATTTAGGGAAACATTTTGCCTAAGTGAGATGCCCTCATTCAGTTGTAGGGGAACCTTCAGGCCCTCTGGCTGTTGCTGAACTACAACTTCCATCAGCCCTAGCAAGTATGGCCAATGGTCGGGGTGATGGGAGTTGTAGATCAGTAAACATCTGAAGGGCCACAGGTTCCTCACACCTGCCATAGATAGAGTATCCTCTCATTACATTTATATCCCACCTTCCCTGCAGAGACCCCTCCAACTGGCATACGTGGCCCTCCCTGCTCCTCATTTCCAAACACCCCTCCTCAAATACTTAAGAGACAGATTATGCAGAGACTCAATATTTGGGCCAACAATCACCCAGTGAGTTTTCCTGACCAAGACAGAATTTGAACTCCAGTCCCCCAGATCCTAAATCTGCTCCACTAAGGTATAGCACCCCTGGATGGTTAAGTCCAGTGAAAGGCAACTATGGGGTTGCGGCACTCATCTCGCTTCAGGCCAAGGGAGCCGGCATTTGTCCACAGACAGCTTTCTGGGTCATGTGGCCAGCATGACTAAACTGCTTCTGGCCCAACAGAAACACCATTTACCTTCCCACTGCAGCGGTACCTATTTATTTACTTGCACTGCTAGGTTGGCAGAAGCTGGGACAGAACAACGGGAGCTCACCCCGTTCCGGGGATTTGAACTGCCGACCTTCTGATTGGCAAGCCCAAGAGGCTCAGTGGTTTAGACCACAGCGCCACCCGCATTCACTACACCACACTGGCTCTGATGGGCCTCGGATGTTGTAGACAACAAATCCTAATAATAATAACCACCTGTTGGATCAGGCCAATGACCCATCTAGTCCAACAGCCTGTTCTCATAGTGGCCAACCAGATGCCTGCAGAAAACCTGCAAGCGGGATTTGAGTGCAAAAGTCCTCTCCGCTCTGGCTTCCAGCAATTTGTATTCAGAAGCATTGCTGCCTCCAAAGTTTGAAGGCAGAGCACAGCTATTGTGGCTAGCAGCTATCTTCCCCACAGATTTTGCCCACCACAATTTCAGGCCCCCAGATCAGATTGTCGGTGAAAACCCAGATTGTGGAATCCTCCCCCCACCCAGGGAGCTTCTGCTGGCGCCTTCATTATACACCTTTAGACGCCAGGCAAAAAGGTTCCTCTTCAACCAGGCCTTTGGCCAATTGACATCTGATGCCCTTTCAAATGTGCTGTGGAAGGGGGGGGGGTTGTTGGTTTTTTTGCCTTTGTTTTTCCTTTTATTATGTATTTTGTTTTGTTTTTTAATATTGTGATTTTATGTTGTGAACCACCTTGAGATCTCCAGGTATACGGTGGTATACAAATTTAATAAAGATGCAATGCAGTAAAAAAAAAACCCAGCAACCCACCCTCTGAAACTTAAGCAGCCCTTAGCATATGCAGATTTTTTTCCTTTAAGCAGCTAAACCAATGCTTTGGGGGTTGCCTATTCTTAGTGACTCTCCTGGAAGCTCTTGCGCATGATTTCCTGCCCCAGAAGAGACCAAGGTATTCAGAAACGAGAAACACAAAAACCAACCTTCAAACCAAGGCACGTCTTCCTTGTGCACTCTCAAAGGGCCAACCACTTTCCTGTGGAGCTTTCCTTCACCCCAAAATGCTGTTTGGAAGATGGGATAAATAGTTTTAGAAGTAGGGAAGTTACGATTCCTGCAGGAACCCAACAATTGCTTATATACCAGCCTCCAGTGTCCTTCAAATGTTGGGGCTCCCCTCCCAGTTCCAGCAGCCAGCATTACCAATGGTCAGTCCTAACACATCAGAATGGCACTCAGTTGTGGAAGGCTCATGTGCACAGCAAGGGTGCTACAGCAATGTAGCACAGGATTAATTTCTGTATTGCTACCTTATCCTAGATAGCTCAGCTGGTTAGAGTGTTGTGCTGATAACACCAAGGTTGCAGGTTCGATCCCTGTATGGGACAGCTGCATATTCCTGCATTGCAGGGGGTTGGACTAGATGATTCACAGGGTCCCTTCCAACTCTACAATTCTCTGCTCTATATGATCTATCCAAAAAGTGGAAAATGGTAGTAGTGGAAATGAGAACCCGTAAGAGCCTGCTGGATTAGGCCAATGGTCTAACCCAGTCCAGCCTCCTGCTCTCACAGCAGCCAACCATATATACCTTTGGGAAACACAAGGCAGAATTAAGGCTTCCCTTAACATATGCAATTATCATAATTTATTATTGGTTGAAGAACTTCACTGCCAAATTTGGAGAAGGGCAAATTTCAAAGGGCAGCTGCGTTTCAGTTCAAGAATTTTTTTCTGGAAGGTGCTCACATTAAAATGCGATTTGAACTAGATTCCTAGTTGCCACAGATCAGTGTGAATGGTAAAAATTCACCACCCACCTCTTAGCTGGCTACTTGCGTTGCAATTATTGATTTGGTTTACTAGACACAAAGGTTAGCTTATGGGTACCTTTCTCGCTTCCAGGAGTGGGGGGCTCCAAAGGGCAGTAGCTGTTGCAGCACTTGCAGACATAATTCTTGGATGGTTCGTCTATGTTCTTCCAGCTAGAAGGGAACAAAATCACTACAAGTAATAGGCAGCAACTGTTAAGGGAAGCTGTTTCAATGCACAAAACTTACCAAGGCAGTGTACAGTGGTACCTCGGGTTAAGAACGTAATTCGTTCCAGAGGTCCGTTCTTAACCTGAAACTGTTCTTAACCTGAAGCATCACTTTAGCTAATGGGGCCTCCCGCTGCCACCGCGCCGCTGCTGCATGATTTCTGTTCTCATCCTGAAGCAAAGTTCTTAACCCGAGGTAATATTTCTGGGTTAGCGGAGTCTGTAACCTGAAGCGTCTGTAACCCAAGGTACCACTGTACAACCATTTAAAACATTGCAACTTCACAGGAATTGTGCATCATGCAGTAAGTTAAGCAGATATAAGAAATTCACCTTTGTATCTAGTTGTTAGTCCTGCTCAGAGTAAACACATTGAAATTAATGGCCATGATTAATTTACGTAGGTCCATTAATTTCAGTGGGTCTTAAAAACCTAATTGGATTTACAACCGATTGTCTCTTGTGTCAAATTCACCATGGCAAAGAAACCAAACAGCATGTCTTCAAAACATCTGGTCAGACAAAATAAGTGCTTAAGGATGTGATCAACAGATTTTAACTAATATCGAATTTATTCTTGCTTTTGCTTGCAAGGTATTTAAATAAATGTAGCCTGGGGGTGGGGGGAGGTCAAGCAAGGATTTGCAATAAAAGGGGCTTAGAGCTGACCTGGAGGAGATGCTGTCAAAGTAACAAGCTTTCTTGCCAAAGCTTGAGGGAGTCTCTTTGCTCCATGCTGACAGGAGGCAATGAATATAGATCTGGAAAAGGAGGGAAGTTATTTTCTTGCAGCAGATTCAAAACTGTCACAAATATTTATTTGCTAATTACTTCCCAGGAGCTCAAGGCGATATTCGTGGTTCTCCCCGCCCCTCCCCATGTTGTGTTCACAACAACCCTGTGAGGTAGGTTAGGCTGAGACTTAGCAAATGGCCCAAGGTCACCCAGTGGGCCCTAGTCTGACATGAACCACTACAACTACGCTGGCCAATGAAAGTGTAAGGTAAAGGGACCCCTGACCCTTAGGTCCAGTCATGACCGACTCTGGGGTTGCGGTGCTCATCTCGCTTTATAGGCCGAGGGATCCGGTGTACAGCTTCCGGGTCATGTGGCCAGCATGACTAAGCCGCTTCTGGCAAACCAGAGCAGCGCATGGAAACGCCGTTTACTTTCCCGCTGGAGCGCTACCTATTTATCTACTTGCACTTTGACGTGCTTTCGAACTGCTAGGATGGCAGGAGCAGGGACTGAGCAACGGGAGCACACCCCGTCGAAGGGATTTGAACTGCCGACCTTCTGATCGGCAAGTCCTAGGCTCTGTGGTTTAACCCACAGCGCCACCCGCGTCCCTAATGAAAGTGTTTGGGTGCTTTATTCAGTCTGCATCGGCGCATCCCTGCAGAGGCACCAACTCACACTTGCTCTATGAACAATATTTAAGAATGAAGGGCTTCCCCAAAGAATCCTGGAGATGGCAGCCGGAGGAAAATTACGCAAGAAAACCAGGAATTCTCTTAGCAGAACATCAACGGCATCCCAGAACACAGATAATTACTCCAGAGAGATTCCTACCTCCTCCGAGTCACCAGTTAGCAAGAAGGCAGGTATTGTGAACAGCATCGCAGAGTCTTCTCTACGGAGCCACCTGACCTTGGGGCCGTCACCGTACAGGCACCTGGCAAGTTAACCATGAAAGTGGGAAGAGTGTGATTTTGAGTGCCGGAATCATTTTTTAGGTATTGCGGGGCGGGGGGCATCTTTTTTCAGTTTTGACCCAATTTTCCACACTGAGCACAATCCAGTTTTGATGTTGCTGGATCCGATATCTGCCAAATGCGCTGTCAAAATATTGTTTTTTTGTTCAATGATGAACTCATTTTAACACACTGCCCCATTTTTGCTTTAGTGAGGGTGGGTGGAAGGGCACCCACATTGAAACACCTTTGTTGTTGGTATTATTATTATTATTATTATTATTATTATTACTCCTACTACAGTGGTACTTCAGGTTAAGTACTTAATTCATTCCGGAGGTCTGTACTTAACCTGAAACTGTTCTTAACCTGAAGCACCATTTTAGCTAATGGGGCCTCCTGCTGATGCCGCGCCGCTGGAGCCCAATTTCTGTTCTCATCCTGAAGCAAAGTTCTTAACCTGAAGCACTATTTCTGGGTTAGGGGAGTCTGTAACCTGAAGCGTATGTAACCTGAAGCGTATGTAACCTGAGGTACCACTGTATTATTCTTATTATTATTCCCTGCCCATCTGACTGGGTTGCTCCAGCCACTCTGGGCAGCTTCTGACATATATAAAACCATAATAAAACATTAAAAGACTTTCCTATACAGGGCTGCCTTCAGATGTCTTCTAAAGGTTGTGTAGCCACTTATCTCCTTGACATCTGACGGAAGGGCGTTCCACAGGGTGGGTGTCACTACCAAGAAGGCCCTCTCCATCTGTTAACAGAACAGCACACCACTCACCCGTGTTTATCTGCGAATATGTAGACCCTCCTGAAATGGCCATGGTGTCGGGCATCCGTGCCGTAGCACTCGTCAACGAAGAGCTTGGGGGACAGGCCTGGACTCGCCTGGACTCTGGCCTCAAGGTGGATCAAAGCACCTTCAACGTATTCCCCAGGTTCAGCCGCAACACTGAGGTTTCCTGGGAGAGAAGTTGGAAATTGTGTGCGGTGCGGACTAGCCCATGCAGATGTTACATCCTGCCACACAGATAGCATCTTACACCTGCCTTCCTCAATCTGCTGCTCTCTAGACCAGTGTTTCCCAAACTTGGGTCTCTAGCTGGTTTTGGACTACAACTCCCACCATCCCTAGCTAGCAAGACCAGTGGTCAGGGATTATGGGAATTGTAGTCTGGAAGCCCAACTTTGCACAGGTGGGCAGGCAGCTGAGCCCATCCCCACTTTACTCTGGTGGAGATGGGGTCACTCCAGCAACGTCAGTGGCGAGGGTGGGCTGGCGCCCCTGCCCGGCACATGTGCATCCTCCTCCCGGCATGCATGTGCACGCAACCCCCGGGCACCAGCAACCAACGCTATGCCACTGGCAGAGCCTATCAATGGCTACTAGCCACAATGGTATCAGCCACGTGTGGATCCAGAATTGGCCTCCACAGTTACTTATGGACTAGTCCTAATCTCTATGCATTCCAGCCGAGACTGATGGAAACTGTAGTCCAGTAACCTCTGGAAGGCACCAGTTTAGGGAAAGACTGGCTTAGACCAATGTTTCCCGCCTTCCAAGTGCCCTGCTTGCATTTGAGCATTAAGATGCTGGTACCAAGAAGGACAAAAGGGATTCGGGTGGCACTGTGGGTTAAACCACAGAGCCTAGAACTTGCTGATCAGAAGGTCGGCAATTCGAATCCCTGCGACGGGGTGAGCTCCTGTTGCTTTCGAACTGCTAGGTTGGCAGGAGCAGGAACCGAGCATGTCAAAGTGCAAGTAGATAAATAGGTACCGCTCCAGCGGGAAGGTAAACGGCGTTTCCGTGCACTGCTCTGGTTCACCAGAAGCGGCTTAGTCATGGTGGCCACATGACCCGGAAGCTGTACGCCAGCTCCCTCGGCCAATAAAGTGAGATGAGCGCCACAACCCCAGAGTCAGCCACGACTGGACCTAATGGTCAGGGGTCCCTTTACCTTTACCTTTAACTTTACCAAGAAGGACAATCTTTTGCTATGGCACAACTGAACCCCAAAATCAGGGTGCTAAGGGAAGCAACCATTGACTCTTGTGAGTGGGAGAGTCATCTTACCCATATCTGTCAACTTTCAGATTTGAAAACAAGGGATCAGCAGCCTCACCTGTCCGAGGGACAGTCTACGGGATATCTAACAATCCGGGATAGCAGCGGGAAACAGCCCTGGAATAAAGGAATTTCCCGCAAAAAAAGGGAAGGTTGACAGCTATGATCTTACCATTCAACACTCTCAGAGAGATATTAATCTTTGCATCACTGGCCTGAGCAGCTTGCAGAAGCTGGACGCGAGGCTCTGCGCTGGCTGCCGTGGAGCGAGGAAGCGTTGGCAAAGTGGTTGCCGTGGGCTCTGTGATATCGGCATCGCTGCTCCACACTAGACCCTTTGCAGCTGGAGATAGAGAGGGAGAGAAAGAGACATTAGCTGGGCTAACTCCCCATGGGCATCTCCCATCGCAAATTTTAGCCTGAAACTAAAGCCAATATGCCTTTGTTGCCAGGATTCCTGCACTGATCCTGATGCTCCCTCAAATATTTGTGACTAGGAGTGGATGGAACTGTCCATTTAGGTTTCTCTCGAGTTCTTAGTTTTTCCAGTTGCAAGTTCCACTCTCCACATTTCTACAGTTTACATTAAAAACCCCCAAAAGGTTATCATGAGACTCTACCAGCATTTTAGTGTGAGCTTCTTCTAACCTGCCCATTTTTGTATGCAATTTTGTTTAATAATTTTAAGCAAGGTCCCCTAATGCGATGCATTTTTTTTAACGTTAGTCTCACTAATACATGCACATTTCCATGCTTCCTTTACCCTAGCCTATGCAGTTTTACTCGCATTACTTGGCTAGCAAACTGCATCGAAAAATTCACTAAAGTCTGAATTTCAAAAGATGGCTGTGCTTTGGAAAGTTCAAATCAGATAAATTTGCCTTTAAACGTGACCTGAATTTAATTTCTTCTCCATCTCTAGTAAAGATATCCAGTTTCCATATTCAGATAACCCTCTTCTTCCCAGAGTGGTTTGGCAAGCAATCCCTCTTCACAGGGAACTCTGGGAATTGTAATTCTGGGAGGGGAATAGGAGTCTCTTCTAATAATTTCCAGCATGCTTAAACTACAGTTCCCATGATTCTCTGGGGGAGGCCAGGCCTGTTTAAAGTGGCAGGATCGTGCAAATATTGGAGCCTATGTTTGGTCCCTTAATTTCAGTGCCCCACATCCCCTTTCTGTACATTAAACAAGTCACCTCACCATGAAATACCCTATTGAAGAATCCCAGCTCTGCAGTTGTCACTTGAGGAGTGTTAGAACCCACTGTGGCTGGAGAAGCCAAGCCTTCTCCTTGGGCCAAAACTGGGATGGCTGAGGAATAAAGGAACAGAATACCTGATCAGGAATTTTAAGAACTTGACCCTCAACCTATTGCATACTCTTGGACTGTAAACACATTCGGGTCATATCTATTTTACAGAGAAGTTTGTCAAAAGACAGTACGGTGGTACCTCGGGTTAAGAACTTAATTCGTTCTAGAGGTGTGTTCTTAACCTGAAACTGTTCTTAACCTGAAGCATCACTTTAGCTAATGGGGCCTCCCGCTGCTGCTGCATGATTTCTGTTCTCATCCTGAAGCAAAGTTCTTAACCCAAGGTAATATTTCTGGGTTAGCGAAGTCTGTAACCTGAAGCGTATGTAACCTTAAGTGTATGTAACCCGAGTTACCACTGTATTTCATAAGAAACAGCAGGATGAGAACCTCAGGATTGGTACAGGATAACTTGATCTGGAAACGCATAGCCAAAGAACTGGACTGTAGCAGGCTGCGTGCACCAAATTGCTTAATGCCATCTCTATTAATCTAACCTTGCTCAGAACGTATTTGGGCAGTAACGAAGCCTTACTTTCATTCACAGCTGAGAACGTAAAGAGAGTCCACCTGCTGGATGAGGCCAATGGCCCATTAAAGCACAGCATCCTGCTCTCACAGTGGCCAAACCAGACACACAAAGGGAAGCCCCAAAAGCAGGATCCAAGCACAAGAGCACTCTCCCCACCTGTGGCTTCTAGCAGCTGATGTTCAGAAACATTACTGAGCATAAGGAAGACCCCCAGCACGCCCTCTGGAACATACCCTCCAACTTTCTCCGATGAAAATAGGGACATCCCATTTCATAATGATAATTTTATTATTTAAACCCTACACATCTGACTGGATTGCCCCAGCCATTCTGGGCAGCTTCCAACATGTATAAAAACACCATAAAACAGAAAACATTAAAAAGGTGGGACATTCCAGGATCAAATCAGAAACCAGGATGGCTTCTCTAAATCAGGGACATACCTGGAAAATAGGGATGCCAGAAACTTACCCAACACTTCAATAAACACAGCCGCCCACCAGAAGCCAGTCATCATTGTCCTGAAGAAAGACAAAGAAGGAAAGAAAGGGGGGATACACAAATTCTTTCTTAAATAGGCTGAGAGAGAAAATTTAACACACCTGGGCCTTCCTTAATTGTTCCAAGTCTCCTGTTGGTCAGCAAGCCTAATTTGGTACCTGAAGTCATGAACTACAATCCATAACAGGTGCCCTGTGGAGCTGCAGACCTTAGAGGGATTTACTTCTGAGTAAACTGGTTTGGGTATACTCACATGGCATGCCTAAATTTTCAGAGGGTTCCTGATTCCAAAGCATGGGCGGTGCATATCCAATACAATACTTACAGCCTGCGCTGGTGTAGTGGTTAAAGTGTCAGACTAGGACCGGGGAGACCAGGGTTCGAATCCCCACTCAGCCATGAGGCTCCCTGAGTGGCCTAGCTCCAAGTCGCTGCCTCTCAGCCTAGCCCAGGCATAGGCAAACCCTCCAAATGTTTGGGACTACAATTCCCACCATCCCTGACCACTGGTCCTGTTAGCTAGGGGTGATGGGAATTGTAGCCCCAAACATCTGGAGGGTCGGAGTTGGCCTATGCCTGGCCTAGCCTCAGAGGGTTGTTGTGGGGAAATTAAATGGGATGGGGCAGAACCATGTACGCCACCTGGAGCTTCGTGGAGAAAAGGGTTGAATATAAATGCAACCAACTAACCAACCAACCAACCAATCAATCAATAAACTAAGTTCTACCTAGTGGAATGAATGGATCCAAGTTTGCCATGTTCACTAATGTCAATGAGTCTGAGAGTACGACTAATGTTTAGGGAAGGTTTTAATGTTTAATAGGTTATTGTATTTTAATATTCTGTTGGAAGCCGCCCAGAGTGGCTGTAGAAACCCAGCCAGATGGGCAGGATATAAATTATTTATTATTTATTATTGTTATTATTATTGAGTACAGCCCAACATTCTTCATCGGAGAACGACAAGGCAACAGTGCTGTGCATCATTTCTCGAGTCGTCCCATTGAGAACTCACTTGGGACTGACAGATTAGCAGGCAGCCCTAAGTAACTTAGCTTGCTTCCACTGCCGCCCCAGCTGACCCAATCACAGGGCACTTCCAGGTAACCCATTCATTCATCCTGACTCATTTGCAGGGAGGCAAGATGACATTAGGGGATGCGGGTGGCACTGTGGGTTAAACCACAGAGCCTAGGACTTGCTGATCAGAAGGTTGACGGTTCGAATCTCCCCGACGGGGTGAGCTCCTGTTGCTCGGTCCCTGCTCCTGCCAACTTAGCAGTTCGAAAGCACGTCAAAGTGCAAGTAGATAAATAGGTACCGCTCCGGCGGGAAGGTAAATGGCGTTTCCTACGCTGCTCTGGTTCGCCAGAAGCAGCTTAGTCATGCTGGCCACATGACCAGGAAGCTGTACGCCAGCTCCCTCGGCCAATAAAGCGAGATGAGCGCCGCAACCCCAGAGTCGGCCACAACTGGACCTAATGGTCAGGGGTCCCTTGACTTTTACCTTTAAGATGACATTGGGTCAAAAGGAAGTGTTTCCTCCACACAGTTTCTTGGCACTTCCTTCATCACTAGGGATGGAGGACATATTTAATAGGCATTTCAAGGCAAATTTACCCCATTTGAACTCTCTGAAACCATGCAACAATCCCTTGTCAACCACAGCTGCAGAACCTGAATCTGTCGTTATGTGATTGAATCCTACCCGGAAATAAAGTCTGGAAGTGGCCACAGGCTGCGCTTTCCTGGAATGCGTCCCTTCCTAGTAAATGGCTGTCCCCATTTTTTCCTGGGTGTTGGTGTCAGGAGTTGCTAGACCTCATTTTCCAGGGTCTCCTAGGAAAACCACCCCTAAGTTGTGGAACCTCCACAGAAGCAGGTGTTGCACCATGCCTGTATAGCTTCCTTGTACGCTGAAGGTAAAAGGGGCGCAGGTGGTGCTGTGGTTAAACCACAGAGCCTAGGACTTCCGATCAGAAGGTCGGCGGTTCGAATCCCCGTGACGGGGTGAGCTCCCGTTGCTTGGTCCCTGCTCCTGCCAACCTAGCAGTTCGAAAGCACATCAAAGTGCAAGTAGATAAATAGGTACCGCTCCGGCAGGAAGGTTAACGGTGTTTCCGTGCACTGCTGTGGTTTGCCAGAAGTGGCTTAGTCATGCTGGCCACATGACCAGCTGTACGCCGGCTCCCTCGGCCAATAATAATAATAATAATAATAAATTTTATTTATATCCCGCCCTCCCCAGCCAAAGCCAGGCTCAGGGCGGCTAACAACAAATAAAGCAAGATGAACGCCACAACCCCAGAGTTGGTCACGAGTGGACTGGTCAGGGGTCCCTTTACCTTACGCTGAAGGTGCACCTCTTTTTACCCTGACCTTTTTTTTACACCTGAGATATACATTTGAGGACCCACCTTATTCTTTTTCTTCTAGATTGTTTTAACTGATTTTAAGGTTACATGTTTTATGTTGCTGTAATAACCCTAGGTCCTTATGGCGAAGGAAGGGTGAAAAATCTAACATATTATTGTGGGTTTGGGAAGGAGATCAGTCTGGATGAAGCTCCAAACCCCAATTTTTGGTGTCCAGTACCCAGTGAAGGCTAGAATCTAGCAGAGGAAATTCCTGAACTAGTCAGACACATTTTTTTAAAAAATCGTTTTTATTTGATTTTAAAAATGTAAATTTATAACAATACCAAATATATATCCGTATATATTTCTCTGAATCTCAAGACTTCCCCCCATCCCCTCCATGGGTCCTATTGTCAACATTTTCAACTGCAAATTATTTCATAATCTCTATTTTATATTTGTCCATATTGTCCATTGTGTGTTACATTACAAGTGAAATTAAAATCCTGCCAATGTTTTCGTCTGCTTGCAGTGGTCTCCTAAATAAACTATAATTTGCCCCCATTCTTTCCTGAAGTGTTTGTCTTCTTGGTTCCTGAGCTTTTGGGTCAGTTTTGCCATTTCAGCGTAGTTTACCAGCTTAGTTTGCCATTCCTCTCTGGTAGGGTCTCTTCATTCCTTCCATCTCTGGGGTAGTAGCATCCCTGCTGCTGTTGTCACATACAAAAAAAGTCTTTTCTGCTCCTTTGGGATGTCGGTACCTTAGTCAGACACATTTCTTTGTAAGGCAATGACTTTATTGGTTGGCACCCGTCTGTCTCTGGAGACAAGGAAGAGTGTGCCAGTCAAGTACCCCCATCCACATCCTAAAATAAGGATCCAGGTTACAGAAGCTAAAACCAAGTGATTGGGCCCTCCAGGCAAATGCATGGGCCTTCGCACCCTTAAGAGGACAAAAGCCAGAGGATTGTATATGAGCTGAGCTGGAAGCAGGCTGGGAGTTGGAGGCCCAGAGACACGCTTGCTTTGTGCTGGATACAAAGCCAAGACTAATGGAGAAGCAAGTTATTTCTGGGTGTTAATGCTGCAAGCCCCTCCATCTTATGCTCAGGTTGCATATATGTGTAAACAAAACTGTATATCCTAAAGACAATACAGTCATACCTCGGGTTACAGCCTCTTCAGGTTGTGTTTTTTTCGGGTTGTGGAGTGCTAAAACCCGGAAGTACCGGAACGGGTTACTTCCGGGTTTCAGCGTTAGTGCATACTCAGAAGCACTAAATTGTGCTTTGTGCATGCGCAGAAGCGCCAAATCGCAACCAGCGCATGCACAGATGCAGGTTGCGAACACTGCTGGTTGCGAATGTGCATCCCGCATGGATCACGTTCGCAACCCGAGCGTCCACTGTATAGTCTCCGCTGACCTTCATTCAAAGGAAACCCAACCCTGGGAAAGTTCCTGGAACCCCTAGATCAGGGGTCAGCAAGGTTTACCTCGCCTGGACCGGTTCACTCCAGAGATCCCTCTGTGCACCAGATTGCGCATGCGTGTTAGTGCCCGTGATTTCCGGTGTCTGCGTCAGCGCAGACGTGATTTCCAGCGCCGCAGAAGCATGCGGGGACTTGCCGAGTTGGATGCTCAGTTCGGGGGCGGCTTGTGGGCCAGTTAAACGACCCCCGTGGGCCGCTTGTGGCCCATGGGCCTTAGGTTGCTGACCCCTGCCCTAGATTCTCTGACTGCTCAGAGATTGGGATAACGATAAGAAATAAATACCTTGTCTCTAATGTACATGTGCAAATGTTTCCTGCCACATGCATGAGTCTCAGGCTTATGCATAGGAGCCAACCGCTAGGGGGTCTTCGGGGGCCCCCGATAAAATATTTGAGAGGGCTGCCGCCCCCAAAGTCAATGAGCATTGCCATTCCAATGGTGTGTAAGATATATTAGCAACATTAAGTAAAACCACCTGCATTGTATATTTAATCAAATGCAAGTATTTGTTATTTAAACTTTAAAAGAGAGTGTCTTTTGCAGTTTTTATAGGAGGGGAAAGGAAACTAAAGGGTCCAATGACCAGGTCTCTCCCGGTAAAATCTCATTCTCACATTTCTGCCCCCTAGTTTCACAGTCCCCACCCAACCCAATATTAACCTTTAACTCGCCATTGCTTCTGATTTTTCAGTCATACTGAACTCTGTTTAGCTGCTCAGGTGCTGATGAGAGCCTTGGAAAACTCAAGAACTGAAATCGAGGAAGAACATCTGAAGAGTCAGCTGGATGAGGCCCAAGATATGGCAACCCTAGTGTTGACCCAAAAGAGAAAGAACAACTGCTTCCCACTCTTAAATCACCATCTCTAGATCTTCTGGATTAGAGAAGGGCTCTAAAACCATCATAGGCTCATTGCCTCCATATTGACAAGTTTTTCTTTTTTTAAAAGCGCTGGGTACATTAAGACACCACCATCCTGCGTTACTAAGCAAGGTTCATTTTTTTAATCAAGCATATTCTACACTGGCATTAATGCTGCCGCAGTTGTGCTCAACATTCAACAGCGCCCGAGTCATCAGGTCCCCGACTTCCCTGCGGTGTAGACAGAGTCTCTTCTGATAACCGTTGTAGAAGCAGAAGCCCAGAGACAGGACAGCCAGCACAGCCAGCTCCAGGAGAAGGGCACCCACAGCAGGCGGCATTACATTTTGTTTTCCACCTGCCGAGAGAGAGAAAGAAAGAGAGAACTTAGGAGTCTGCTTAATATAGAGTCAGAGAATTGGGTCCATGTAGCTCAGCACTTCCACTGACCGGCAGCAATGCTCCAGGGTTTCAGAGAGAGCATTTTTTATTTCCGTAATATTACCTAGAGATGCCAGGATTGAACCATTTGCAATAAAGGCAGGTGCTCTCCCACTGAGTTACAGCCCTTACCATCACCACCCCTCCTAGCGTTTCTGGCATGCTTTCAGCTTTTCAAAAACACCCAATTTATCTAGTGGTAAATGGCTGCCAGTTCACTTCTGGGCCCAATTCAATTAACCTTCAGGTAAACTCGTCCCAAGCCATTGAGGGCTCTACGCACTGTTCTAATAATTTTAAGGTCTCCAACATAGAATAAATATTCAGAAATGCACACATATCTAAATATATGAACCATGTGTCTGAAATAGTATGGGAGAGCAATCCTGAAGCCATTTTGACTCTCCCGATGACCTCAAATATTCCTCTGCAGTAAGGGAGGCCAATGGGGAAAGCCTTCCCATTGTCTTTTCCCTTACCAATCCTGTCTTAAGGGCGTATTTGTGTATGAATAGGGTGAGCCTGTGGCCTGGATTCAGGAACTAAAGTATTAACCATCATGAAAGAATGGCCAGGCTGCCCAGGTAATGCAATCAGTGACCATTATCAGGTATTCTGGCCGGGAGGATTTCTGCTGTAGACCACCTCCTTCTGTGATGTATGTTTGATGTTTTAGGGGGGTGGTCTTGGGCTACAGGGTGGGCAATTTCAAAAGTCTATATAAGGGCTTGTGCACCATTGTTCAGGGTTCCTCCTCTCTCCTGCATGTGGTGAGTGGGGACTCTGTTGCAATAGTTCCTTGAATAAAGATCAGGCTTACTAGCTGCTTTGCTTCTCAATATTCTCTGGTTGGCTTCTTACTTTCTCCTACCAATAGGGAACCCACTTAAGGATTCTATATGGGCTCTGGAATACCCCATAAAGGAAAGGGAGCAGTTTTTCTTATAGCACAAACAGAGAGAGAGAGAGAGAGAGGAGAGAGGAGAGAGAGAGATAAGACCACCTTGGTTTTGGCCCAGTGCATATCGTTGGATGACTTACCTTACCTTTGCGACTCCTCCTGACAGCAAGAGAGCCGTTTGCATCCAGCTCTCCGTGGTCTCCATTTTGAGCCAGTTTCTGAATTGTGAAATGAGTCACCACCACGTTCGATTGCCGTGGACGGACTTCCACAGACAGACCTGAAGAGAAGCGACGGATGCAGATTTTGGTATGACCAGTTCAACCGCTGCCCTGTCCGTTTCCAGGGATGCGTTAAACAAACAAACAATTAAAAATGTGCAGAGATACCTTCCAGATCTCTCTGGTGGCGAGACCCAGTCGCTCCACACGTCGAGTCACAGCAGCTGCACACAGAACTGGATGGATCATCTAGGAGCTCCCATCTGTGGAGAGAAGGAAAGCCGTCAACTTCTGAATTCAAGGGCTCCTTGACACTTGCTTTTGTGCCGCATTTATAGGCACAGCTGCGGGCTTTCCAGGTCTGTGACTAAGCAGGTTCTTTTTATTCCACCACTTTCATCCAGGAAAACCTGCATTTTACTGGTGAATTGACACAGGCAGCTGTTGGGTTTTCTGCTGCTTGCTGTTTGCTCCAATTCAGCAGGGGGAAAAATGTGGGTTTTCCCAGAGAAAGCAATGGGACGAAAAATGAAGAAGAAAAAGAAAAGGACCTAGAAAGTCCAGAAAACATGGAGCGAAGGAAAGTGTGGATGAGGCTTGCAAAAGTCACAGACCTCACAGTATCCACACGCGTGCTGGATTTATTCTTTCACCAGGCACTAGGATGAAATGAAACTGATTTAGTCTTGCTTCCAGGCTCCGACTGCAAGCCTCATGTCTCTGGGAACTTCCTTCTGATGCAGCGTCTGCTTACATCAGGGGTTGGGGAACCCCAGGCCTCTGCCTGCCCCGGAGGCCATTCCCATCACTGGTCCTGATCCAGACCCTCTTAAAGGGGCTGGGCCCAACCGGAATGTGTCCCCGGAACTGCGATCCTGCCTCTTGCTTGCCTGGGATGGAGAGGGGTATCTGTGTGCAGAAACCTCTTTTGAATGGCTTGGAATGACACCCTCCACTCCCAAAAGGAGTTGCTCCACCCACTTTTGCCTCTGGCCCCACCCACCACTTGCATCTCCCCACCCCCACCCCCTCAGAAGGCTGCATATGAAGGAATGAGGTCACTGGTGTGAATAAGGTCCTCCTGCCACTGGCTCATAGGGGATGACCTCCCAGCGATGTACCAAATTGGGTTTCCACAGCAACTGCAGATTTTGCATTGAACCCTCCTTCCTTAGCAGGGCCTGATGATGAGACCACTCTGCTCTAGAAACAGGCTCTTTGCCAGCTTGTTATTTCGGAGCAAGTCATAGACGCCCATGGAACGTTTTTTAAAATTTGAAATTGAAATTGAGGGCCTGCCCATTTTGTGCGTGTGCACACACACATAGTCCAACATCCCTGGAACGACATACCCTCCAACATTTCTCCGATGAAAATAGAGACATCCCATTCCATAATGATAATTTTACTATTTATAACCCCACACATCTTACTGGGTTACCCCAGCCAGTCTGGTAAGCTTCCAACATATATAAAAACACCATAAAACATTAAGGAAACTTCCCTATACAGGATTGCCTTCGGACAGCTCGGGGGGGTGGGGTGGGATAACACCATACCCTCCAGCATTTCTCCAATGAATATACGGATATCCTAAGGAAAAGCAGGACATTCCAAGATCAAATCAGAAACCGGGACGGCTTCTCTAAATCAGGGACGTCCCTGGAAAACAGGGACACCTGGAGGGTCTGGAATGAGCCTCTCAGTATTGGTCTTACCTAGCCAAAAGGCTCACCACTCACAGATCCCTTCGGCAAAAACCTCTAACAAACAACCATTCCCCACATTCCTTACTTGTTCGTATCTCTGTGAAACGAGCAGGCCTTCCTCATGTGGTCGGCGGGTGCAGCTGGGTCCCAGACTAAAACTTGGCAGTGAAGGTAAACCTGCAAGAGGAATGGATTTTGCTCCTGGTGCTCCTGGGACAGTCACACTTAATTATTTGTTGCTGCAGAGGAGGGCAACCAAGATGCTCAAGAGAGGCTTCCTCAACCTCGGCCCTCCAGATGTTTTTGGCCTACAACTCCCATGATCCCTAGCTAGCTGGACCAGTGGTCAGGGATGATGAGAATTGTAGTCTCAAAACATCTGGAGGGCCAAGGTAGTGGAAGCCTGCTCAAGGGTCTGGAAATCGAGCCTTATGAGGAACAGTTGAAGGAGCTGAGTGTGTCTAGCCTTGAAAAGAGGAAACCGAGAGGAGATATGATAGCCATCTTCAAATGTCTGAAGGGCTGTCACATGGAAGATGGAGCAAGCTTGTTTTCTCCTGCTCTGGAGGGTAGGACTCGAACCAATGGCTTCAAGTTACAAGAAAGGAGATTCCAACTAAACATCAGGAAGAACTTTCTGGCAGCAAGAGCTGTTTGACAGAGTAACGGTCTCCCTTGGGAGGTTGTGGATTCTCCTTCCTTGGAGGTTTTAAAGCAGAGGTTGGATGGCCATCTGTCAGGGATGCTTTAGCGGAGATTCCTGCATTGCAGGGGGTTAGACTAGATGACTCTTGGGGTCCCTTCCACCTCTACAATTCTATGACTCTAACTGTAACACTGCTCACTTTTAAACTGCTTAGAAGTCATTTTAGCAAGTATAAATTATAAAATATCTACACATGCCTTCAACACCGTGCGTGCCTGCAAAAGTTTTGAAGAGGACATCCTTCTCTTTGTTAGGCTACAGCCCCTCCAAGCAACAATGTGGTAGCATTCTGCCCGAGCACCACAGAACTAATAAAGTAGGATAAATCCACCACCTGCAGACCCCCTGCAATACTAGAACAGCCGAGAGAGGTCCCTGGCACCGCCCAAGACCAGTACTGCCATGGCTTGTGGCTTCCTCACAGGGATGTCGTATACAGCATAACCCAGGGGTCAGCAAACTTTTTCTGCAGGGGGCCAGTCCACTGTCCCTCAGACCTTGTCGGGGGCCGGACTATATTTTGGAAAAAAATATGAACGAATTCCTATGCCCCACAAATAACCCAGAGATGCATTTTAAATAAAAGCACACATTCTACATATGTACAAACACGCTGATTCCCTGACCGTCTGTGGACCGGATTTAGAAGGCAATTGGGCTGGATTTGGCCCCTGGGCCTTAGTTTGCCTACCCATGGCATAACCCCTTATTTTGAAGGGTGCTTCCATGCAGTACCAGTGAGACCCTCAAACACAGGTGCAAGCTGAGAGTCTCCTTGCACAAGCATTACCAAAAGTGGCCTATTGCATGTTGAATGCAAGAAGTTCCGGGTTCAGTCCCCACCATCAGGTTTATTAACTGCAAACACCAAAATTTGGGACCCCCTCCAAACCTGTGTCTAAGTTTCACTGCGGCATTTTGCAGTGATAAGTCCGAGTTTTGCAGAACCCCACAAATGGAGTAATTGATACAAACATGGGGTTCATAGTTAACACCCCAAAAATAATATTAAAATTATTATTTATACCCCGCCCATCTGGCTAGGTTTCCTCAGCCACTCTGGGCGGCTCCCAACAGAACACTAAAAACCGAATAAAACTTCAAACATTAAAAACTTCCCTAAACAGGGCTGCCTTCAGATGTCTTCTAAAAATCAGATAGTTCTTTATTTCCTTGACATCTGATGGGAGGGCGTTCCACAGGGAGGGAGCCACTACTGAGAAGTCCCTCTGCCTGGTTCCCTGTAACCTCACTTCTTGCAGTGAGGGAACTGCCAGAAGATCCTCAGATTTGGATCTCAGTGTCCGGGCTGAACAATGGGGGTGGAGACACTCCTTCAGGTATACTGGGCTGAGGCCGTTTAGGGCTTGAAAGGTCAGCACCAACACTTTGAACTGTGCTCGGAAATGTACTAGGAGCCAATGCATATGCTGTCCAAATCCCTTCAAACCAGTGCCGAAGTCTTGCAATATTTTTGCAGTGTTTTGCAGTGAAAACTCCCATGTTCTGGAGTGCCCCACAAACTGGGTAACAGCTACTCAAACCTAGGGTCATCATAGCTATCCACATCCCCAAATAAGAGCTGGGAATGCCGGGTGCTCAAAACCCTGAAGAGCCACTGCCTGTCAGCTTAATGAGCCAACGGCGTGACTCAGAATAAGGTGGCTTCCTGGGCACGATGCAAAAGTACAGAATGTAGTACTGGGAGCGGAGTTCTGCCTCCATTCAAACAGGTTCCTAGCCCTGAGGCTACACAAAGCATGGATTAATGAGTCGACAACTGCCTGCTGAACAGCAGGTGAGAAAAATTGCAAAATCACTGCAAAATTGGAGGTTACCTCAGGAAATACTGGCGCAAGGCCTATTAAGTTGTAAGTTACTTACATCAGTATCTATTTCAACGAATTCAAAGGCTTGCAGAGAAAGATGGAGCACTTCCGGAGTCTGTCTAGGGAGGAACCGGGAATTTGCAACCCTGCTGTCAACAAGGCACCTGCCCAAAACCCAACAAGAAATATATGTTTTAAAAAGCACATCTCATTCGGAGGACAAAATGCATCCCAAGTTTTTTTTTTTAGCAGATGCTACACAATTGTCTCTTGGTGCAAAAATCCAGGCGACACTGGCAGCTTTTGAAACAAAAAATAACCTGGCACTTATGTTTATTATGGATTGATGCCATTAATATCCCATCTTTTCTCCAGGGGTGGCAGGCAGAGCCCCCCCCCTTGCATTTCATCCTCCAAACAACCCTGTGAGGTAGCTTATTTTATTTTTTTTCAAATTTTTTTTATTAGTTTTCCAAATTTATAACAAGCAAATCCACAAACATAAAAAGAAAATGTCAACAAACAAACAAACATTTATCCTTACTGTAATAATTCCCCTTTTGTTAACATTGTTGGGTGACTTCGATTCCCCCTGGCTAAGTTTCCATATAAATCATTGTAGCAGTTTTCCAAAACTATTTGGTAAGCTTGGTAAGGCTGTTCCCCTTCCATCCACAGAACTCAAAACCCCCCACAGTGCAGACTCACCCATGGTTCGCAATGACGACGTAACTCTGGGGCGATGTGCTCAGGTCTGGAGTTGTGGCAGCCACACACTCGTCCACAAAAACCTGCAAAGGCTGGTGGAAGGAACGCTGAACAGCAAACTGAATGTGGATCTGAGAGCCCAGGGGGAAGACGCTGGAGGATGAGGGAGCGCTGAAGTCCGCTGCAAAGACAGAAGAGGCAGCACTTTTAGGAGCAACGAGTGGAAACAGTTTCCTACATTCTCTTGGGGGAACCCTCTGAGGGTGGGCACATGCCGGGGTGGGCAGAGCAAGGTGGAACAAAGGGCAAGATTCTTTCTACAGCTGCCTATATTTCCCCAGATGCAACTCAGAGGGTGGCATTCAACTGCTCATGAGCAGACCCACTGGAAATAATGGACATCATGAAGGCCCAATCTGCACAATACATTTATAGCACTCTTATTACACATCCTACGGGACCGCCTCTCCTGGTATGTCCCACGGAGGACCTTACAGTCTTCAAATAAAAACATCTTGGAGGTCCCAGGGCACAAGGAGGTTAGGCTGGCCTCAACCAGAGCCAGGACTTTTTCAGCTGTGGGTCTGATCTGGTGGAACACTCTGTCACAAGAGACTAGGGCCCTGCGGGACTTGACATCTTTCCTCAGGGCATGCAAGACAGAGCTGTTCCACCAGGCCTTTGGCCAAGGCACAGACTGACCCCCTCCTTTGGTAATCCTCACAGAACTCTAGCCCAACGGTTGCCATTAATTTGATTTGAACTGATTTTATAATGAATTGATTTTACAATGCTGTATTATTTTACTGTTGTTAGCCGCACTGAGCCTGGCTTCGGCTGGGGAGGGCGGGATATAAATTAAATTATTATTATTATTATTATTATTACATTGCATTTAGGCAGAGACTGGCCCAGGGTCACCCAGTGAGACTCACGGCCAAGTGAGGATTCACAGCCTGGTCTCTCAGGTCCTGGTCAGGCACTCTAACCAGACTCCAACATTGCACCACACCGACTCTCCACTTTAAAAGGCAATTGTTTCCTCCAAAGAATCTTGGGAGCTGGAGTTTGTTAAAGGTGCCAGGCGTAATTTGGAGACTCCTGTTTCCCTCCCAGAGCTACAATTCTCAGGCTTGTTGAACAATCATCTTCTCTTCCCAGGGAACTCTTGGAAACTGTAGTTCGGGGGGGGGGGGATGAAGGTCCTTCCTAACTCTCAGCATGCTGAACTACAGGTCCCTGAACTCTCTGGGAGAAGCCACGGCTGTTTAAAGTGGTACGATACTGCTCTAAATGTATATAATGCAGAGGGGGTCTAAGTTAGGTCTGTTAATTTCAGTGTGCCTGCTCCAAGTAAAATTTAACCAGATGCCTCCCAGAGATTATTATACTTCTCCATCCAGCAACCAGGCAGAATTATCACAGTTCGATCACACATGCCACTGGAATTAGGAGGCTGCGCCTATCATTGGCTCCACCTATCAATGCATCTAGCTCCGCCTACTGTGAGCCTCCCCACCCCCACCCCACCCAGCTGGATCCTGTTGCTTACCATTCATTAAAGTGCCGGTGAACATTAGTCCACTGGAAGCAGAAAGATGGCCGGTGACCGTTGTCACTTGTGGAGGAGGAGTCGTCAAGCGCCCTGCGCTGGAAGAGAAGAGAGTCAGTCTCTCCTTGCGAGTGTTACAGCGAGCCACCTCAATGTGGACTAGGGGAGTGAAGCGACGAGATGGGCGCTGTGCATTCACCACTTCGAAGTTCCAAGTTGCAGCGCAACTGGGCTTATTTTCATGAGGTTGGAGAGAGCGTGGGAGCCTTACAATTCACTTGCATATTTTAATTAAACATTAGGAAGAACTTTCTGAGGTTAAGAACTGTTCAAACAGTGGACTGGAACTACAGTGGTACCTCGGGTTACTGGTACCTCGGGTTACAGACGCTTCAGGTTACAGACTCCGCTAACCCAGAAATATTACCTCGGGTTAAGAACTTTGCTTCAAGATGAGAACAGAAATCATGCAGCAGCAGCAGCAGGAGGCCCCATTAGCTAAAGTGGTGCTTCAGGTTAAGAACAGTTTCAGGTTAAGAACAGACCTCCAGAACGAATTAAGTACTTAACCCGAGGTACCACTGTACCTCAGAAGCTGGTGGACTCTCTTGGAGGTTTTAAAACAGAGGCAGGATGGTCTTCTGTCAGGGATTATTTAGCTGCGATTCCTGCATTGCAGGGGACCCTGACAACTCTACCATTCTGAGAAATCTTCCAAACATGCCCCAAGTCACCCTTCCCCTGGCGCCCTCCAATCCCAGCTAACTGTGTATAAGATGGCAGCCTCAAGTCACTGAGGTCCAGCTCCGAGGGCCTTCTGGCAGTTCCCTCCCTTCGAAAAGCGAGGTTAGAGGGAACCAGGCAGAGGGCCTTCTCGGTGGTGGTGCCTGCCCTGTGGAACACCCTCCCATCAGATGTCAAGGAAATAAACAACTATATGACATTTAGAAGACATCTGAAGGCAGCCCTGTTAAGGGAAGTTTTTAATGATTGATGTTTTAATTTATTTTTAGTCTTTGGTTGGAAGCCGCCCAGAGTGGCTTGGGAAACCCAACCAGATGGACAGGGTAGAAATAATATATTTATTATTATTAATTATTATTAATTTGTCCCCCCTCCTGCTCCAAGGAAGTAACCCGCATGCTTTTAAGAACTACTATATGAGAATCTTTTTTTAAAAAATCGATTTGCTGCCTTAAGAATGCTGCGTTACACCAACAGGAAACTTTCCTGGTGGCTTTTGCAGATATCAGACTGTATATCCTTAGCAGATTTCTGCTGCAAAAGAAAAAAAGAATTTACAGGAACTTTTCTCCCACAGCTGAACTCTTAACAGAGACGTGTTTGGATTCACAACTTCAGCTCCACTTCTGACATCCATCCTCTTCACCCCAAATTGCCTTTCCCATGTCCACACATGCAGTGCTTACTCATAATTGGTACAGTTAATCCTCTCCATGAAAGGGCTCCTGCTGTAGAGATCGGACCGGGTGGAGGGTGGCCTGTAGACCAGGCTACTAGAATACTCTACCATTGCGCCACAGATCTGCAAGAATAAAAAACTGAGACGTTAGCATTCAGATAATGGATGCTCAGCCAAAGCCCACATTCACACCATACCTTGAAAGCAGCATCATACAACTTTAAGCAATCGTGGCTTCCCCTAAAAATTCTGGGAGCTGTAGTTCATGAAGGGTGCCAAGAGTTGCTAGGAGACCCCACCTCCCCCCAAATTCCCCTCTCAGAGCTACAATAGCTAGAATGGCTTTCAGCTCAACCTCTCTTCCCAGGGAACTCTGGGAATTGTAGTTCTGCGAGGGGGAAAAGGGGTCTCTTCACAACTCCCAGCACCCTTAATAAACTACAGCTCCCAAAATTCTTTAGGGGAAGCAATGACTATTTAAAGTGGAAATGAGATGCTTAAATGTATGGCATGAAAGAGAAGTCAGTTGTCGAAATTTCTGACTTTGCATCTAGATATATAAATTTATTTTAATGCAGCCCATTTTGTAATTTTTAGGTATGCAATTGTTTTAAACTGTTTAATATAGGTTATTGTATTGCAAATCAATGCCTCGTGGAAAGTCATTCAAAGATGAAATAAATGACAATTCCCTGTTTAGGGAAGTTTGTAATGTTTGATGTCTTACCGCGTTTTTAATATTCCACTGGGAGCCGCCCAGAGTGGCTGGGGAAACCCAGCCAGATGGGCGGGGTACAAATAATAAATTATTATTTATTATTGTTGTTCTTATACAACAATATGCATATGCAAAATTTATTACTCAAATGTTCGCCCTTCGAGGCCCTCCCCCCCATTTCCTCTTTTTGGCAATGCATAGACGACAGGCTTTTACTATGGAAGTAATATACAATGGTACCTTGGGTTACATGCGCTTCAGGTTACAGACTCCGCTAACCCAGAAATAGTACCTCGGATTAAGAAATTTGCTTCAGGACGAGAACAGAAATTGTGCGGTGGCGGCGCGGCAGCAGCGGGAGGCCCCATTAGCTAAAATGGTGCTTCGGGTTAAGAACAGTTTCAGGTTAAGAACGGACCTCCGGAACAAATTAAGTACTTAGCCTGAGGTACCACTGTGCCTACCTTGAAATGGGAGCCCGCTTCAGTTCCTGAGACACAGAGAAGCTTCAGAGCATTTCTCTCCAAACCTCAATGAGGAACAGTCCTGCAGTTCACTCAATGGAGGCTGGTCCATTAGGACAAAGGGGGCATTGGCCCACCAACCTCAGTCTGTCCTCAGCCAGCTCCCACCAGCCTGCCTTCTTGCTCACAGCTAGTCCTGAGGCTGACTTGGAGTTCCCCTTCCGCCTCCTTATTCTCAGTGCTGCCTTTTTAGAATTCACGAGGGAAAAGGAGGAGGAGGAGCACAAAACAAGAATTTGTTAACTCATTCTGACATTGGCTTTGGTGCCACCTACTGTTGGGCTCCCTACCTTCCGCCTTACGAGCAACATTCTTCAGCCGCCTCCTGAGTGACCAGCAAGTCACCACAGCAGCCTGCAAAATCCTGGCCCCTCAGAACACTCACCAGCCGTGCAAAGCCACATTCCTTAAAGTGGTACTGGAAGTGGAAGAAGCCCTGCCGGTTGTCCTCAAAGGAAGGGGAGCAGCGGCCGAGGTGCAGATATTGCGGTTCCAGCCTGAGACCTGTGTCCCAAGGGTCCATCTTGACCACTAAATGGATGCTGGTCCTGTTGCATTTATAGGGCATGGAAGTGGCAGGTACTGCAGGGGGAGGGAGAAGAGTCAGAGCCGACAGATACCTAAAAGGCTTGTAATCACAGGCAGATTGTAGGAAGGAGCTGGGCCTCTACGCCGCTACTCTTAACCACAGTTCCTTGTTGCATCAGTGCTAACCACAGTGAAGGCTGATGAGACTCCTCCTCCTAACTGCCGGAAACAGCCCCAGACCCTGGTTTCAAGCCTTGGCTAAGAGAACAGGCAAGGAACCTTTTTCAGAACGAGGGCCACATTTCCTCGTAGATACCCTTCTGGGGGCCACATGCCAGTGGTGGGCAAGTGTGGAGGCAAAAGTGAGTGGGGCAATTGATGCGGATGTTACCTTTGTGCAGTAATTTAACTTCTACACACACTTGCATACCCGCCTCTGGGCAAGCAAGGGGCATTACTGGTGTTCAAGGACAAATTCCAGCCGCGCAAGAACCACTCAAGGAGGGTACAAAGCAGGGCCAGTGAAGGGGTGTGGCCTGGTAAGAGTTCCAAGGGCCAGACAGAGAGGTTTGGAGAGCCAGATCTGGCCCCCCGTGTCTAAGGTTCCTCTCATCTGGTTAAGGCTAGCAGGAGAAATTTGAGCCAGAGAATAAATAAAGCGCACAATCCCATAGGGCTCCTTATTTTGTAATGTGCACCCCGCCCCAAAAAATGTGGATGTTGCTTTTTAAATACAGTGGTACCTCAGGTGACATACGCTTCAGGTTACAGACTCTGCTAACCCAGAAATAGTGCTTCAGGTTAAGAACTTTGCTTCAGGATGAGAACAGAAATCGTGCAGCGGCAGCGGTGGGAGACCCCATTAGCTAAAGTGGTGCTGAGAACGGGTTAAGAACAGTTTCAGGTTAAGTATGGACCTCTGGAATGAATTAAGTACTTAACCTGAGGTACCACTGTATTGGTTTATAGATTTTAGGTAAGCTGCCCTGTGTACTTTTGTAGATAGGGTATAAATGCAATAATAATGCCATAACGATATTTTGAAATGCAGGAACAAAACAGGTCTAGATGCAAGGGTAGGAGAGGGGCAGTTCTGGGTTCAAGTGCCTTCTCAGCCCACATTGGCCACTGGAGGGCCTCAGCCCTATTGTTTTCAACATAAGCCTGCCTCAGAGGCTTGTAGAGGGCAGAGAGTAAGAAGAGATACCCATGGTCACCCCCTCAAGCCTCAAAACCCACAGCAAAGGAGATGCAAGCCCAGCAGCCCTTCCCAATGCAAGGAGAGAAATGCAATTTGCAGGAGAAAAGATGCTGCAACTTACCACTCTGAGCAGCAGCAGAAGCAACCACCAAACTCCAGGCAAATGCCACCAAGCTCCTCTTCTGCAACCGCATATTGACGCTCTCGGCTTCCAGTTCAGAAAGAAGGTAGACACCAGCCTTTCAGCTTACTCTGAAGCACCTGTTTATACCTGCTCCCACCTTCTGGGGGCGGCTTGAGCTACTTTCCCAGGGCACAGGTGCTGAGGATTCCTTTTGATCAGCCTCCCTCTCCATCAGGAAGGGAGCAACCTTCCCCAGAGGTAATCGCTGAAGACACTGGTGATAAAAGGGCATCTGAGCTCTTCTGTTGGCTGAGTGTTTGTGTGTGCAAAAGCTGGATGCCACCCCCATCAAACGGTTAGTCTTAGTCTATGTGCACATTATAGGCTTAAAATGCAGCTAACTTTTTCCAATTCAGATTTAAGTGGGTTTGGGGAGGAATGCATCAAAATGTAGCACATTTCATTTAAAACAACAAAACACATCTAGGATTGAAGTGGATTGTGGTTAATCGTGTGGACATACCATTTCCCAAACCGGTGGAGGGAGCACACCAGATGTAAAATGTTGTTTCCCCCTCCACAATCACTTTTCTTATTGCAAACAGCCCGTTTTGGGTCTGTTCTGCTAGAAAAGCACTGTTGAGTTTTATCACCATGTACCTGCTTTAATGGGGGTGGGCTGGGAACATGTATCTACCCAAAGGGGTGAGAGAGATGCAACCTGTTAAAGGGAAGGATGACCCAATGGTTACAGCAATGGCATTATCTGTTTTATTTATTATAAACTTCCTTGTCCACTCTTCAGCATAAGGTCCCAATGTAATATATACAGTTATTACAAAAAGAGATAAAACTATTGCAATGATAAAAGCAAGTAAAACTGGGCAATATACTTTCAGCCCATACAGAGCTGTTTAGAATCACCAGCTTTTTCCACCAGCCACTGTAACTGTGTCTTTAGCAATAGTCTGATGTGCAGATGTTAGCAGCTGATGACACTTATTTCCGTGTGGGTCATCTAACAATATTCACAGCACAACAGCAGCATTAAAAGCACAGAGCAAACTTCGTGCTCTCCCCCCCGCCTGGTCAGTTGGCAACTCTAGCAGTGGTGAAAGGCTGGTTTGAATTTCTGGGTGGTGTACAAAACACCCCCGTAAGCTATCATCTTGGAGAAGCTTCAGTCCCAGATAGATTATTGTGTTCTCAAGGAAAACTGAGGGGTTGTGTAGGTGCCAGAGGCCCAGACCTGTGTAAAAGCCTTGCTCTTTAATTCTGCATGTGTGGTAAGTAGCAAGGAGCCTGCAGTTACTCTCTGAGGAGAGAAAGGCTCTCTACATGTGCTCAGAGGTGCTTTTAATTCTCATTTCATACTTAACTGCAAATGTATGCAAATACAGGCCTTTATACAGATGAGGAGTCGTGGCGGAGGACTCAGCTGGTCAACACATTTTATGTACCACTGAGTTCTGCAGACTTCGCATCCTAATAAAGCCACCATTGTAAGTGCACTAACTTGAGAGTAAGCTGCCTGGAACACAACAGGAATGACTTCTGGGTGGAAAGGCTTGCGATCATATGGCATTAGGACTGTCACCTGGGCCTTTGCATATTTTATACGGGCTTTTGAATCTTAATGTACAGAAGAACATCCTGTGCTTTAAATGTGTGTTGGATGATGTGTTTTAAATATATGAATGGGGTGGATCCACTCTCCCCATTGATCCACCCCCTTGGCCCAGCAGTCTCTGCTCATCCTCCTCTGCTGCTCAGAGCCAGCGCAATGCAATTTGGTGCCTGAGGCAGAAAATTCAAATGGACCTCCCCTAAGCAACTGGGGTTGCTTCTCAACAAATTGTTTATCGAGCGTTCAACCTGATTTACTTGCAAAAAGTTTGCAGCAAGATTATGTTGGCTAGTTATGAAACATTTGTTTTGATTTGTGCATGGGGAGGTTAGATGATGGTACACCAAGCAAATATTGTCCTGCACTTTGCAGTGCCTTTCCCCATTGCCTTCCTTATCACAACACATTCGTTTCGATGGGTGGGGCAAAGAGACAGGTTGATTGTGGAAGAGCACCAATTCAACATCAGTTGTGCACCCTGAAATCGCCAGTATGTGATTGAATCCCACCCCCCAAATGGCAAATGCCTGTTAGTGTCCTGATTCTCATGGGACACAGTTGTCCATTGGGAGGTTCTCCTGTGATGATGTCACTAGATAGGCTCTGCTGAGCTCCAGAAACACTGCTCTGCAATTCCTTCGCTAGCTGGTATCACATAGGCTGCCTCATACCGAGTCGGTTCACTGGTCCATCCTGCTCAGTGTTGTCTACACTGACAGCAGCTCTCCAAGGTTTCAGACAGGACCGCTGAGCCATGGTCCTTCGCCACCCCCACCCCCCAACCCACCCCAGCTCACGCCACCACTACAAGTGGGGAAAAAGGAATCAAGAGTCTGAACAGCTCAAAGACTTTTGTATTATAAACAGCCTTACATTATAATTATTTTACAAAATTATAGTGATTTTTAAAATTTCTCATCTTTACAAGTGGAGAACATTAGACATCTATACTGAGTTAATGGTGTGTGTTTGTAGGTATATATACACAGAGAGAGCGAGAGAGAGAGCTGTGATGGAACAGACAGGAAGTGATGCTGTTCTGAACTATTGTTATCAGTCACAGTAGGACCAGCAGTAGCCAACAGGGTGCCCTTGAGTTACTGGTCTACAACTCCCATCATCCCTAACAGTTGCTGGCTGCAGGTGCTGGTAGCAGCTGAAGTTCAATGGCTTCTGGAGGGCCCCACCTTGGCTGTCCCTGAAGTCATACATGGGGCAAAGGGGGGAGCCCCAAAAGGATCTCCCTCACCGTACCCTTCTGAGTATACTCCCCACATTTTGGTTGCCTTTTAGCACCACCCAGTTCCTAAGCAACTCCTTTGTGGTGGAAATACTCACTTGTGCACATTTAAAGCACATGACTTCTCCCAAAGAATTCTGGGAACTGGACGTTGTTAAGGGTGCTGGGAACTGCAAAGGGTAATCTACAGCTCCCAGAATTCTTTGGGGGAAGCCATGTGCTTTAAATGTATGGTGTGTTGGCAGACGCCTCTCCTGGGTTTTGTTTTGTTTTTTTGTTGCAGTGAGAAGCAGCAACTGGGAAGCCTCCTCCCTCCCACCATTCCTCTCTCGCATTTTGAGTAGAGCCCTCCCTGTAAGCACACTAGTCCTCATCAGATCCCGTTGCTTGTCAGGGCTGACACCTCCTCTTTGAGGAGAGAAACTCCAGGACCCTCCAACCAGTGAGGACATTAGCTCTGGCAGGGACGGCGGAAGTTTGGAGGAAGACAGCAAGCGACATTCTGCATCCTGTGGACCAACCCCACAGAGGTGTCTGGAAAATGGCTCTGCTGGGTGATGAAGATGATGACAAGGGTCACATCCACACATCATACATTGAAATCACAGCGCTTTCTCAAAAGAATCCTGGAAACGGTAGTTTGTTCAGGGGGCTGGGAATAATGGCTCCGTTATAGGTAAACTATGGTCCCCAGGATTCTTTGGGGGAAGCCGTGTGCTTGCAATGTGTGGTGTGTACACAGCCGGAATCCCAGGCCTCCATAACGGCAGAAAGAGGTACATCGGCACAGATTGGGTTTGTCTAGGTAGTGTTCCAGGGTGGAGAATTCAACCTGAGTTGATGAGGAGCACTCAGTCTGAAATGACTCAGCTCCCAAGGACCTTTAACTGACACTGTAAACACACCATACATTTAAAGCACATGGCTCCCCGCCTCAAGAATCATGGGAACTGTAGTTTGTTAAGGGCGCTGGGAATTGTAGCTCTATAGGGGAGAAACTACTTCTTTGCAGGAAGCCATGTGCTTTAAATGTTGAACGTGCTTTGTATGTATGGTGTGCAGTCCTGAGGTCTTCCAGCTATACGTCAAGAAGGTCTATAGTTTTATGTTCCCCAAGAGCCTTTGCTCACGTGAGGCTGAGGGTTTAGGGCGACATGGCACTTTTGGGTTGGTCACCTTCGCACCATACATTTAAAGCGTTATGATACTATTTTAAACAGGCATGGCTTCACCCAAAGAATTCTAGGAGTTGATAGGAGACCCCCTATTCCCAATTCCAGAGCCACAGTTCTCAGCATGGTTTAACAATAAATCGTTCTTCAAAGAGAGCTCTGGAAATTGTAGTTTTGCAAGGAGGAACAGGGCCTTCAACAAACTACAGCTGCCAGAATTACCTGGGGAAAGCCATGACTGTTTAAAGTAGTAGCATAGCACTTTAAATGTATGGTGGGAATGTGGCCTTTTTCTTTGTTGCTTACTGTGCTTTGAGTGTCTTGGGTTGGCGATGGCAGCGGATGGAGAGCATTTCAACCCTCATGCCATTTGCTCTGCTACATACTTAGTGGTGCCTTCTGTCCTAATAGCCCCATTGCTGAAGCTGCTTTAAAAAAACAATACAACCCACCCACCACCCACTTCTTGCAAACTGCTAAGCAATTTTTTAAAAGTGTTTTTATGAGCAAAAGAGAGGGAGCATAAGCAGATGAAACCAACCACACACACACACACACACACACACAGAGAGAGAGAGAGAGAGAGAGAGAGAGAGAGATGGAGAGATGGCAAGAACAGCCTTTGCTGGCAAACCCGAGTCCCAGTTTTACTGGGCATTTTATTGTATACCTCCAAAGCAGCTATTTGTAAGCACCAGAATGTGATTAAAAGAGGGATCTGCTAAGGACATGGCTGATCTTTCCCCACCTATAGAGGATTAAGAAAGTCGAAGGTGCCCTTGATGGTTCTCCTAGAACTAAAAGGAAAGGAAGTGTGTCAATTCTGGCATTAATGTACTCTGTACAGCAGCCTTTGCCTACCCTAGGCCCTCCTGATGTTCCTTCTGCACTACAACTCCCATCAGCCCCAGGCAGTGGTTGCCATCTGGGGCTGATGGGAGCTGTGGTGCCAAACCTCTGGAGGGCCCCAGGTGGGCAAAGGCTGCTGTCCAGTCTATCGCTGCCAGGTGAGTCAGTGCAATCCACAGTTTCTTGTTGCCTCTCACGCATTGTGGCTTGCGCAATCCTGAAACAGAGGCAGATTTCAGTGCACAAAGGAACACACTCGATCATCCCCCCCACGGAGCAAAAGACACTGGGCTGTTTCAGTCTTAGGAGTGCACTGCCAACAACACGCAGGGGTGAAACGCCACCTTTGTGTTAGAGCTTAACTTGCGTGTGCAATTAACATACACAAACACACACACTCATTCACAGTTAATCTGTTCGCAGTAATGTTTCAGTCCCCCGCATGGACAATATCTACACTACACATGCATAGCAGTTGGCTATTGATTTAACTGCTGAGGGTGACCACCCTGGGAGCTCTCTCTCCTACAGTGAGGATGCTAACCAGGGTCTCTGCCTCCCTCTCACAGAATTACAGTGCCCTGGATTCTCAGGGGAATTACTATTTAACGTGGGGTTAGCCAACGTGGTGCCCTCCAGATGTTGTTGGGTTCCATCGTCCCCCATCAGAATTTCCCTATCAGCCCAACCACATCTGGAGGCAAGGTGTTGGCTACCCCTGATTTAACTAGTTTTAAGTCCGTGGTATAGATATGCCCATAGACAGACGTCCACTATTTGCGTCTTCGCGCACATGTTCAGAAACGTGCTGCCCATCCAGCACATCCTTTGTCCATTCCTGCAGATGTGAGCAAATTACACGTGCGTTGACTTCCCTTCTTTAGAAAGGAGCATCTGTCAATACATGCAAATGCATACATGTGCGAATAGCCACACAAGCACAAACAAGCAGCCACTTCCCCCAAGTTTCTCCCAACCAGGAGGACACAGGAAGCAGGGTGGTGGCAGCTCATCCATCACTGTTCACAGCAGTTTGAAACGAGAGTCAAGAGGAAGAAAATCAGAGCTCTAAAGAGTTAGCAAAATGCTGCAAATTGGCAGAGGTGTCCTGATGCCGTTGTCTGCGGCCGCTTGCTCTGCTCTCAGCTGAAACAGTGGGGCCGGCTCAAGTGTTTGGACTCTGCATGGCACCCAGGGGTGGTGGGGGCCCATCTACTTCAGCCCTTGCCTGTGCTGCAACATGCCCCTCCTGGCACAGCCTGGGCCCAAATGGATGATTTGAGAGTGCCTTCCCTTGGCCTTGGCCATTCCTCTCCTTTGAACCGCTCAAGCTTGCTGTCCCTTTTCATTCTGAGGCTAGTTCAAACATTGGCTGGTGGCAAGCAGGAGCCGTATCTGACCAGCTAAGGTAAAGTAGAAGTGTGGGTAGGGGGGCGGATGGTTGGGAGGACCAAAATGAAAGCACCTGGTTGTTCTCTTGGATGGGGCACATGTTTGTCAGGAGCAGGGATTGTGTGGCCCTCCTACCACTTGAGGAACTCGCGCACCCAGCTCCACAGCTTGGTGACCCAGATGTTGGCCCCCAGGTCCGTCAGGTACTGGATCTCAGGGGTTAGCATCTTGCGGCAGAGCTTCCGGTGCTTCTTGTTGATCCTCTTTTTCAGATTGTAGCCCAGGATGGTCTTTTTGCCAAACGGCTGCCACGGTTGCATGCCAGATTCCTGGATGGCGCTGGCGTCCACCGGGCGGCCCCCGTCAATGCAGATGTTCTTCATCTTCTCATTCTCTTCCTGAAGCCTGGCCACGTCCCTGGCCATCCTCTCACGCCCGTAGGCTTCCACCTTGCGCCAGAAGGTGGCATTGAAGTAGTGGTAGAGTTTGGCGTCTATGAGATTCCAGGCCGTGGCCTTCTGGTAGAGCTCGTCCGTCAGCCTGGAGATGCTGGAATCATTCCGGGCGTTGAGCTTGAAGTAGATGATGTCTTCCAGCTCCCAGCAGAGCAAGTCCTTCAGAAGCACCAATGACTCGTCAAAGTACTCTACCAGCATGACCAGGTGGAAACGCTCGTCCACTTCACGGATGTACTGTTCAACTAGAGGGCTGTTGGCATTCATGCCACTGTCATAGCCCAAGTCGAAGAAGAGGAGATTCTGGAGGTAATGTGCACCAAATCCATTGGGATCATAGTAACGCCAAGGGTCCTGAAGGAATTCGGCCAGCTTATCATCGTCTGACAACTTCCAGGTCATGGGAATGAGGCGCCCAAAATAGTGGAAGGAGGACTCAAAGAGGTAGGCAGGGTCCCGCAGCACGGTGACAAAGATGGTGTCGGCTGGTAGCAGCTTGCGCACTTCCTCATAATGGAAGCGCATGTGGTTGCAGATGATGTTGAAGCACATGCCAGGCTGGTAGTCCTGCACTTGACTCCGCTCAAAGAAGGAGGGGTAGTAGAAGTCGTTGCGTCCGCTGGGAAAGGCGAACTTCAGGCGGTGCTTCTCCCCAAAGCGAAAGAGGATGTTGATTATGGTGCTGCTGGCTGTCTTGTGGGTCTTCAGGAACATGATGTCCAGCTTGGGATGACACTTCTGTGGACTGTGGCTACCGTTGGCCAAAGCCAGCAGCCGAGCCTGGGAAGGGTAGGAAGAGCACGAGTAGGGGATTGGGACCCTAAGGGGAAAGCAAGGTAGTCAATGAGGATCTCTCCAGGAATGCATGAGGAGCTCTCCTTGACTGCACTATGCTTGGCAAAGGTCCCAGACCTTCCTCTAGCTTCCAGTTTCCACTGGACATTCATTTTCAGGAGTTGAATGTGGTTTGCTAGAGGAGGTAACTGATTGCCAATGTGTTCTGGGCCCAGTTCAAGATGCTCTTAATAGTATTTAAATCCCTAAATGACCTAGGCCACAAATATCTGAAAGACCATCTCCATCACTACCAAGATCTTTGTGTGTTAAGATCTGCAGAGATAGTTCTGCCACCCTCCAAAGTGCAGAGAATGGTGGCCCAGGAGAGGACTTTCTCTGTGGTGGTCCCTGAATTGTGGAACTCCCTCCCCACAGAGGTGCATCTGGTATCTTCATCAAACAGTTTTCACCATATGCTCAAGATACACCTCTTTACCATGACCTCCGACCCCTGAAATATATTGTTTTAAGTTTGTGGGGGGCAAGACTCCCCTAAAATCTCTGGATTAAGTAAAGGGGTTAGCATTTAAGCAAACCCCTAATTCCTGGCTTTAGTAAATGTTGGAATTTAATCAGTGGATTTAACATTGAACCTTTCTGAGACCTGAAGGTGTAGGGCAGTATAATTTTTTTTATAAATAACAACAACAACAACAATTCAACAGTGTAAAAATACAGGCTGGACTTGTTTTCCTGACCAGGGAAAGGCCTGGGTATGGGCAATTGTGGAGCAAAGGCAGAGCCATTAACCCATAAAGAAAGCCATCAACAAGGCAGGAGACCTTGAGCTCTAGGTATTTAGCAAAAGTCAATCATAGAGTTGGAAGGGGGAAGTTTCCAGGGTTACAGTGAGTGAAGATATACCATATAATGAAGGAGGGGTTCCTCCTTCAGCTGTGTGTTGGTGGGCAGAGATGAAAGGGGTTTAGGATTTCCAAGTGGATGACTTAACCAAACACAGGAAAAAGTGCCATTTTGGCAAGCAGTTTGGCAAAGAGAGGAAGTGGGGTCTGAGCTTTATGTGAGCTGGCTGTGACAAAGAGACACAGAGAACATGGCTGATTTCTCTGCTTGCAAACCCAACTCTGCTATGCCTATGAGAGACGTATAGGGGCCCTTTTGGGGTGCTAATGCTCTGAACCCCTCCATAGTAGGCTCAGGTTGTATATATGTGTAAATAAACCATATATCATAAAAACACTACAGACTCCACTGTGCCTCCTTATTCTAAAAGGAAACACAGACCTTAGTAAGTGTGCCCGGTACCCTAGAATCTCTGAGTGGCGCGAGAGAGATACATGCTCACCACATTTTCTTAACTGTAGTTTGCTAAAAAAAATGGGAGGTGCAGAGGGCCTTGGTGGGCACCGAGGGGTGACCGAGGGTGCTTTGAGGCTACAGACGCCACATTGGAGATTCCAGAGGGACATATTCACCAATGGCAGAGTGGACTGTACCAGTACAGTGCTTTCCAACATTAACCCTCCCACACACAAAACCCGGTTCCTTGAAAACAGAAAGATAGCATATCAAGGATAACATTTCTTGCCCAGCCCCCACATATGTCAAGTTTTCTACTTGCAGGGAATTATCCTGCATGCCCCCAAAAGAAAGAAAACAGATCCCCCCCTCCACCTGCCGCCTGAAGTGGTACAGTCCATTCTACCACATCAGGGCTCAATCCCTTCACTCTCCTTCGTGCATCTATTCTGTTCTGAGAGCCTTTCTGTGGAAGCAGAACAGACTGTGGTTCCGCTCATGGTCTCTTGGTCCACACGTCTTCTCCTATGCGCACCAGACTCACTCACTCTGTCATGCTGACTTGTAAGGGTGGGACGGCATAGGAGTATAGCAGCAGCATGAAGCTGGTTAGGAGAGTCCCCAGGACGAGGCCCTTACACATGGACTTCCAGTTCTTCCCCTGATGCACCATCGCGATCACCTGAAAAGGAAAACAGAAAAAGGGCAGTGAATTCATGGGCAGATTACTAGAAGCAAGAACACAAGAAGCTCTTTGCATATGGCCCTCAGAACTCACCCCAGACCACACCCTTCACTGGTACTGCTTTGAACCTTGAGTGTTTTATTTACCTGCCTGGAAGGTGTCTCTGAGCTAAAGATCTCCTCACACCTTATATACCCAACTGATTGCTGAGGGTTTCCTGTAGATACCATCTTAGCAGGAAGTCCATTCCATACAATGTAGGTGTGGCGGCGGCTGCCCCCCTTTGGTATTCTCTCCCTCCCGTCTCTGTTGCCTCTTCGGCACCTGCTGAACACCTTCCTCTTGAACTTGCAGGTACTGAAGTGGGAGGGAGAAGAGTCAGAGCCAACAGATACCAAAGAGGCTTGTAATCACGGGCAGATTGCTTAACTATAGTTCCCTAATCCCTGGTTCAAGCCTTGGTTAATTAAGAGAAGAGGCAAGGAACCTTTTTCAGAACGAGGGCCACATTCCCTCGTAGATATAATAATAATATTATAATAATTTATCATTTATTCCGCCCATCTGGCTGAGTTTCCTCAGCCACTCTGGGCGGCTCCCAATCAAGTGTTAAAAACAAGACAGCATTAAATATTAAAAACTTCCCTGCCTTCAGGGCTGCCTTCAGATGTCTTTTAAAGATAGGATAGATGCTTATTTCCTTGACATCTGATGGGAGGGCGTTCCACAGGGCAGGTGCCACTACCAAGAAGGCTCTCTGTCTGGTTCCCTGTAACCTCAATTCTTGCAATTAGGGAACCGCCAGAAGGCCCTCGGTGCTGGACCTCAGTGTCCGGGCTGAACGATGGGGGTGGAGACGCTCCTTCAGGTATACAGGACCGAGGCTGTTTAGGGCTTTAAAGGTCAGCACCACATGCCAGTGGTGGGCAAGTGTGGAGGCAAAAGTGAGTGGGGCAATTGATGCAGATGTTACCTTTGTGCAGTAATTTAACTTCTACACCCACTTGCATACCCGCCTCTGGGCAAGCAAGGGGCATTACTGGTGTTCAAGGACAAATTCCAGCCGCGCAAGAACCACTCAAGGAGGGTACAAAGCAGGGCCAGTGAAGGGGTGTGGCCTGGTAAGAGTTCCAAGGGCCAGACAGAGAGGTTTGGAGAGCCAGATCTGGCCCCCCGAGTCTAAGGTTCCTCTCATCTGGTTAAGGCTGGCAGGAGAAATTTGAGCCAGAGAATAAACAAAGCACACAATCCCATAGGGCTCCTTATTTTGTAATGCGCTCCCCCCCAAAAAAATCCTACACACACACACACACACAAAACACACACACACAACACAGACATACACCCCTCCTCCCTCTAGTCTATCCTAACAATTTGCTCAGCAACCTCCTTGCTAGCAGTGAGCAAAGATGAAACATGAAAAGGCTACAGCACCTGCCTGCTGTCCGCAGGAGGAGTCTGCTGAAATCAGACCTCAGAGTTGCTCCAGGAGCTTCAGTGGCTGGATGGAGCAAATGCCTGGTCCTTTCTGAGGCTGAGAGAATGCCTGAGCACCCGGTGTGTGAGTGTCTGCAATGCAGCAGCATTGTCCTCTGTGTCCGGCCAAGGAGACATACTTCCTCGGGCCTTGCAGTGGCAGAGCTGGCAATGGGCACGGCAGGCAGGCAGGCAGGCAGGCAGGCAGAGGTTTGGGAGAGAGTGCAAATGGGTTGCTCCCTGGTTGGCAGCCAGGAAGGTCTGGTTGAAGGAGCCCTGGGTATCCAACCAGCCTTCCTCAACCTGCTGCCCTCCCTGTGTTTATTTTTTACCCCCTGCCAGTTTAAAGGGCCTTAAGTTGTTAATTAGCCAAAGGCCTGGGGGAAGAGAATTATTATTATTTGCCTGGCAACTAAAGATACAGTTGGGTGCCTTCCCCTCTCTGCCAAGCAAGAGTGCGTGGGATTCCAGGCCCTCACCCAGGGTTTGTGCTTCTTTGGCAGAGACCGTTGTAGCTTTAAGAAATGTGATTTATTCACATATGACACCTTCAGTTTGCATGGGGGTGTAATAAAAAAAATTAAGGTCTTATGTATATAATAAATGTTCATAAATGTACCAACCAAGCACGTACATAGATATGTGGATCACATGTCTGGAACAGCACAGGAAAACCGCCCTGAAAGCATTTTGACTCCCAAACTAACCAAATGTTTTCTCTGCAAGGAGGGAGGGGGTGAGGGAACCTTCCCATTGTCTCAGGAATGGGGTAATCACAATATCAAAGGAATGGCCAGACTACCAGGAAAGGCAATCAGAGAAGGCATTATCAGATAACCTGGCAAACAAGAAAAACAACAACATTCAAATTTCTGTTGTAGACCGCCTTTTCTGTGATGTAGGTATGATGTATCTGGGGGGTAGTCTTGGGCTACACCCCTTCTGTGATCTATGTATGAGGTTTCTGGGGGTGGTCTTGGACTCCAGGGCGGGCAATTTAAAATGTCTAAATAAGGGCAGGTGTGATAGGAATTTTGAGGTCTTAGATATATGTTAAATGTTCATAAGTGTACCAACCAAGCACATACATAGATCAGCACAGGAAGACCGACCTCGGAAGACTTCGGAAGCACAGGAAGACCGACCTGAAACCATTTTGATTCCCAAACTGACCAAATGTTTTCCCTGCAAGGAGGGAGGTGGGGTCAGGGAGCTTTCCCATTGTCTCAGGAATTGAGTAATCAGCATTTTAATGGGTGACAGACTATTAGGAAAGGCAATCAGAAAAGGTAATCAGATAACCTGGCAAACAGGAAAAACAACATTCACATTTCTGTTTTTGACCGCCTTTTCTGTGATGCATGTATGATGTTTCTGGGGGTGGTCTTGATCTACAGGGTGGCAATTTCAAAAGTCTATATAAGGCCTTGCGGCCATTGTTCTGGGTTCCTCCTCCCTCCATCTTGTGGTGAGTGAGGACCCTGTTGCAACAGATCAATAAAGATCAGGCTTACTAGCTGCTTTGCTTCTCAATATTCTCTGGTTGGCCTCTGTTATTTTCTCCTACCAATAGGGAACCTATGTAAGGACTCTATATGGGCTCTTGGATACCCCATAAGGGGAAAAGGGCAGATTTTTGTTTACAACAGTACTACTGGTTAATCCCTTCAGGTGTCACCTAACAAAGGAATTTTCCTCATTTTATCAACACGTTGATTGACTAGGATTAAAGACTAGTACACACTTAGAACATTTACCTAGGTTTACTCTTCACATGCTAATCGCTGATGTTCAGAAGTGGGTACACACATTCCAGTACACATGGATCTTAATTACATTCTCAGACTTTGAGAATGTAATAATAATAATAATTGTTTAAGAATTTTAAGGTCATATCTATCTATCTATATTAGATGTTCATAAATTTACCAAGCAAACACATACAAATATGTAAACCACGTCTGAAACCCACAGAAAAGTCCTGAAACCATTTTCTTCCTCCCAAAATGACCTCAAATATTTCTCTGAAAAGTCGAAGGAAATCAGAAATCTCCCCATTGTCTCTTTCACAAATCCTGTATTAAGGGCACATTTAAGCTATGAATAGAGTGTGAGCCTGTGAGCCGTGACCTGCATTTAGGAATTGAGTAGGTATCCTAACAAGAGTGGCCAGGATGCCCAGGTAATCCAGTCAGGTAACCTGGCTGACAGAAAGAAACAACACACCCAGATTTCCGCCCCCTCTCTGATGTATTAAGGGGTGGGTCTTGGGCCACAGCCCTTCTGTGATGTATGTATGATGTTTCTAGGGGTGGTCTTGGACTCCAGGACGGGCAATTTAAAATGTCTATATAAGGGCTTGTGCGCATGGCTCGGGGTCCCTCCCCCCCTTCCTGTGTGTGTGTGTGAGCACCCAGTTGCAACAGCTTTAATAAAGATCAGACTTACTAGCTGCTTTGCTTCTCAATATTCTCTGGTTGGTCTCTGTTATTTTCTCCGACCAATAGAGAACCTACAAAAGGACTCTATATGGGCTCTTGGTTACCCCATAAGGGAAAGGGAGCAGTTTTATCTCATAACATCATCATCATCATCATCATCTACTTATACAATGCCCATCTGGGTGTGTTTCCCCAGCCAGATTAATATCTATGTGTAATTAAAATCCATATTAGTGTATTTTTGGTCTGGATAAGATACAAGGACTTATTGGAAAATAAAACTCCAAGGTGGCTGTCACCGATGGAAGCAAAAGCTCTGAAAAAGCTCAATATGGAGGCCAAATGGCCGAAATATTGGGAAATTTTGGAACAAGACGGAGATAGACTGAAATTGCAGAGTTTTGAGAAATTAAAAAACAAAGTGCGAGATTGGCTTCATTTATTATCAGATAATGGAGGCATATAAGTTGGATAAGAAAATTGGTTTCCAGGTGGAAAAATCAAATTTAGAAACAGAACTATTAGAACCCAAAACTAAGATTTTGTCAAAGATGTATAACTTGCTGTTGAAATGGAATACTCAGGATGAAATGGTGAAATCTGCTATGATTAAATGGGCACAAGATGTTGGACATAACATAATGATGGCTGACTGGGAACAGTTATGGACCACAGGTATGAAGTTTACGGCATGTAATGCCTTAAGAGAGAATATTATGAAAATGATATACAGGTGGTACATGACCCCAGTCAAGCTTGCAAAAATTTATCATTTGCCCGATAACAAATGTTGGAAATGTAAAGAAACTGAAGGTACATTCTTTCACCTTTGGTGGACATGATATACAATGAACTGAAAAAAGTATTTAAATATACCTTCTTGAAAAAACCAGAGGCCTTTCTCCTGGGCATAGTCGGTCAACTGGTGCCAAAGAAGGATAGAACTTTTTTCATGTATGCCACAACAGCAGCAAGAATACTCATTGCAAAGTATTGGAAGACACAAGATCTACCCACTTTGGAAGAATGGCAGATGAAGTTGATGGACTATATGGAACTGGCAGAAATGACTGGCAGAATCCGAGACCAGGGAGAAGAGTTGGTGGAAGAAGATTGGAAGAAGTTCAAAGATTATCTACAGAAATATTGTAAAATTAATGAATGTTAGAATGATGTTGGATAGAAATTAAGTGGTTTCCAGCTGTAATGCTTTAAGGGAATATGAAAAATGGGCTGTTAAGAGGTAAAAATCTAACGTTACTATTTTAAGATCAAAGATTAGGACAAATAAAGAGGGTAAGGATTTGCTGAACCAACAAACTGAACTGGAATACAAAAAAGGGAGGTATGAGGAGGTCCGGGAAACAAGCTAAGGAAAAATAAGCAATGGAAAAATTGAGTGGTTTTTAATCATTTTTATTTTGTATTTTTTTTCTTTTTCATTTGTTATTGTAATATTTAAAAAAATCTTAATAAATATCTTATATATAAAAAAAGAGAACCTACAAAAGGACTCTATATGGGCTCTTGGTTACCCCATAAGGGAAAGGGAGCAGTTTTATCTCATAACATCATCATCATCATCATCATCATCATCATCTACTTATACAATGCCTATCTGGGTGTGTTTCCCCAGCCAGATTAATATCTATGTGTAATTAAAAGCCGCCATATTAGTGTATTTTTGGTCTTTGTGGAAGCCGCCCAGAGTGACTGGGGAAACCCAGCCAGATGGGCGGGATACAAATAAATTATTATTATTATTATTATTATTATTAAGATCCACAGTCTTTACACATAATCACTATTTAAACAGATCAAACTCCTTGCATAATACACAGCACATCTCAGTTACAACATACAAGTTTTAACTAAATCCTAATATTTACTTAACCTAAACATTCAGCACCACAGATCTATTACAACACATAATGAAGGTGCCAGGCAAGGCTTCCTGGGAATGGCATTCCAAAATTTGGGGGGGGGCTGCAGAAAAGGCTTGTTCTCATGTTGCAACCCTCCAGAACTCTTGCGGAAGAGGCACACAAAGAAGGGCCTCAGATGATGATCGCAGGGGCCGGGTTGGTTCATATGGGGAGAGGCAGTCCTTGAGGTATTGGGTCCTGAGCCCTTTAAGGCTTTATAGCTCAAAACCAACACTTTTAATTGGGCCAGGAAACTAACTGGCAGCCAGTGTAGTCAGGCTGAGATTGGCGTTATATGCTTCAACTGTCTTGCCCCAGTCAGCAGCCTGGCCACTGAATTCTGCACCACTGAAGTTTCCAAGGCAACCCCAAGTATAAGGTGTTGCTGTAGTCCACCGAGGTTAAAGCAGCTAAAGCAGTTAACCAGTTATACTCTAGTCTAGAATATGCCTTCTAGCCGAGTCTAACTTTGGGGACTACAACTTCTGTCAGCCTCAGACTTTGCTCCCATCAGCCTTAGCTTCATACAGCCATGTTGGCTGGAGGGGGGGACTGATGGGAGCTGTAGTTCAACACATCTGGAGAGCACAAGGTTGGCGAAGGCTGGCTTCCTTAATGTTGACTGAGTCATAGCAAGGCAAATATTAGTTCTTTCATGGGGTGGGTAGGTGTCCGGCAGCTCATTTGCCATGAGCAGGTAGCCATCATAGGTTGAGGCTGTCATACACACACAATCTTCCCTCTCTGTTCTGGGGTTCTGGGCTGAGTGAAG